TTCTCCACCTGGATTCAAAAGAGAAAACCAGTCCCAGCATGTGGTGGGTATCTTGATAAAAGTTCACTCTTTAGTGATAAATTAGGCTAAATCTTGCTTGTGCGGTTGGAATCAAAGATCTGAGAAGAAGTGAACCGTTTGGAAATTAAGAAGGAGTTGTTGTTAATTTTAAAATTAACTGTCTCCATTACTTTTTTTTTTTTTTTACAGGAGTCCCGAGAAGCCAACAGCACCCATTTAGTAGCCAAGGTATTTCTTTTCTTAGACCGTAGAAACCCCTCCCTTTTTCGGTAATTAGAAGGTTCATAAGGTTGTTCAATTGACGGAATCAATAATATAATAATATTCAACGTGACTGTAAGCTTACACAGGTTTGAAAATGCCAGCTGGCTGCCTGGCCTGCTATTTTCAAGTATCATCATAGAGCTGACATGGTAATCAGTCAAGTCGACCAAACATCATCTTGCCTAAAGTTTTGTCCATTGGGCCATTGGCACGTTGGTATCTTTTTTATATTTAATCCCAGGGAGGTTTGAAACAACAAAAGCTCTAACTACAGTGTACTACTATATATCTGGTTACAATTGACGTACAGCTGTATCAAAGAAGAGAAGTGTGATGTCACAAAAACTCCACTTTTTGAAATTTATGGGATGGGTTGGTATATTCAGAAAGATCAAGATGAAAAAAGCCCCCTTGCCAAAAATCAGCCTGTTAGTGGAAATTGGTGAGAAGATATAAACACCCATTTGCTCTGATGACTCCATACAAATCATCCTAAAGTTGGCTTGGATCTTAAAGTTAACAATCCGGGCCTATTTTAGAAGGGTTTATATGGAGTCATCGCAGCATATTGTTGATTATATCTCCACACCAATTTGCACCGTCTGAACAGGCTGATTATTAGCAAGTGAACATTTTTCATCGTGTTCTTTCTGTATACCGGTATATTATGTCAACCAATCCCATAATTTTTCAAATTTAATTTTTGTGACATTATCACTTCTCTTTTCTGTGCTGGGAATAACCCTGGGATAAACTACCTTCCCATCCAGGGGAGAAGCTATGTCACAAGATTGATGTTGTTGTTTTAGGTCAATTACTTAGTGTCTTTATCTGTATATTAAAATGCTCCTGCAGACCTATGGAGGAGAAATCAAACAAATTTGCTGGTAGACAGGGAGCACTGGCCATTATAACTTTGTTGTTTATTTTTGCAAGCATTTGAAAAAGTTTGCCCAATTTTTTTCCAGTATTAAACCATAGCCATCCTTCCTATCTATAGCAAAAGATGCCAGGAAACAGTTTCAGTCACTAAACATAATCATAGCAACAGAACAGGAATGTCAGTTGATGATGGTGCACGCAAATTAAACAACTGGCTTGACCAATGGCAGAGCAGTAAATTGGGCACTGGAAGTCGTGCTTAGTCTTTTCTGCGCACGTTCACGTCGTCAAGTGACGTTCCTGTCCTGATGCTAAAACAGCCTATTGAATCAACAAAACTGGACTCTTATTTTTGTGACTCAATTGATGCAAGGACATGTTTTAGCTTTTTACAAAGATGGCAAATAGCATAACATATCCCCTTTAGGATTAAGCTGTGTGGGCCTCCAATCTGGCATATGGCTTGTGTGTGCCTTCACCTGTTGAACAAATTTGTATGAACTCTGCAAAATGATTCATAGATGCATTACTTCTGAGATTTTTTCATTGAGAATATTTTGCTCTTATTTTCAGAAATCATGGGATATTGCACTTGGACCATTCAAACAGATTCCAATGAATCTATTCATCATGTACATGGCTGGTAATTCCATCTCCATATTTCCAATCATGATGGTTGGGATGATGTTCCTCAGGCCTGTCAAGGCTCTCCTCGCCATCAAATCAAGTGAGTGGCCTATGAATGCCAGATTGGAGGCCCTGTCAGGGGAAATTCCCGCATGGGACATGGCCTCAAAACAGTGACACAGAACAGCAGAAATGGCCATAAATGACACAAAGATTGGTTGAAAGTGTGACAGCGACAGAGAGAAGCGCAAATACTAACAATAGTAAATACTGACAGTGAGATGGCTTTCTCCTCAATATGCAAAATGACTGGTTTTGAAATTCAGACCAGGGACATAAATACCTCCCCCATCTCAAAGACAAGAAAAAAGACTCTCTTACAGCCTTTTAAGAAACCTTCATTGACCATACTTGTTTGGCCAAGATGGCTGGATATTGGCCTCTATCCTTTTCTCATTTATCAATATCGTCTCAGTACTTTAAAAAATACTTGGTCAATATCATGCCAGTTTGGTTTCATGCTTAATCTGTAGCGCATATACATGTATCCTAGAAGCCTGTGGAAGGAAGATTAACTTCATGGCTGTGCCTTTTACATATACAGTTAAACCCCATTGATACAGACACTTAGGGGGCCATAGAGAGTGTCCGTGTTAATGGTGTTTCTCGTTAAGCGAGTTGAATTTAGAGAAAATGTATGGGCTTTCTTTCCCAAGGGACAAGGAAAATTGTTCGTAATATTGAGGTGTCTGTAAAGCAGAGTTTGACTGAATGAAACTACAAGGGCCAACAATGTTCTCATTGTACTTTGCAGCTTTTGTATCCATAGAGGGAGAGCATGATAATGCCATGCAGCAGAAGTTCTTTTACCTCCTTGGAAACCTGTCCTTAGTTGCATTAGCACTGTATAAATGCCACTCAATGGGGCTTCTACCGACTGCCACATCAGACTGGCTGGCATTCATGGAGCACAAGGCGGTAAGAACACTGTACATTTTTGTATCATTTAAAATTGTGTGAGGCTATGTTCATACGGTGCCAGATGAATTTTCTTTGGTACACTATGTTCATACAGCACTGTTACATATTTACGCTTAGTTCACACAGAACTTTGAACGGTTAGGCATCTAAATTTTTGTACGGTTAAGGTGGTTCCATTTAGAGGGAACACCTATATGTACAAATTTTCATCGCTCAAAACCGGTCTGGTGCCGTGTGATTTTCTTCGGCACACTATGTTCATACAGCACTGTTACATATTTACGCTCTGTTCACACAGAACTTTGAATGGTTAGGCATCTAAATTTTTGTACGGTTAAGGTGGTTCCATTTAGAGGGAACACCTATATGCACAAATTTTCAATCGGTCAAAATCGGTCTGGTGCCGTGTGAACCTAGCCTGACATTTTAATTTATTTACATTAGATTAATAATAGGTTATTAAAAAATAAATACTCGTATATAAAGCCGAACATTCTTATTTGGTTCTTTTGCAGAGACTTGAGTTTAGTGGTGGTGGATTCATTCTTTAGTATCCAGCCAACATTAACAAAATGAGATGTTCTAGGTCCATTTTTATCTTCTTTACATGTTACAGTCAAAGAAGTTATTAAGCACTCAAATGGAGCAGAGCAAACCAACATTAAAATGTAAATGCTAGGTATGGCATAGAATAAAGAACAAGCGAGTTGAGAGTAAGAAACAGTTTCCTACTACTCTTTTTGCCTTTTTCTATTGCCTCAGGATTGTCACACAGGCGATTAGTGTTCTTTGTGTGAGTTAGCAGGGGGAATGGGGATTTTCCTTGCTCGCTCCTTCATAAAAGCCCTTGTGACAATCCTGAGGGACTGCTAGCAGTCTAGCTAAAAGGAGATCGGTAGCCATACATTAAAATCTCAAAACAAGATTCCCAGGGTTGATTCATTGAGTGAGTTGTTATGATATAGCCCACAAAGAAAATATCTAAGTGTACAAATTTATGTAAGTAAATCTCAGCAAGTGGTCAACATTGGCAGGTAACAGTGTACTGTTACCCTTTGATGTCTTAGATTTTGTAATGTTGCCGACTCAGAGACTTTTGGCTGAAAAAAGTAAGTTAGAATCACGTCTTGTGGCCTCAAAGTAACCAATGCAGGTTGCAAAGGAAGTCTGTTTTACAGCCTGCTATTCGGGCAAGCTGTATCTAGCATTTAATAGCCCACAAGTCATTTCAACTAGCCCCTAAATCCTTTTTGATTAGCAGGGTTGATTACAATCCTTCTGTAGTTTGAATTTCCCCCCAAAACAGCACTTGCTTGTTAGGCAAGTTTAGAACAAACATCACTAGCCCAATAGCAAAATCCACTAGCCTTGGGCTATCAGACACGACTTTCTTTGCACGCTGCAATGAGAGCACATGCTGTAGGAGAAAAAATTCCTGCTAGTATATAACAACGTACAATGAATGCAAATGCTCATTTCTTTTTGCCCAGACTTTCTCTGGTTTTAGTGTTGAATGACATATAATAAAAACAGCTTTGATGAAAAACACTTAAATAAAGTCTATGTACATGTAAATAATCTAACAGTTCAAGTACTTTGTCAATCTGTGGAACATCTGTCTTAAATAAATAATAAAGTGAATGATTATCATTTCTTTACTGTTTGATTGTTGGGATCTTCAAACAAATTTCCGATGTACAGGTGGTTGACTGTACAAAGTCCAGCTGTCTAGAACAGTGGCACCCCTAAAACATGACCAGTTAGGCCATGAAAACTTAATGGGATAGAGTAGCGATTAGGCTGAAGATACTTCATTCATTTTAGAATTTTTCTTTTGATTCACATTAGATTGAGAGCACATAGTAAATTTTAATTTTCCACTCATCATGTGTAGCTCTGAGGAAAGAAGGATGACTGCTTGTAATCTACATTATCTATTTTTTAATAATTTCTAGATAAAGTTACAGCTGAAAAATTTGCAAATATCTTGTGGGATGGTATTACATATAACAGAGAAATGTAACATTCTGTTAAACATCAGACAGAATAATGTATTTCATGCAATATTCAAATTGAGATGAAAAAAGGCATGTAATCTCTGTACAAAGTACTGTACTAGAAAATTCATTGACGGTAAATAATTTATTCATTGTCAACTGGGATGGAGAGGTAGAAAAAGGGTGAAGTCTGCAGGAGGTGACCAAAATATTCAAAAGGGATTGGTAAAGTGGTGGGAAGATCAAGGTGTATTATACTGCGGGGGGGGGGGCACTCAAGGAAAGTTTGGGTAGAGCTGTGCCACCGCGGCCTTCAAACCCTGATCCTGTTTAAGACAAAAACCATTCCGAGTTTGCCACCCTAACTTCATGACCCTTATTCAGTTCATTTGGCATATATTGTAAACCTGACAACTTCCCCCTCATCCTCCTATTACTCTGCCCAGTTCATCTTTCAGAGTGACTCAGACTTTCAAAGCTCATCATGGACATTTTTCTTACAGTTGCATTTGGCCTCTCCATCACTGGGTTGTTTTATATGTTCCATGTCAGGGTGCCTCTTGGGTGTGGTTACCTGCCGCTTAGCATACTCCTTAAAAAGTGACCAGTGATAGCAGTATATTTGATCGGCAAGCAGATTGCTTCTTGCAAACTCTTTCCCTGCTTGTGCTATTTTCTGCGCTTTTTCATCATTGTCCATGGCCCATTTTAACTTTTCTTCTAAATCGCTTAGATCCCTCTTGAAAGGCACGTAATGTACCCAAGGCTGAAGCTCCTTGTAGAAATGTTCATAATATGGTGACTGTTGTTTCAACACCAGTGCATCACCGGCTAGTAAGTATGGTAGTCTGTAAGCAGCTACTGTCCCATCAATGTTGATCTGGAATTTCCATTTAAAGAACTCAAAGAATGATATATGCTTTACTTTGGGACCATATTTGCTCTCGTCATATTTGAAGAAAAAGAAGTTTGTGAGTGCTGCATCATAGAGTTCTGGCTTTTTCCTTGCCATTACGACCAGCTGAAGTCTCTCTTCTCTGCTATCGCGTCCTCGCCAAAAGGCTTTGTTTATCTTATCAGCCCACTTTGGGCCTGTATTTGACTGAACAGACAGCATGTCCAAAGAAACCCTTCCCATAGTCTCCAGTGTGGACTCTGTGAGGTCATACGTTGGCATGACAATGTCTAAAGTGTCATCTGAGCCACACCATGAAAGTATAGGAATAGGATTGGACTTCTGTTTAACAAGGGGCCAGTCACCAAGATTCACAAAAAATTCCATGTCGGGGAGCACAACTTTTCTTGCAAGAGACAAAAGAATATTATCCATGAACATTGAAAATCCCACATGCTGGCCATATGTCTTTCTATACACCTGATTATTAATAACTGAATAATGGCAAAGCGCATGGTGGGTTCCAAAGCGTTTCACAGCGTCCTTAGCTAACTCCTTTAGATTTATTTTAGGAAATGGAGAAAGATCCTTTTGTATTTGTGAGTATTCCACTGAACAATTCATGGTTTTCTCCCAAACTTCCTCGTTAGTTTCGGGGCAAAAGCAAGTCTCGTGATACACTCCTCCTTGTAATTTGTATGGCGACTTGGCAACGCTTTTTCCCTTGTGGGTGATCTCTATAACAAGGTCTGGATATGACGCGAAGAGACGGTAGCGAATGATGAATGAACCATCGTTTCGGTCCAGAGTTTGCACCCATGCTCTTACTCGACTGTCACTTGAAGATGCAATTCTTATTTGAAAAGTATCTTGACCCGGGGACTCGGTGAAATTGTTCTTGCTTTTATCGACAGCTTGCACGAAGAAATATCTTGCGGGTAGAGTTTTTCTTACATCGAGTCCCGGGCCCCATACAAGTGATTTCTTTGCACTAACTTCCTTTGCCTGACACAGAGGACTACTCAGGAAGATAACTGTCCATAGAATGTAACGCTTCATTTCATTCCCCATTGTTGAAGACATAAAAGCTCAGCTGTTCATGGAGAAAGTGAGGAAAACTGACAAATATAACGGGCCAACGAGGAAACGACAGCAAATACCGGGCAAACTAGTCACCAGTCCCTGACTGGTGGTGTCACAGGCTAACCAACCTTAGAAAAATTCCTTTGTTTTGTGAATGCTTCTGATTAAATCAAACAATGTTATTGTTGTATTAATTCTATTTTCGTTTTTGAGGGCCTTGTTGCGGGCCACTCTTCTGAATACAATTCAAACTGAACTTTTCCGTTTAAAAATTGAAAAAAAAAGGAAAACAGCCCCAATGCTCAACATCTATTTATGACTATTCTTACAATAATATTGTCAATGGTCTGAATGCTCCGCATATAGTTGAAGAACTGTGGTCTACAAATCCGCGCCAGAGTCCAAATTTTCAAAGCAATGTAGTCTCTTAGCGAAAAGGGGTGCAGGTATGAAATGAGTTAGAGCCATTGTATTCCAAGACAGGGGATCTCTACCTGAAAATCTCATTTTGAGCTTTTTTAACACTTTTATTGTGAAAACCATACCTTGCTTCCTTTAGCCTCTGTAGTATGCGCCGGTTTTGTTAGGACAAAGGGAGAAATTTTGAGGATGCTCGTGCTATATAAAAACTGACCAAAAAAATTAACTGGTGCCCGCCACGTGGGCTATGATTCCTTATAAATATTATGATTAAAATAAAATAGGTTTCCAAACCCAATCAAAATGGTACTGGTGAGTATCATTTTGGAAAAATCCAGACATTTATCCAAAAGAACTATTTTATTGAACCAGTATGAGCAATACAATAAATATTTTAATTACTTAGGTACATCTGATTGATCATAATCAGCATTCAAAACACATCAGGGTTTCTTAGATAAACCCAGAATAGTAATGTCTTCAAAGCAGCACTAAGATCCTTGTCCTGGATCCCCAACGGAATTAAAGAGGTTATTAGAAGTGCATTTCAAATTTCCCTTTAACCTGGTTGGCCAAACAAACACTTATTTTTTTCAAGCCAATCATGGTGCATACTCAAATCATGGTACACAGGTACGGAACCAGAACAAGGATTTCCAAATTACCTTGCAAACGTACAGCTGTACTTAACCAGAGGTTAAGTTTCGTCTGTGGTGCAGTCTATATTTTATATCAGCTTAACACAAAGTAAAACGTGAGAGTGCCCCAGCCATTTGTTGACACCCTATTACTCTTGTGTAATATGAAGAGAAACATCATGGGGTTTATGATGTGGTAACTAACAACATACACAGTCCTTGCACTTTTCTTATTGAATCAGTTTGAAGAACAAGAAACTTTGCCCTAGGTACTTACAGTACAGTCAAATATTGCTTATAGACTATTAAGACTGGCATTAGGTTTCCATTTTAGCGAGGGGTCTGCCTTATAAGGAGTCAAAGAAAAGGACTAAATGACACATGATTAACATACACCTTAGGCATCAGATATTTGCTATCTTTTAAAAAGCACAATAAGTTTTCAAATCAATGAAATTCCAAAAATATTGGTCCACACCCCAGTTGTTCAAACGTTGGATAGAACTATCCACTGGGAAAAATCTTTCCCGCAGCAACCCTCCAAGTTAAAGTTTTTGCTTGGTTGCCATTTGGCAACGAAGTCTTTTGGTTTAGGGAGACATTTTTACAAATCAAGTGGCCAGCTTCAAAATCTTAGGCGCTATGGCAGCTTAAATAGTCGCAACTTGGAGGGTTGAGTGGATATTACAATTTTGGTTTCCCTAATACTTATTCACTGGATAGTGATCTTTCCGGTGGATAGTGCTATCCAACATTTGAACAACCAGGGCCAGGACTATGGTCAGGCATTGAAACTGTTTCCTGTTGTCTGTTGCTATGGACGAAAAGAATAGACATAAATTGAAATTTGAAAAAATTACCAAAAGAAATTAATATTAAGGTTAGTCCTCCGTGAAAAAATTTGTTTGATATCTTCTCCATAACTCTACAGGAACATTTTGTGTGTGGTTAAAGGTACCAAGTAATGACTTCAGTACAGAATTGACCTGAAAAAGTAATATCCTTGTGACATAACCCCTTTAGGAGTGGCCTGAGAAAACAGACCACATTTCGCGACACACCAACGGTTTTCCTGTGAAATGACGTCTGAGAAACGAGTACAGAAATTGCATACTGATGACACATCACTACCCAGATCTGGGTAGTGCTTCTGATTGGATGAAGCAAATTTCACCAGTCATCAATATGGAATTTCTGGACTTGTTTCTCAGACGTCATTTCATGGGGAAACCGTTGGTGGCGCTGCAAAATGTCGTCCGTTTTCTCAGGTTACTTTAGGATATTTCAATAAGAGACAGTTGACTGTACAATCCTACAATCCTACAGACACGCCCACACTAATTAGGATTACAGACTGGTTGATAAAATGGCAACACTACATTATTTGACCTTGTTATTGTTCTTGACTAAGTTTTAAGACTAAACACTAAAGACAAAAACTGCTCATAGTTGATGGTTATCCATCCATTCCGATTTGTGTCAAAGCCTTGGAAAGCATTTGTCAACATCTAGAAAAGGAAGCAAAAGAAACACGATTTCAATAAAATTGCATTAATTTCAAATCTGGGTAGTAAATGGGATACACTGCTAGTCTTTTCCATTTAAAGAAAACAATACTTGAGTTCCCCCTAGACACTAAGTAGGTCTTAAGCAGACTAAGCTCAAGTCAACCTAAGTCACTCAAATTATGCTTAATCATTGAGAGGGAAAATATTCTTTTCACACCAAACTGTCAGATTTTGTTACGATAAGTGCTAAAGACTTTTTTCTTTGGTTTGCCTCAAGACAGTTCCTAACAGAAACCTAGAAAAAAATGAGATCGAGAGGACTTAAGATCACTATAATTGCTGCAGTGGTGTTTTTGCCTAATTTGCAAAGGTAAAATTGCAAAACCTCATGTTTCTCTGTAAAAGAATGATTGGAGACTTGGCACAGGAGAGTGAAAACCTCCTATTTGTCACTTCCCCGTTGGGGATAAGGATTCGTCAAAGTCAGACGTGAAGAGTCCGGTGGAATACAGTGAAAAATTGAATTTGATGTGGTCCTCCAAGCACAAAATATTGCTCTCTTTTCTATCGCCAAAACACAAGTTCTTGACCCAAAAAAATTTCTAGTTTTTTTTTGGCAGGCTGTGCCAATTATTGACTTAACATGTTACCTAAGTAAGCATTAAGTTGTGTTTGAAAGAGACTTAAGAATGACTTAGCTCCTTTGAGTTTGCCACTCCTAATTAAAAAATTGCACATAAATTATTGGACTTTGGAAAATTCTAAGACAGATTTGTTGTCTAGTATGAACCCAAGTGATAAAATACCTTATTAGTACTTAATTTCATGATTTTGGCGAGACAGTGTTTTGTGAGGTTATATTTTCACAATTTCAATGGGCAAATACGGTGGCCATGGAGATAGCTACTTTTGAGATATACAGTTGAAAATCTACAGGTTACCTAATTTTAATGTGCTCTTTCAGTAATCCTGCTAACAAAATTTTTCAAAGGTGAGCTTTTTTCGTGTTTACATAATGCAAAAGGCCTATTTTCCTTGTTAGTCTTGTACCAGCGCATCTCTTGCTCTCTAGCATGACAGTTTTGTACAACGTGACTGACAAGCTGCATAGCGCCTATTGTCAACTATAAAAAAATGTCAACAAGGAAATCAACTATATTTTATACTTATTTTCATATATTTTATTTTTAAGTGGAAAATGGGGTTAAAATGCTTTAGTGTGAAGTAAACTTGCAAAATTTCCACAAGTCAGAGGATCAGAATGAGCCTACACTGCCACACTAACCTGGATCACAACACAGCACTGAATGAAGTCATCAAAATTGACTACTCCACGTCCACTTCTGTCAAACTTTCTTATCAGAATACCATAGAATCTCTCTGACAATCTATAACCTGCAAATATGCAAAGTTTTGCAGCAATGAATTAATACCACTTTGTACCACAAGACTGGATTCAAGAAGTCAATCAAAATCTGAAAAAAATGGCTATATCCCTGAGAAAGAGGTAATTGCACAGAACAGATGCCCCCAAAAACTGTCAGCAGACCATCAGCAAGTAGTTAACTAACAATAAATAAAAAATATAAATCGGCAAATAGTGAAATAAACAGGAGAGCACAAATGAACGGTATACCATGAAGGATCTTCTTTTGCTGAATAACGTCAGCCAAAAGGATTAAAAACAGCATACCACAGAGCTAGATGATACCGCACTAACACACATTAAGATATAAATTACTGAAATATCACTTGAAAAAACCTTAAAACCGCAATACCATAAACCCAAATGTGCCCCTCATCATTGACAGACCAGCAAATGTCAGCCAATACCAAAATTTGATAGTTAAGCCCTTTTAAGAAACCATCAAGAGTGACCAACATTCATTTCTCCTTCTGGTAGCACACAAGGGTCATGAGAAAAAGGACATGATCAACAATGGAAAAAGGTCCTGATTGTTAAACAAACTCTCCTCATCAGTACCATGGGGAGAATAGTGGGTAGAATATGTACTCTGATATCAAAGTTTACACTTTGGTGAACATTAGTGGACAATATAATTTCCAAGCATCACATTTTACTTACCAAAACTTGTCAAAGCTACAAAAGGAAAAGAATAATGTTTCAGATTAACAAGGCAAGAAATGTTGAATCACATTCACTCTGACTAACATAGTGATGAGTATTAAAAAATTTGTCTTCAAAAAGATTGTCAGAAATAATCACAGTTGTAGTATCAGTTCGCAACTTTCTGCAGTTTTTGTTATTCCTGTTATTATTTGTTATGCAGTAAGACACGACTGCTATGCAGAGTGGAAGATATTTAGAAAAGTTTGGTGTCACAAACCCCATTAACTAATCTTAAGCTAATGGGATCAACTGGTTCTGTTACAAACTGACTAAACAAATATTTATTGATTTTGAGCTTTTAATCCTAACGGAAGTATGCAAAGAGTCATGTTTTTTGCCACTTATCTTTATTTCTGGTACCAAAGATGGCTTTGAAGAAATGGATTACGGTTTCCATTTGGATATATTCTGTCTGCACAAACAGGACTACCTTTTCAGAAATGCACTTACCCTCTTGCCCTGGGTAAATTTTCCACTGGAATGACCCAAAAGGCCATGTTCCTTTTGCTTTCTAAACAGATTTTCAAGAAAGCTTTTGGTAAATGGTAAACAACCCTTGTTTCACAGGGGTTTGTGAGGTACCTTTATCTAGTACTGAATATATTGACGGTAGGAAGGAAAGCTAACTGAGGTAACAATCCCTAATAATATTATTATGGTTAAGTTCAATAGAACTGGTTAACACCTGTTTGTAGCTCTCTCTTGTCAATGGTTCCTGAATTATCTTTGTCATAACTTCTAAAAGTGTTCTGCCAATCTGTTATGTACTTCCAAAGGGATGAAAACTCATTAAACGTAATAGTTCCATTATTGTCTCTATCAAACATTCCTGGAAAACAACATTTAGACATTGACTGTGAACGACCACAGATCAGAACAAAGGTTACATTTCAACAGGTGTTGCAGTCCATTGTAAAATTAACACATCTCTATCAGGGAACTCTAAAGAAGTCTGGAACAAAAACATTCTTCAATGAATAATTTTGTGCAAAATGAGGCGTTTAACAAAAAGAATTTGTAAACTGGAGTGCCGTTCTTGACCCATGTTTGTTTGCCAGCTAGAGGCAGTACAGCAAAAACTGGACTCCCAAGAGACTGATATTTTTTTTGGACAGATTGACAAGCAGCTGACCAATCAGGAAACTTTCATTTCACCGAAACAGAAATTCAAAACACAATAAAACTTCCATGGTCGAATGGTCATCCTTTTCCCCCTCTCTGCCCCAATCTCTCCTCCTTTTTACCATTTATAATTATTTGTGCTGAATATTTTTGTTTTTCGCTTGCCATGCAATGCTCTGAGGAAACAGAGATGACCGTTCACGGTCTAGCCTCACTGGGGATATCAAATACCCATGGGAGAGTGGAAATGCCTAAAGCTGACTGAGCCATCGGCATGGCACAGTATGCTTGATTATTATTATTATTATTATTATTATTATTATTACTATTTATTTTATCATTGTTTTGTTTTTTTTTGCTTTGACACAAAACTGGTGTAATGTCTTGACTGTACAAGCAATCAAACAGCTAGCCTCAAAATTACAGCATTTGAAAAAAGCTGGAGCTTTTTACTGCAGATTTACTGTTTTCTTTTTACTCATAACGTATAAGCTTAAAAATGACTTGTGATGCGGAAAGCGGGGCATTTCTGCATCAGCCGCTGTGAGCAGGTGCCAAAACAGAAAGTTCAAACACAAACCGATCATCAGTCGCACAGTTTCCGGATTAAAAGGTGTCCATGTTCCTGTTGATAAACAAGACGGAGGAGCAATGAGACCGCTATGTTTAAAAAAGTGACATAAAACGCAAAGATTGGAAAGTCATCTAGCTTACACTCTAAGTTCGAGATTGCTGCGAATCTCTCAATTTGGAAAAAGTTTTCTTTTTTTACGAAAAAACATATATCATAGGAGAACAACTCTTTTTTCTGGAATTTAAACAGGCAGTTATTCTATGATTTGTTTTAAATTTCTTTCTTAAAGTAAGAAATCTCGAATTTAGAGTGTTTATATCCACATGATCGTACCATTTGACAAGGCCTGTTGAAGTTCGTTTGTAGATATCGCTCCACTCCGATCTTTATCCACCCTAAAAGACCCACATTAATGGTCAACTAACATATCAGTTATTCTGCTTCAACAAATGAGGACTTCAGCAATACCTTTGGAAAACGTTCCACAAGAAATTTTGATCGTGCTGTTGGTGAGGTGGAGGTTGACCATAGTACGCCATGATTCGAAATAGACATTACATGCGCGGCTGCTTAGCCGACAAAGATATCCTTAGCAGGGGTAGGCTGCTGGTTTACAAAACAGTTTGAAAACGTTTGAAAAACCAACAACAATTATTATCTAGATTGTGTATCTTAAAGTTCCACATTGACAATCAACTCATCATTTTATTGATGTGTTTTTGAAGTGTGAAAAATATATTTTTAGAAATTTATTCCCCCACACCTCCCCTGAGCCTCGTCTCGATGCGGAAAAGAGATTTGGCGCGTGACAGTACATTCTGGTATTTTCTGCATGATGCCTGAAATAGACATGAAATATAGCAGACAATTAAATGATTTCAAATCGTAATGGCTGGCAGAGGTCCGACTGTAGATAGAAATTTCCTTTGGAGCATCTTTGCCAAGTAAGTAGAGTCTGTAGATATGATTGCCCGAAAAATTATTTGCAAGTGCGCAAAGAAATACGTGTATTAAATCCGTGTAGTAATACACGGATATGAGCCTACCGTTCATCAGTCATTTGGAAAGTGAATTTCAGCAGAATCTGTTTAAGAAGTCTATTTCTGGAGCATTCAGCCAGAGAAATGTCAGAACACTGAGAACAGTAAATCTGATTGCTTGAAAACTTCCTTGTTTTTTAAATAAACTTAAGCTTATTAGCCTTAGGTCATCATCTATAAAGCAGAAATAAGGTTATATATGGGATGATAATAATAATAATTTAATTCTTATTGCTTTATAGATGATGACCTAAAACTAATAAGCTTAAGTTTATTTAAAAAACAAGGACTTTTTCAAGCAATTATCAGATTTACTGTTCTCACTGTGGGACAGTAATGCATCAGTCAATTCCAGCTTTTTCAAGGAAATGAATAAAAAAGACTCTCCTGAGGCCCTGCCAGGGTAAAGTCTGACAAGCGACATGACCCAAAAAGTAGCGACAACACGTAGAATGAAATCGCGACAGTAATGGCAAAGCCGACAATAAGCGACACGCATTTATAAACACGGAAGCAAGGCGTTTTAAAATTCAGACGGGCGAAACCCCCCCTGGCAGGGCCTCTCTCCTGGGTGGTGTTTGTTCATTGTTTCAATGGGTGGTGTTTGTTGTAATTGTTACGAGCAGTCCCTTTTCTCCAGTCCTGCCGAGCTTAGACTTGACTGCAATTCGCTCTCTCCAGTCCTGCCGAGCTTAGACTTGACTGACCGAAGAGGGACTGCTCGCAGTCTAAAGTCAAGGCTGGTCATTGCAATCTGGCAGGGTCCTGGACTAGTTGCAACAAAAATGCCATTTTTTCGATATTCGAATCCGCTGCAATTTTTATCATCTCCAGACCATGGAAGGAACCTCCCCTTCCTCTCTGCGAGATCAGCTCGTAAAATGTTTCATCATTAATTTTTGCCCTTCAAATTGAGCCAGTTGTGCCCATCTGGCTTTCCTCCTGTGCCAGCTTTCAAATGCCTTTGTGCCCACCAACTAATTTGTATTTGAAATAATTGAAAACCTCACCAGGGTGACAATTGACACTTGCATGATGGGTGCAAGGGTGCGGCGGTGGGGTTGGCAGCACTTACGGTAACGGTTCATTTCTGCCCTTGAGCCCATCCTGTAAGTGTCAATTGTCGTCGTGGCCTGTAATGCAACTCCGAGCATCCAGAAAAAGGCCCCGCCTCACCTATGGCATGTAAATTACTTTACACCTTTTGCTTGTAGCATGAGTTGGGGTGCCTGTGATGCAACAGTCTTCCAGGGTATGCACAACAAATTAACTTGTAAATTGGTGGTTGGATATCCTGTGGCCTGGAACCAAACTGGTGGGGCTGTATAGTAGGTTAAGAGTTGAGGAGATTTTCACGGTGGGATGATTAACTGTGCACAACTTTTGAAGTTGCATACTTATTACCAAATTTGCCAGCATTGCAAACTTGCATTATGGTTTTTTGCAGAATCGACAAAGACAGGAATGGGCGTATAACTGCTGATGAACTGCAACAGGCATTATCAAATGGTAGAACGAATGTCAGCATTTCAGATAAGCATTAGTTCTAGGAAATTGGAGAGGACACCCAGGGACCCTCTTGGAACTGGGATCAATGAAATTACTGTAAAATTCCAAAATGAAGCCCCAGGGCTTATATTTTTCAGAGGCCTTTTTTGAGGTGCTTATGTTTGGAGGGGCTTATATTCGAAGGGAAATTTGCGTTTCAAAATCGAATGGGCTAGCCTTTTATTTGGAAGTAAATTTACCACTTTTGCTTTGTTTCACTTTGTATTTGAGGGCAATTTTCCATGTACAAGCCCCTGGGGGCTTATATTTGGAGGGGCGATTTAACGGAGGGTTTTTTGCATTACCGGTTTGGAGGGCTTATATTTGGAGGGGCTTATACACATGGAGGGGCTTATTTTCAGAATTTTACAGTATTTTAAATTCTTAACCAACTCAGAGACATGTCCCCTTCATAGAGAGGGACAGAAAGTGATTACAAATGGCAGGGACCAATGATTAACTGACTAGATGTTCTTTTAATGATAAGATACCTCTCAGATAGCCTGAGAAAACAGCCGACATTTTTTGACGCAACCAATGGTTTTCCCATGAAATGACGGCAGAAATTCCATACTGATGATGCGTCACTACCCAGATCTAGGCAGTGCTTCTAAATGAATGAGGCAAATTTTCAACCAATCAGAAGCATTACCCAGATCTGAGTCGTGACACATCATCATTATGGAATTTCTGTGGTTGTTTCTCAGAAATCATTTCGTGGGGAAACCAGTGCTGGCTTCACAAAATGAGAGCTGTTTTCTTAGACCGAGAGTGGACTTTCTTAGGGGAGCAAACAAAGACAACTTGTAAAGCTGAGATGTTTTCTTGAACAACACAGTTCCCAGCCCTGCTCTTAGGGTCTCACCACCCGTGCATGTCACTATTCTAAGGATTTCCTCTTTAGAGAGCTTGGATCTATAGATATCATTCTATTAATTGCCAACGAGCAGCCTCACAAAGACGCAATGCTGCGAGGCGGCAGCCTAATAGAGCCGTGCATGATTGTCCCAGGGGCACAAAAAATCTTTGTATCGATGTAACATAGAGTAATGTAAGGCAACCATGACGTAATGCAAAACAGAGAATGCTTTGTTTTTGAGCAAGCACGTGATGCAGATCAGAGAATCCACGAGCTGTGTGTGTTTGTGAGTGCCGTGTTCATCCCGTCTTCAACCAATCATCGGGTGGATCATTTCCATCCTACACAATCTCTGTCACATTTTTTTTGCCCACTGGAATTTTTCATTGCATGCCGCTTGGAAAAATAACCCAGCGAATTTTTTTGTGTCCTTGAATCAAAATAATTTGGAAGGCTTCATTGGCACACCATAAAATTTTTTTAGCTTTAAATAGAAACCAAATATAAGTCTGAACGTTGAATGTTCGCGGACTTTAATATGATTTTTCGAGGATTTTAAGGTTGCTTATGAAGACCACTAAATTTACGCAAAATGACTTGTGTGCAACTGTGGACAAAAACACAAGCTTCAATATCTTGAAAACTTTGCTGTGTTAAGTCGGAATTTCAAATTCTTTATGCAGTAGAACAGTTTAGTTTACTATTTTCAAAAGACAAATTAAAGCAAGGAGCACACATACACCAAACCCATCATCTGCCTTCCCCGCGCATGTCATGGGAGAACTGCCGTGCGGTTCCCTGCCAACAGCTGCCACATGTGTTGTGTGGAGCTGGCACTGAAAGGACTCACCTCGGCAGGAAAGGATCTTTTATACACGGGTTTTCCCCGGTCACTGACCGACGGCTATGCCATGCTGATGAGCCCCAAACAGCTGGCGAAACAGGCGTCCATGGCTGCCACTTCCCGCGTGATATGGCTGTGCCTATGCATGAGGTAATGGCCAGGCCGTGGGTTGGTGTATGTGTGCCCCTGGCTTTAATTTACTGGTAACTCGTGATCCACCTTCCTCACACATGTCATGGTAGAACTGCTGTGCGGTTCCCAGCCAACAGCTCCCACGTGTTGTGTGGAGCTGGCGCGTGATAAACTGCTTTGCACTCACTTCGGCAGAAAGCTAAGGGGTTTTTGAGATGCGGGTTTACCCTGTTCATTACCCCAATGACTTTGCCACGTTTGTGTGCCCCACTATGGGCAAAACAGTTGTCTGTGGTTGCCACTGCCCACGTGGTATGGGTGTGCGCATGCATGAGGTACTGGCCTGTCCGTGGGTTGGTGCATATGTGTCCCTTGCTTTAAGTTTGTACTATTTTCAATGTAATCAAATTAAGTTCACTCTATTTTTCATCAGTTACTGTATTTCATGACATTTTTAAACAAATTCAACAGTGCACGCATATAGGTAAAATCTTTGCTCGTTGGCACTTAGCAATAGCTGTAACTAGTTTAGTCACTAATCACCTTTTGGCTGGGGCATCATTTTTTATTTTGATAGTCCAACAGTGGTAGCACCTGTAACGGGGAGAATTAGCCACTAAACCGGTCTGAGAAATTTCATATGCCAATAAGTAGTGCTAGCTGCAGCCCATAGATTTCTAGGTGATAGAAGTAATTGTTGATATTAATTTTGTCTTGACAGGATCATGGACACCTTTTAATCCAGAAACTGTGCGTCTCATGATTGGTATGTTTTTTGGAACATTTTTGTGCAACAATCTCTAATTTAGATAGGTTTTCATTGATCTTTGTCGCATCAAAAACTAAGATAAACAATTTTCTCTTTTCCAGGCATGTTTGATCGTGATAACTCAGGCACAATTGAGTTTAATGAATTCTATGCCTTGTGGCAGTATGTGACTGACTGGCAGAAAACATTCAGGAGTTATGATACAGACAATTCTGGAACAATTGATAGACATGAACTGAAAACAGGTATTGATATAAAATTGAAATTTTGTTAATCATTTGATAGCTCTTTAAACATGAACCCTGCAGAATTAATAATTTAAATTTTTATCTTGAAATTTAAAAGTGGCCATATACCTCAACTTTCTAGAAGCCAGCTGTTTAGTTAGTTTAAACCAAATAATATTTTGTCATGTACTTCCAGAAATAATGTTCATACCCCCCACACAAGGGATAAGAAATTCCAAGGGGAGGGGGTCTCAGCCTCGGCGGGTGGCGGGGCGGGGAAGTTGAAGTATCATTGAGAAAGGGTACTGGAAAATCTATCATTTAAAGGGGCCTTTGTCTTGATTATAGTAACCCTTATTAGCTCTATTTTGTTCTGACAGTGTATTACCTGGTAATATATTTAATCCTCAGTTGTAATTTCTCATATATTTTTCTTTTTCTAAAACATTTGTAGCCCTTACAAACTTTGGTAAGTTATCCAGTGTTTTTTTCTTTTTTAAAAAAAATGCATTGTAAATATTTTTCTTGAAGTCTCTTGAATTATAGTAAGCATTTGACTCATGTTAAGAAATTAGCAGAAACCCAGCCGGCTTAGAAAACATGTTAATTCCATGCATTAATGTAAGCCAGTTAAGAATACTAGTAAAGCATCACCTGGAACTGGAACTGGAACTGGAAAGGCTTGACAAGAACTATCCAAATTATTCAAAATAAATTTTGATCTGTCTTGTTCCAAATTTTGTCCCTCTGGCATGGCTTTTAGAATGTGCAAATTCATTTATACTACTGACAATAACATAGTTGGTTTGTTTATGTCCCCCAAATTTGTCTTCTTCTTTCTTGGCAAAGCCAACTTACATGAAGGACAACAACATAAATGCCAAAACACACACTGGAGTGAAAACTATGCTGACAGGGCAGACAATAATAAGAGTTAAAGTTCTTATCTGATAAGAAAAAAACCGTTTTTGACTTGCAGGTTACAGGCTATCGGACAAAATGTACACAATGCTTATTACGAAGTTTGATAAAAGTGGTATGGGTGCTATCTTGTTTGATGACTTTATACAGTGCTGTGTTGTGCTACAGGTACGAAAACATGCTGTCAGCAGAGCTTCTTATAATAATCTTATACTTCTGGTGTCAGTAATGCCTATTAATTTTATACAATGTACATGATGGCATCTGACCTGTTGTTAAAACGATATCATTATGATATAATCATTAGAGGGTAAAGTGGCTATATAACAGAAAAGTGGACTTGTTGTCATCTGGAGTCCTTGCTGGAGTCCTTGAATTTAAGTCTCCCTCTGACCACCATATCCTAGCTGGATTTGTTTCTCTGTGCGCCCATGTTCAACTTTTTGTCCTTGCTTGTAATAGGCAATATTGATTGGGATACTAGCTTAACTTCGTTGTGTCAAAGTATTTGTAGAATTTATTTGTTTCAGATATTTGCTCCGCGCCACTAGCCTTTTAGTCTGCTAGAAAGCCGTTTTTTGTGTTGTCACGCAACGCTCCTCCCCACTAACTAGTGGGGAGGAGCATTGCATGACGACACTAAAAACAGCTGTGTAGCAGACTACTAGCCTTTCTGCTATTAAACTGCCAAGGGTAAATTAATAGTAAAGATTAATTTATTTTGTATTATTGACTTAGTTTGTGTTTTGTTTGGTGTGGTGTCTTAACCTGTGGTAGCGTTCAGTTCTAAAGATTTTGACAAATTTGTACTTTTGAAACCACCATGTTCATTATAGATTCTGACGAATTCCTTCAGAAGCCGTGATTTTAATATGAATGGCTGGATAACGATAGGCTATGAAGATTTTCTCTCTATGGTGTTCATGCTGAACCTTGGAACGTGACATTTATTTGATTACAAGATACAACAAATAATGACACAATTTGTAACAGTCGGAACGATTCACAGCGACAATTTTCAGCGCAACACAGCATTGAAATGTTGGAACACTGTTGTAATTATTCACAACAATGTCGCGACAATATTGCAACACTGTGTTGTGCTAAAAATCGTCATTGCGAATCATCTCATGTAATATCACCGTAAGATGGAACTGTGTAGAATTTGGATCAATTTATGAGTAGTTAGAAATTAAGAGCAGTGATTTTTTGACCTTTTAAATGCAAGAAGAAAGGTCAAATGGGAAAGAGATTAGTAGAAGTGTTAGGTAATATTAATATTGTAGGAGAAGGCTATAAGAGAAAGTTCATGCAAGTAGAAATGTTATTATTATTATAAATTATTGAATAGATGTAATGTTCTTAAACTTAGTATCGTGCTCTGTATTATAATAGTTTTAAACAAGAGTTGCAAGGAAGTGTTTTTAAAAGAAATCTTAATAGGGCAAGAACAGGAAGTCTACTGAAATCATTCGAAAGCTCTCTGTTCAGCGTCAACAAAACTTGGATCAGATCAAATCGTGTAACCTTAACATTGTCATTCGGTCACTTACAGGGTAACAATTTGATGTAGGTCTCTTAGTTCATCAAACCATAGTTAACAGATTGGAATGGTTATGAAACCTCTCAGACTCCTTTGTTGTATGTTTTTGTGAACCTGATGGTGCGCAACGTTCAAGAGCATTCCTAGCATTTTGATTGTATTGACCAATAAAAACGTTGCGGTAATTTATTCCGTCACAATTTGCCAAACAGAACACAAAGGATTGTGCACCTTCAGGGAGCTTCCAACATAAACTGTAGCACTATTGTTTTTATATTTGATGTTTGTTGTCTTTCATAACCAGTTTCCTCTAATAACTATGATCAAGCTAAAGTGCTTAGAAATTATCATGCACCAGTTTCAACAAAATGTGAAGTAGGCAGCTAGTTTGAGTAGAGTAACCTACTGGATGTGTTAAGGTTAATAAATATTGTTATTCTATACTTCAATAGATACGGAAAAAAGTAGACAACTTCTCAAAGCAATGCAGCTGTTGCTTTTTATTAGCTGCCCAGTGCTTACTGAAAGCATCAATAATACTATTATTGATTATTGTTAATGAGTTCTTGAATGTCTGTATATATATCAGTAAACAAGAAAATATAAGCATAATATTATGGAAATTTTAAAATAAATTATATATGAATCAATATTACTTTGTGTCTTGTCTGAACATTCTCAATTTTACCAATTCAAAAGACCCCCACCCCCTTAAAAATCATGTTAGCGACTCTACAAGCCCACAATTTGCTACCTCAACTTCCTTGGCAATTATGAACCTATTTCTCCATCGTTATCCGAAGTCAAACCTTTTGTGTGGTGGGGGTGCTACATGCTCGCAATTTTCTGAACTTGCTGCCTTGACTATCAGTACAAATATTTGTGGTCTTTTTTTTGTTAACTCCAATTCACTCGTCTGGCAGACATGTCTCTGATACTTCAAAAGTGCAAGTCACGACAAAAATTACAGTTAAAGAATTATAGCTGGTGCTGGTATGGACTAAAAAACAATGATGACAGTCGCAGACCGATTTAATGAAAATGTGTAAGTGGTAAATATTCTTAAAAAAAAAAAGGACCAACAACAACAAAATTTAATATGAAGGCTATAATAGCGATAAAGATGGATGAAGGTAATGGTTGTACAAGTCACAGGCAACCCACATTATACTGGAGTTAGATTCTGTCATGTCAAGCACCTTGTTAAATATCACTAAAAGACAGTATAGATGCCCCCTAAATGGAATGTGAGATCATGACAGGGTTATACACCTAGCTCTAGCTGTTTTAAAAATTGGAGCTAGGGGGAAAAAAGTTGGATGGGCTATAGGTTTCCCTGAAGTTCCAGCAATGAGAAAAATCACAGAAAATAATTTTTCCATGTTGCATTTTCTCAACACATTCGTTTGTTCAAAGATACGATTATAAAATAATGTATATTTGGGTAAACGAAGATGCTGTCATCGTGCCTAAAATTCGTTCCCCAGTAACTCACACTGCACTAAAAATACACTCATTGGGGTCCCCTTAAAAGTAACATTTTCCAGGGGGAATCCCCGGAATAATTGCCAGCAGGGAATACTCAAGTACTATCATGTCACCTTGATATCTACTTTCAGCAGCCTTTCTTATATTTTTTTACTTCTCGACCATTAAAAACTTTTAAACCAGGCTATTTAGACAGCTGTTTCTACATAACATTAAAAGCAACACTTCAATTCAGGATTCACCTTGTTTCTTCAGAGGTTTATTTATTACCATAAATCTCATTCAAGTCCTTATCTCTGAACAAGTATTGTGCATTAGAATAATTTATTTTTAAACCTGGCTGACTCTGCAAGCATTGAGTGAATTCTGTCTTTTGATTAGCTAAACTTAAGATGGGCTTATACAGTAAAAACAAGCGACAAAGAACCTGCAGTTTTCCAAGTTAGCATAAACAGGTTCTTACAGAAATGGTTATTAGCACAAGTTTAGGCTATTTAGCTTCTTAAATAGGTTCTTATTTTCCGGGAAAAATAATGGTAGCTATGAGTATTTACAGCTTATTCCTTACATAAAATCAGCATACCAAATTATTATTTATATATGATCACTATGGAAAGAAGGACTGAGGCACTGACCGCATGAATTTTGAAGTCCTTTTGTCCAAGTGTACAGAATGTTTTATAGATTTTAGAAGATAAGAACCTGTTTCAGATTTTCGGCTAAACAGGTTCTTGTATATAGAGGGCCTAACTGGCAAAGGAACAGGTTGTCTATGTCAACAACAACAACAACAACAAACCTGCCACTTGAGTTGCTGGATCTGTGACAAATATTATTTTATAATAATAATTATTATTTTATTTTCTACATGTCCAAAGTTTAGTTCTAATATTGCCTCTATTAAAATAAAGCAGCAAACTGATCCAAACGTTTTGGGGACACATATTATGTTTTAAGGTTAAAATTTGTTTGCTCTTTTACCCTTGCCTATATATGGTCACCTAAAAAGGCCAAAAAATAGGGTATGTTTTGCAGGCCATTTTTCCTGCTCTTTTCACCAACCATAAGGATGAGTTTGTTGCTTCACAACCCAATTACAAAGAAAGCTTTTCCCCTTGTTCATAAAGTAAAAAATAAAATATGTGGAAAAAGAAACGTCACAAATGATAAATTTAAAAGAGTGGGTTGTATACTAAACTTCAAGCCCAAAGGAAAAAGTGTTTCTTGGAGGGCATCAATAGGGCTAACTGTTTAGCATGGAACCGGTCATTTCAATACAAGTCGTTTTGATATGAACTCAAGCGGTGAAATTGCACAAAAATTTTGTTCACTTCAAGCAGAGTTTGTGCATGAACAAGAAAAACATTTTGGTTAAATATTCTTTGTTCTTTAAGCCAATTAAAGGACATGAAACTATTTACACCTTGACTGAATATACTTGTATTGAAACTACCATTAACCTTTAGCATAATAGTAAAGACAATTTTAGCTGTATGATGTAACCATATTAATGACAAAATACAAACTGAATGCCATTTAAAAAGCAGTAGCATATTGAAATCAAATAAATTTGGAAGTCAATTTCTGGGAAGAATATCAATTTAAAAAAGACGTGTTTGGGGTTCCAAAAAAACTCTAATTTCATTCTCTGGAAAACAACTAGAGAGTGGGTGTAGATGTAAACCTCATTGACACCCTCTATACTGTTCCAAGTTTTTACTTGTTACCATATTTATTTAGTTACATGCTGCACTTATTAAACTTTTTGTGTTTCCTATGCGGCATTATTATTAAAGGAAGGCATTTGTTTCAAAATCACGAACAATGATTACAATGAATCATTTGCAAATGTCACATAAAACAGCGAGAAGTTTTATCTTCTCGCTTTTCGCTGAGGTAGAAACGTAATATTGGTTGGTGTAATACACACTCAGAGATTTAAAAATTCCTTGCAATTCTCAAATAAATGCCACATTCTTCTGATTTGTGCTGCATTTATTCCAGAAGAACATTTTAATCAAGTAATAATATTGTATGTAATTTATGCACAGTGCCTAAGATTCCTCCTAAGTGGTTGTGTTCTCCTTATATAGAGAAAAACGTTGTCCTCCTGGGACATTATTTTATTAGTTACAAATTAAAGTTAATTAATAAGTTATCATCTATAGTTTATCACTGTTAATAAATATTTAAAAAGCCTGTTAAAAAGTCCTGCTTTTTACCATAATATTTTAAAATATTATAATGATCAAAAACCTTTTTGTTTAGCCTGCAAGCATAGCCAGGTGGCGATGGGCTCAACCCTCACAAGTTTCTATAAAAATATTTTAAAAAAAAATTCTGAATAATAATATTATTTCTAGGTAAATTTTTAAATTGTTATCTCCTTAGTCTCTAACTAAGGTGGCTGTTTCAACAGCCAGTGGGGCATATTTGTACTTGCTGATGGTGACACAGAACTATAACCTGCAAATAGAAATACATTATTTAAATTACTGGCATAAAATAACAAAGATAAACACACACTGGCACTTGCTGTCAAGAACATTTTACGCCATTATTATCATAGTGGATCACTAGCATGCCCATGAATGCATTTACCCATCCCTCCCTGTCCACCACAGTTCAGTTCTATACTACTTGGTTTGATTACCGGTAATTGGGTGATAGTACAAATCCAGTGCGACCACACGAACCGAGGCCACCCAGAAAAAACTTTGAGACACATTCTGACATTAGCCAATCACACCTCGAGATCAAATCACCGAAACTGCGTTTCACTCGCTGAGCGCCATTTACCGTGAAATGAGTGCCGTTGCCTCTAGGTCAGGTTGTTCAAAATCTCTTTACTGCTACAACCAGTTGCAACAGTACTTGAGACACTTTGATTTTTTTGGCCTGTCCATGAGACCCCCCTCCACCCCTTTTCAAAGACATACAAGACCATGCTCAAAAAAACAACTTTTGGGGGAGGAGGGGGTCAGTATTTTATCTTGACTTTGACTACACAATTTGAAGCAAGACAGGTTTTTTTTTTCACGAGAGTGTCTCAAATTTTTCTACTGGTTTATTTATATCCTTTACAAAAATGGTTTTCAATGTATTTTGAATACAAACGTCACAATTATTATTATATTCTTTGTTTGGATGTCAATGTTTTTGAACTGCCTAATTTCAAAATTTGCCTCAAAATTTTTCATTGTTTAGATCTCCACTTGTCATTGGCTAATTTCAATCCCATTGTGTAGTTATCTACCTAAAAGACATGGCAACATTGTGGGCTCAATTTCTACTGCTCTCTCAACGTCTTGCGGAGAGACAGCTGGATACACGAGTGGCCAACGACTGTGACATAACTTCAAAATTTAATATTATTTATGTGCAGCTACAAAATGCTGGAATGGGAAATGCCATCAGACACAGAACAGGTTTTTGTTTTTTGCTTGGTGGCTTTCGTTTTTTGTCCTTAAACTCAGCATGATCTTGCATTAGCGAAGAAAGGGGTGAAATCACAGTTTGGAAAATACAGTAATTATCTGCATATAAGAACCCAAAATTTAAGAACATGTTAGGCTAAAATTTCCATTTTAAACCCCTTTTCATAAGAACCTATTTTGCCTAAAATTTTCAATAGAATCTTATTTTTCAAATATGAAGGCACAGATGAAAATACAGAAAAAAAATTAATCTAGGTCTCAGTCAGAAAGATTCAAAGACATGAACTCAGATGAAAACCATATCATGTCTTTGCCGACGCAGCATTTTATGGACACCGCAGAATGAATGACATGCATGCTAGTACTTTGGAAAGATAAATTTACTGTATGGTTATCACCTTTATACTACTACATGAGAAATTTCTGCAATTTGATTGGCTTAGAGCAGTGGTATTTCAGCTTAATTTGAAATACCTACATGTGAAAATTACAAACCTCTTGCGGGTAGTAGTATAAACAACTAATAGCATGATTTAAAACTGTATCTTAGATAATTTGCAACCATGGCAACATGATGCAACAACTTCTCCTCTCTATAGACCTTTTTAGCTTGTATGCTTTGTTCTCCCATTTCAGACCACGTTATGTTACCCCGGAGAACTGTTTCTTTCAAATGTCGTCCTGAATGCATGTGCATAATTTTGTAAGCATAATTTATAACAAGGCATAAGACAAATTCCCTTGAGAAGATCACATGGCCTGAACGGGGAATCAAAATGTACAAAGTAAAAAGGTCTATAGAGCCTAGCAACATCACCAATTCACAGAAAACCCTAAACCAACAAACAAATTTCTCAGTAACTTTGTACTCACCACTGGTACATGTACCATGATGAGACTTACTGCTATGATAACTTGACATAGTCTCGTGCTGGTGTTGCCTCTGGCGATCCTGTAAACATTACCATAAGACATGAGCAATAATTGCAGCTCATTACCCCTTTCACTCCCTGAATAGTTGCCTTAGCAAACAAAAAATTCATACAAATTTAGGAAATAGATGGTGCTGTGCAAAAGTTCTGTAAAAGAGGTTTCACTTAACCCTTCTAGTCGCAATAGTGACCAAAATCAATTTTCTCCTAACAACAATCAATAGACAATCAAGAGGAAAGGTTATGAGAATTAATAAAAATAATGTTCACCAAAGAAAAAATGCTTTGATCTTTTATCAAATTCTCTCAATAAATTCTTTAAGGAAATGTATGGAGATCAGTTCGGAGAATTTGTATGTGGATACTGGGACTTGAAGGGTTAAATGGTAAAACCATTAATTTGATTTCATCCACAGATTTAACAGTTATGGTAACAAATAATCTCTTAAGGTGATTCCCTAGTAAAAGAACCTAACATAGATTGTAGATGAAACTTGGTACACTGATGTAACAAGTCAAGAAGATGATAAAAAGGTAATAAAAAGTGGGGGTCACCGTGCTCGTTTTGACGTCACAATGCTGACAAATACGGTTATTTTGGACCCTTTGACAAAAACCGCGCGCAGCCCAAAACTAGACAAAAAGGAAAGATTTTTTCAATGATGCATGTGGTATCGCACCAAATTTGCCTTTAATGTATTGTTTATCCACTTGCGTACTAGAACAAGAGAATGCCTTTTAATGCCGTTGTTTTTACTTTACGCTCCAAAGTAGAATTAAATTGGACACGTGCTATTCCACACGTGATAGCTCAATCCGTACAATTTAGTAAAATTGCCAAAAAACTGAACATAGATTTGTGCCAATTTTTTTCTCACCGAAAGGAAGTACTGTCCTTATTAAAATCACGAAATAAAAAATGGGGGTCACCGTACTCGTTTTTGCGGTAGAGCTGCAGAAAGTGCGCACCGAATGCATTTTCCTTGATTTTTGAGAGAGGTCTGGGGCGAGTTTCAAAATAGAATGTATGGGAAAGGGCGAAGAAAGTATTAAAAAATCCGTTTTAACAGAATTTACATCGAGATATCACATTTAGCACACAATGTGATAAAGAAAGCGTTTAAATGAAAATCAAAGTGAATAAGCACAAATTAAACATCCACTATCGAGGTTCTCCATGAGGAAGTCGAACTCAGCAACACACGTACTGCTCACGTTATGCACATTCCCACCACATTGAGTCTCACCTCAGCAAGAAACAACCACAAGCAAAAACTGCAACAGCGTTTCTCTTCGGTCAACTTCATTTTAATAATGTTACTTCACATGCTCTTTTTTACGGAGGCCATCTTGTTATGCGCAGTAAGAGATGCGCAGTGCAAAACCAGGGAATCACCTTAATAACTTGATCTTAGAGTAAAACCCCATTTACACGTGCTAAAAAAATCGGCACGGCACGCCAAATTTTTGGCACTGTGCTGATGATTTTAAGGCATGGCACTCCCAATTTTCGACGTGTAAATGTATGGGTCCCAAATGTAATGTGGCACCAGTGCTCAAAATTTTAGGGGTACCCAGAGGTAGTCTCAGCACGGGTAAACGAGGCATGGCGCCAAAAATTTGGCGTGCCGTGCTGAATTTTTTTAGCACATGTAAATGGGGTTTAAAAGGCTAAGAAGACAGCGTAGTACTCATGGACAGCATTTCAGATGTGATCATTAGCAGATCTGCGGGCAGTACCATAAGAAATGCATAAAAAACAGTAAGGAAAATACGCATGTTGATATTCGGCTAATGGGTTTAAAGAATCAAAGCACAAGTTACCTTGCCACTATTAAGTTCAGTTATGGTTGTAAGAATCTGTTGCCTTTCACCCGCAGTTTCAACACCAAGTTCACGGAGATCTCTGTCAGTAAGTGTAAGGAATGCTTCCATATCAACCTTAACAATGACATAATAGATGTATTACAATAATATTAAACTGAAGGAATTAAATCCATGGGGAATCAGTTACTTACAACAGCACTAGCTTCAGAAGGGCAGCGAGTAGCATGCAAAGAATTAGTCCTGTCCGACAGCCCAGGGCAGGGTTAGAAAAAAATTTTGGACTTCACTTGTCCAATGGACAAGTGAGGTTCTACTTATACTTGTCCAAAGTTCAGGTCTAGTTGTCCTGGCATGTCAAGTTAAATCCAAGTTCTAATGACGCATGGTAATGGATAAAAGCATGAATCTGTTTATTGTTGGAACTCAGATTAAACATACAGCATTTTAAGTGTCAATAAAGCACTCATTCAAGTAACTGTATGCCTAATACTGTGTTGTTGTTCGCACCATGTACTACCCAGCAGGGGAAGGTTTCTTTCCAAGATTCCTGAAACTTTCGAACTCCTACCGTTAGGCTGTCACCATGTTTCTTCTCAATCACCCCAGTGTCTTTTGCGGAAGGATTTCCTTTCCTCTTTGGCTACTTCAATGGGGCATCAAAATAGCCTGTTATGCTTCGCTGAGCCACCATTGTGTACGAGCTTACAGTTACATAGAGGGTCTATTATAAATTAATTCAAAAGTCGATCCCCCCAAGAGTCTCAGGCCACTTTCAGTGCGTAATAAAACAAAATGCTGGATAGATTGTAAGCCACCTGCATCATGCAATCAGTGCTGTTCCCTTTTCATTTCTAACTTGTCAGTTACTTTCACGAAAAGCGATCTGTTTTACGCTTGCAAAAACTTGGCTGTATACTTAATGTTTCGTTGAAACATGTTACAAGCACCTTTTTATTTACATGTATTTTCAGAAGATTTACTTGTTTAAAGGACAAGTAAGGTTGCTGACCTACTTGTCCACTGGTCAAAACCACTCGTCTGGGGCAAGTGGACACAGTTTTTGTCTCACAGGGCAAGTGGATTTTGCAATTGGGCTAGTGGATTCTGTTCAGAACTTCTCAAAAGAGATTATTATTGTTGTTGTTGTTATTATTATTATTATTGTCAGATCCTTGATTTACCTCTTGTTCTTCAAATATTGGCTGGTACTTTTCCAATGACAGCTTCTTAAGAATATTTTCAGGGTCATCTGCTGTGAAGAAGGTGAAAAAACAAAGTCACTGATATCCTCAAAAGCTGCAGTCACTAAATAAAACCTAATAAGATCATCTAAACAAGACACTATTTTGGGTCTGTTTGAGTAAACATATGGACACACTTATGTGTTAAGTGTCTGGAATACATCAGGGAGCTTACACGACCCCAAAGGCGACGGCAACAAGAACAACAAAAAAAACAATAGGTTTAATAAGCAAAACAACAACTTTGCACGTGCTTCACCCTTTTTTGTACATTTCTTTGCCATTAATTGTTACACAACTACAACGTGAAACTTCCTAGTTTTACGTTTTATGGAGGACATGAACACAGACAACTTTTTGCTTTTACTTTTTCTGAACTTGGATATTACAGTCCTTTAGAATCCACCCCAGAAAAATTCCCCAACACTTGACAAATTGAAATTGAATAAGAGTTATAAAGTTTGTTTCAGAGCAAATTCAATTTCTAAGTGATATTTTCGTTGCCATTGCTTTTGTCGCTTAAGCTCCCTATTAGCTGGGGTGGCCATGGGGGTGGTAGGAATTGAATCAGAAATGCCAACCTCAAAAATCACACAAAAAATTCAATTGTTTACAATAATAAGAGACACAAAAAAATGCTGCCAGAAATTTAACTATAGAAACTTTAAAATGGAGTAAATTAATGTTTTATTTGATTTTAAGACTACAATTCCAGGCTATGCACTGAGATAAGCTAAAAAGATGTTATCCAGGAGATTGTAGTGACCCATACAAGAGACCAGGAGATTCACTACAAGGTATCCAGGAGGGTTGACATAATTACATGTGGAGAGCCAAAAATAAAGATGTGCACTTTACATAAAAACGTTAAAATGGAGACTTCATATAAAACAGTCACCCTTATAATTTGAATTCACTGATAAAAAAAAAAGTGGAAAAAGGATAATGAACAGAAGCCATGAAAAATTAGAGATAATGAAATATTCAGCCTGAAACGAGCAAAAAAACATCAGCCAGTCAAAACTCATATCCACAAAAAAATACCGAACCATTATTTTGATAAAAGAAGACCCCTCACCAAAATATAGAAAAGTCACAATAAAACTCATTTGCATTTCCATAATAACTTTCATGCCTATACATCATTGTGTCATTTTAGATACATTCAGGGACACCTTCCATTCTTTGCACAACTTCTTTCCTCTTCCAAGATGCTTTAAATGCGTGCTTTAGTTTCACATTTATTTGTAATCAAACTAGCTCTTAAACTCAAACCAACAACAACCAACAAAACCAAAACAGTGATGCAAGACTTAATAGACTTGTCTAGGTAGCTGATCATTGAAACAGTCAGAGTAAAAATAGTCCTCTGAGAGGACAAGCGCTCACTGGCAACGAATAGTCTAGCTGTACAGAAAAATGGGCAATGACTAGCACCTATAGTCTGGAGGATAAATGATAAAGGCTGGTTTTCACTGGCGACTTTGGAGTCCTAAGTGGAGTCGTAAGAGCCCTTATGACTCAGTGAAAATCAAAAATCGGAGTTGTAAGCTGAGTCAAAAGAATAAGAACGTTTCCATTTCCTTACGACTTCATTGCTTACGACCTAGTGAAAACCAGATTAACGGAGTCAAGAGTGGAACCTTGGATAAGCCAACCACAATGCATGTTCCCACACTTCTTTGTGATTGGTTTAGTTCTTCCGCTTCTGCTTGCGACTCCAACAACTTAGTTTTCACTTGATCATAAACAACATAGTGGTATGTGGAATCAGAACACTGTTTTCACTAGATCAAAAAGTTCTACGCTTTTGATTACAACTCTGACTCTGACTCTGACTCCATCACTAGTGAATACCAGCCTTAAAAGGATAAATACAGCCAAAGTTATGACTTTTACAGATATGGTTCTGGGACTATTGTAATTTCTTGCCAAGATTAAGCAAGCAAATGATGTAACAGAATTACCATACGATACAATTTTAAAAATGCTAGTTGAGTTGAATTTATGCAAATTTGTGACATTTTAGTTGAATATTTACCGGTACATAGTAAAAATGACAGTTTCGTCTTTGCATTTTCCCCCAGTGTGATTTTCAATGTTTTATTTTAATACTTGCAACAATCAAAAATATTCATTTCTTCTAAAACTCAAACAACACATAAAGCAATCACAAATGGATGGAAATAGCACAATATTAATATGGCTAAAGCAATTCTAGAATTATCGTAAGTCAAAGCAGAGCATGTTTTCTACAATCTTTGGCTCTGAAGGTTAGGCGTTAACACCTCATGTACTACGAGGGCAAAAGAAATGTCCTTACGGACAGACTTAAGCAGGCAATGACATAGAGCGTTACTAGCTATAAGCCTGTAAACACAATAATAAGTCTTAAACATTGTATGTGTAGTTAATTTTTCATCTCGGGCAATTTTTATTTTTCCTTTGTTTCAACTTCATTAGCAACATTACCATACCCAACCACAAAAGACAGACAAAAATTACCTGAGATAAAAAATTAACCACAACATATATATTGACTATGAAAATAATATTGTTTGGGAAACACATGACAAGCATACCTTCACTGAAGTCAAATGTGTTGTTATAAGAGTATCTACGGTGGGTATGAGATGTTAAGGTGCTGTTGGAACTATCAGAGTGGCTTTGAAGTGAAGGGAAACTTGATTGTTTTTGCATGGAGGATGTCCAAGCAGGTGCAGAGTGTACTGATGTAGGAGTGGGTGAACGACTGAAATTTGCCTTTCCTGGCTTGTGCCATAAAGGGGATGATGGCCATGGACTGAACACTGATTCCGCAGTGGGGCTTGTTGCTTTTATTGTCCTGATAAGAGGAAGAATAAAACCCACCACTCACAAAAAACAGTTTAACCAAGAGAGGGGCCTAACATTAGTATTTGCATTATGAGAACAGCAGTGTACAGAAAACCATCGAACCAGAGGAAACAAACCAAACATTGCAGGTGGCATGCCAAGTGGTTTAGAACAGGACTTGTAACCTGGACGCTCTGAGTTCAAGTCCTTCCCTGACTGCTAGCTGGCAGGCGCAGATCCACACCGGTTTTCAGCATTTTACAGAAATCGGTTTTTCATAATGAACAACTTCAATTTTCCAAGTTGAAATCTGGAAAGTGGTTTGGACTCTCCTTGCTCCATATCCACTACAACATGAAAATTGACCTTGATGAAAATCAGCTGATTTGTAACGCTTCATCTGAGGAGAATAGAACTGGCCAATATCCTGTCTAACTGACTCAGAAATCCAGGAAAGCGCACTTTAGGGAATTAAAATCCAAAAAATGTCCAGGAGAGCATGCCCCTCGACCCCCCTAGAAGCTTGCGCCTCCCAACGCTCGTTTAGCAAATCAGTCAGTATGTATCCTGGATCTGTGCCTGGCTGGATTTGTCCTTAGTAGTTCTGAGTTCAGATCCAAAGTCACACTTGTAAATAACCAACTGGTTTGCCTCCTACCAGTTGGGATTCTAAACTATATTATTTATGTTCCATTTGAATTATTGGTTCATTATATCTCTGAAAAACCCCATAAGGGAGAGAATTATTAATACGGTAATTACTACTACTACTACTACTACTACTATTATTATTATTATTATTATTATTATTATTATTATTATTATTATTAACTACAGAACCCGAAAGAACCACTAGAACAAAAGAACAAAACACAGCAGGAAATCCATCTTGAGTCATGACATTAGCTGTGGGGTTGCTATTGCATCAGCAGTTAGCATTTTCATTGGTGTTTAACCAGGACCGCATTGGTATCGTCGCTCTTACCTTGAGCCGGAGTTGTTGGAATTAGATGAGTGGAAGCTTGCAGTGGAATAAGATGACTCAGGACTTCCAGTAAAGTTTGTAATTTTCTTTAATGTTGGGGAAATTAATGGCCTGTCTGTTGGATATGCACTAACACTACTCTGCTCAAAAAACAAAAAACAAGAATACAATAAATTATGATGTATGTAAAAACAAGTCTGGCAATCTGGCATCATCACATACTTCCCTGGGATAGTGTAAGGAGCTGGTACATTCGCATAAATGCTAGAGCTATTATTTTAGTTAGTATATAGTTCTAAATGTTGATCAAGTCGGTGGATGAAATCTAATGGCTTCACAATTAGTACTTCCCCTTGGCACTGTTTATTATGGTAACTGCATAAACCAGTTGGAGGGCCCAAGTAGTTTCACATAGGTTTGACACTTTTTGGCACACTCATCAATCAAGTCATTATCCAACCACCTCCATATACTGTTTATTTATTTACTTATTTTTACATTCATTTTAAACATTAACCTGGGAAATGTCTTGTCATTATCATCATGCTAAAATATTTCTGCTGCTAAATATGTTAACAGATATTAAACATCTTTAGCAGAAAAAAAAGAGATGACAATATATGATGACAAGAAATTACCGAATTTTATTCATTTCAACTTCACTTTTCTAATGTACATTTAATCAATGCCCACACAACATTGAGAACTAGAGCTCTTAAAAGCATCATATTGTAAATTGCATTTTTGTCAATAAGTTTAAAATTTTAACTTGAATTTACCAGGTGTTTTTTAACCACAAGTCTTACTAACTATGAAGAAGAATTCACAATTAGAAACCTTCATGTAACTGGTAAACTCGTTTAATGTACTAAACTGCGAACCAAGTGCTGTTGAAAAGTAAATTTTCAATGAATTTATTCAGGATTAGAATCACGACATTATGCATGCAAACTCTGCAGACTAATCAATAATTTAAGTTTAATTTTAAGATTTAGTCACCAACTTTAAGTTCAACTGGCTTATACGCTTATCAATATTTCATTACTGGTTAAATAAAGTTTACTGTTTATTACTATGTTATCCAGAAGATCCGCAAAATATTTTTTCTGTACATCTGGAATGGATTCACCATTAACACAGAGACTAGGAACCTAAATGTTAAAAACAACACAGCTTCAGACATTAAAAAAAACGCACAAAATCATTATTTCCATCATTATCAATTTACTAAGATTAGAATAAGCTTTGCAAATAACAGCTATCACATAGTGTCTCAAATAATCACATCATAAATGAATCTTGGAGCACAAGTTTGACCTGGCTTGCTTTACTGCACAGTTTAAAAAACAAATCAGGGTTCAAAGAGATTTAACACTCGTGATAAAAACAAACACAGTGCTCCATCCAATTGAGCAAATCATGCAAAGAGGAAAGTCGGTTAATAGTGAGGTGTCTGGTAGCACATTTTATAACTTATTTTTATAATTTATGCCAACTTGCATTTTATTGCCTTCGGGGCTGATGTCTCCAAAAAAAGGTTAACAACAGAATTAATAATAATGTAGTTATTTCAGGCACACAAAAAAGAGGGGAAGGGGAAGACAAGGGTGAAAGGGAAAAGGAACAGAATCCTGACCCCAATCCCCCCCTCCCTTTTTCCCTTCCTCCCGATCCCCTACCCCCACTATTGGATGAAAGTACCTTGAAAATGCTTATGAAAATATGTGACCCTGTGACCCCAATGACCCCTGAAAAAAAAACCTGTGAGCCTGTGACCCCAATGACCCCAATGAAATGACCCCAATGAAAAAAACCCTTGATAATGACCCCAATCCCCTGGATGATTTGATGAAAGACATTTGTTTTGCTACTCAGGTTTCGTACTGCCAAAAATACTTGATTCACAACCCAAAGATTGATATAGAAATAAACAAAATTAATGGCATTAGGGTTTGTTGAATATGGTTTTGCAAAAAATTTTAATTCGTTATTGTATTACAGTTTACAAAACCAAGCAGTTTGTGGTAGGAATACTCAGGTAATTTCGTGCAATTTGCATTTTTCTAATGTTTTTTTCGTTCGTGTTTACAAATTTCTACAGTGTTCCTACCCTTACACACTCTTACATGTGATTATCAAGTCCCTATGACACAGTCATGTGTAACAAGAATAATTGTCTTTTGGTTTCTGCTTGGGAAGTGGCGAAATTACAACAGTATTATAATTTTCCAGGCAAAAATTGCTTATTCAGATAAGAACCTTTCACTTGTCACTTAAAAAGAGACTTTTCTCCAGCCTAAAGAGGACTTTAAGAAAACCAATGCTGGCCATGTATCTGCTGCATACTAGCCAATTTGACTTAATGACATGTCTGATATCTTCCTCTTCACAAAATGATGTTTAAGTTTGAGCATTTTGGACCTAAATGTCGAAACCTAGTTGAGAGAAGTGTTGAGAAAGAAAAGAAATCTAAATGTTATTTAAATTTTAATTAGACATTATGTCCAACATCTTTATTCTCAAAAGGATGTTTGTGTTAAAGAAGCGCTGTGAGTTATCTATTTCACCACATTTGGTTTAATATGGAACATGTTAAGCAAGTATAATTATTGTTCCTAAGCTGAGAAAGTGCATTAAATGTTTCATTTATTGTTACCAGGATAATTAAATGAACACCATGACATTGCAAGGGTGACCATGTTGAAACTCCAGCACTGAATTTAATGAAATGTTAAATGCTTATCTTGCAAGCATTCAGATTATGGATGCACTTGGCGCGGTTAGTTGCTAGCCGCGAATGAAGCATAAAAATCCAGAGTTGCTTGATGTGATAGCCAAGAGCAATTCAAAATTCTAAAACTGGTCACTGACAAGGTATATTGTAAAATTTTTTCTTGGTTGTTACTTCAGCTATGCAACATCATTGTCACATCAGCAGCAGCGTTCAAATAATTATGTAGTAGGCTGTGTCACATAAGAAATCAGCCTTGCATTGGATGTGAGCCCACTGAGCCTCGGCGATACTGTGTTTTCATTAGTTCATAAATAAATAAACTTACATCCAGTATTGAATAAATGAAAATAATTTGAAAAATCATATGTTTTAACTAAATAAGCATTTGCTGTAAAAACCTGCATTGAAGTAAGTATATAACTGCCATAATCTTTTATAAATGTGGGAATGGACTGACTTGTGTGACACTTTTTTGGAAATAGAACGTATTTGGCTAATACTTGTTCTACTATCATGCTAGCGTACAAATGACCATGTCGATGAGGAAGAAATGGACTTCAGACAGGTTACCCAGAACAAGTGAACAAACAAATCAAGGAAAGAAGATTGACTGAAGTAGTAACCACGCCACTTTTGCAAGTGATGGTGATAATAGTGTACTTGATACATCCCATTTTTGAGTCTAATTCGAAAGGATAAGTCTCAAGCTGTTAAAAAAAGGTCAAACCTAGAGCTAGTTAAAATAATGGAGCAAGTGAAATGTTTGTTAATTATATATCTGTTTATTCATTCAGTATTTGTCTATTTCTAGTCGGCTAAAATCTCCCAGATAATTCTCCATGACCAGCTACCAGGCCTTCCAGTTTAGGAAGACGCAAATGCTTACAATATCAGTACAGTTTCCCATATTGTACTGATAATCAGAGAGAAAGGGACAGCAGGGCACAGTAGTCCAACTGTGCTTTGGTGGAGATTCAGTCTTAAGTGTTATGAAGAAAAAAACTTCAGTTGTACAGCCCCAGTAACTCAAACTCTGAAGGAAACGAAAAACTGTTTGAGTTAGTAAAAATTTAGTTATCAGGGTAAATTTCACCGTTGAAATTTAGAAAGCTAAGGAAGGAAATTTAGTTTGAGTTACTGGGGAATTCGAGTTATCTGAGGTTTTACTGTAAACTACTGCCTAAAGCAAGTAGGAATCAAGGATGACAACTGCTATTTGAAGAATATCTGCTATCAAAACTAAACATCCACTGCCAAAGAACATGCAAATACATGTATTATGAACATTGAGGCAGCAACGTACATAAGTTCTTTACTCGGAAATAATTTTGAATGAATAATAATTGTTTTAAAAACAATCATTATGCAGCTATCAAGGGGGCTCGATCCACATAATTCTTCGCAAAATAGTGACTCCAAACTGAATGCAAATAGAATATGTGAAACTCACTATAACTTTCACTCTTAGCTTCAAGAACCAAATTAAAGGTGCTAAGAAAAAATGAGACAGGAAAGGACTTTTCTTTCATCATATTCAATTTATCAAAGCGAGGTTGTGCATTTCCAAATGAAATTCATGTCAAAAAAGAAAGGAGAGTTTTTGATCACAAGAATAACAACTTAAAGAATCAAATAACTAAAAAGAAGGAAGCATCTTAGTCAGAGAAAAACAAAACTTAAGCTTACTGTAAAAGTTCAAATTTATGTGCTTATCTGTTTTCCCTAATTCAAGTGGCTAAATCTCCAGCCCGCTGTAAGATGTAAGTTCATTCCCTGGATGATCCTATCATAAGCAGCATCTTCAAGCAAGTCTGTCCACCCTAATTGAAGAACTGGTAAAGAATAACGAGAATTTATTAGATTTAAATGTGTGATAAATTTGTACAAGAAAAGGGAAAAGCTTTCAGATATGGAATTAATAAAGCCGCATGTCCGCTCAAGATTCGTTCATGCATTAAAGCTTAAATCAAAGAAAGAAAAAAAAATTGTGTTGTGTAATTAAAATGACCAAAAATACAGCCGTAAGTACTCACCTTAAAGAACTTTTTTTTCTTCCATTCGGCATATCATTGAGCTTCTGCTTCTGTATAACAACAGGTAAAAATATCATAAACGGAGACTGACTTCACTTGTGAACTCAACTCTTTTGCTCCGACCTCAGTTTGGATCTCATGCTTGTCCCTCACATATTTTTCTTTAATTTAACCGGTCAAACAAAAAGAATTTGCACAAAGACGATCTAGATCGATCCGAACGTTCAGAAACCAAGATGGCCGCACTCGGACGAGAAAGACTGGATCCTAGCACCCGTGTTTTGGCGGTTTTGGCGCGAATTTCTGAACCCGGCTTCCAAACTCTTTTCATTCGTTCAATCACAACAAAGATAGAGGTGACGTGTAAAAGCTGAAAAGACAAAAACAAGACTTTATTTTTCCCTACATCGATTTGTAATCATAGCCTTTTCTTCGATGAAGTTTTCATTTGTAAAATAATCAAAGACTGGCTAAAAAGGTAAGTGCTATCCTTCCTTTAATTTTGATAAATGGGCCTTTTGTACAACCATGTTGATACTGGTGAGTTTTAGAAAGGAACTACATATGTACATAGCTGTATAGCTTCTTCTCTGCTTCTTCTTATCTTTTTTTTTTACTATAAACAGGTCCTACGTTTATTTGAAGTTGAGCTATTAAGCTAGTGAATTGTATTAAACAACAACTGTGCAGCAAAGTTCTTGTAATGAACACTTTCAGTTTCTATATGGTACATAATACAGGATTGATAAAACAAGCCTTTTTGTGTATTTAACTGTCGTACATGTTGTTTGGAGTATCTGATGTGGATTCTGGATTCCAGGTACTGGATTTCAGTCCTTGCGCTGTATTTTCGGGATTGTAAGGCCAAGGATTCTAGATTCCCTTACAAGGGGCGAGTTTTTAATAACTCAGTGATTTACTAAAATAATTCATTGGTTTGGATGCACGCCCTCATGGTATTAAAACTTAATCCTTAAACACCTTTTTATCTAACCGTAACAGTACAGTATTTCTTACAGTTTAGGACTTTTCTTTTCTGTTTTAGCTTGTAACAAGCACACCTCTCATCTGTTCTTTATTTCAGATTTTTATTTCAAATTGTTGTGAAACTAAATAGCTACTTCTTTTTATCACCTACCTGACTATGAAAACTACTTAACTAATGAAGTTAAATACTTTTTTATAAACAGTAACAAAGACTTCTGTAAAAATGCCTGTGTCTTGATGGCCAAGGTGAATCAAGCACTCAGTATATAGCATTCATGCATATCATGCCAGTTCATCTGACAAAAAGTTTGTGGTTTTTTGAAGACCATCAATGTGAGTATCTCTACATTTTTTTAAGTTAAGAAGACCATCATCAATCAGGATCCAATTTATTTTGTGTAGTTTTATATGAGATATTAGCTAATAAAATAATTACGCTGTATTAGCTAGGAAAATAATAAGATGTATTTACCTGTGTTCTTGTTTCTTTATGAGTTGTTGTGGAAGGGATTTGAATGCGATCGGAGACGGCAAACATTGCTAGCTGTTGCTGGTATCAAATGGCTGTTTGTCTAGTGCTTCATAAATAGGATGCAACAGTTACATATCAAGTTTCCAATATTCCTTTTTCCCTTCCTCCCGATCCCCTACCCCTTTAGATGCTTGCAATGCAGGCTAAGCCTTTACTGAGTTTTAAACTCTGACTTCTTCGAATCTTGTGGAGGCAGCATGATCCCACGGTTAGAGCACCGGACGTGTAGTCTGGAGGCCCCAATATCAAGTCCCACCTTGACTGCTGGCTGGATTTGTTCTTGTTAGTCCCGAGTTCAAATCCTCGGCCACGGTTGTAAATAACCAGCTGGTTTGCCTCATACTAGTTGGGATTGTTAGCCGTACTATGTTTCATTTGAAATATTAGTTCATTATCCCTGAAAAGCTTCATAAGGGGAGAGGATGATTAAGTACAATTATTATTATTATATACTGATTATAGCCAAAAGCTGGAACTCCAGCAGTTGTAAAACATAACACAAAGTCAAATGAAAATCATTCACAAAGCATCGAGCAGTGCATGGTGACAGCAAGACAGTATTTGGCTTCAACACTACTTACCGGTCCAGTAGGCGTTGTTGGAGTTTGTAGATCGTTGCTATGCTGTGGACGATGTATCATTGGTAATTCAAAGGCAGGAGAGGGGAGGGGTGGAGGTATGACAGGTGTGATGACATCATCTGGCAGTTTAGTAACATGTGACACCAATGCCTGAAAAGGAATGACAGTTCATAATAGTCATTTACTGTCTATTTCTGGACATTCTTTTAGCTACCTTCCAAGCAGGATGAGTTAATGAGACAGTGACTTTGGACTAACTGCTAGGTGAGAATCTTTCCAAATTGCATTGTGTTTCCAGTTTTGATTGACTCATTAGATGCATTATCACAAGTCACTGAGCTACACCAGTGTATGCTGAGGGTCTTTTTCAACCACCATTTATTTTAACTTCAGCTGAGCTGCGTGTCTTTTACTTTAAATGCCATTGGTCTAATTCAAAACTATTTCAAAATAGATCATGGATATTAACAGTGAGCTAAACTATTAAGTCATGTATAATTGGTATAGTTGCAAAAGGTTCCCAGATTTCAACTTTCAATTCTTGATTTATATGTCACAATACAGCACAAAATTGGAAGACCCATATACCAAACTCCTTATTATAACTAGCTGGACTTAACCCAATCCAAATGAAAATATTCCTATTTCATTAGCTTACAAATTTTTGTGATTACAAGAGATTGCATATTGAAAAGGGTCAAAATAAAATAAAAGTCAGACTGGATATCATAACTAAATGGTAAATTTTTCACTGAATACATTACTGTTCAATCTTTTCCATAAGAACTTACCATAGAGTGAGGTCTGATATGTCCAGCACGTTTCAAAGCAGACTCAGAAATCACTGCAAAGAAAGAAGACAATCATTCAATATCTATTAAATTGGAGGTTACGTCGTTATTGTCACTTCCTAGAGAAAATGTGAGGTCAGTTTACCTCAAGTTGTGACTGACTATGCTCTAAATTCAAGTACAGTCAACTCTCTCTAACACGGACACTTTTGGGACCAGCACTAGCTGTCTATCTTAGAGAGATGTCCGTCTTATAGAGAGTCAAATAGAGTGAGGAAAGAAAGGGAGGGACCAACTCCAGGTGTCTGTTTTACAGACGTGCCTGTCTTAAAGAGGTGTCCGTTAAGAGAGAGTCGACTGTATTATGCTTTTCAACAAAACCCAACTGAAAACCAAATGAAAGTACTGTACGGGGGAGCCTGATTATTTAATAAAGACCTTTAGATTCTTAGACGAGGATGACCACAATGATTAGGTTTCCTCAATACTAAGTAGTGGGCAAGCCACCTGTGAACCAGTGTCATTTTGGTAGAAAGAAATGATAGCCAGCATCATTTTAACAAGCATGTTGTATTGGCAGAAGTTACGAGTAAGGAAATGTTAGGAGTTTTAACATTTTGTGTTTAGAACAGCCACGGTTGTCACTAAGATTTCAAGTTGCTGGGTAAACACAACAAGTAGGCGGGGAATCAAACAGCAAGGGACTTCTTTTGGTTCTTTTTTCCTTCTATTTTCCAATGAAAGTAGCCGGGAACCACATTCATAGTAGCCAAGGGAAATCCCCGGCCCCCGGCTCGTAACGACGGCCCTGGACAGGGCCTAACCTACTTCAATGAAAATACCCATGCTAACTTTGCTGGTAAAAAAAAAAAAATGAAGGTTTTCAGGGTGTGAGTCAATTTCTTGTCCTCATAGTCTCTAATGAAATAGCAATGGAGAGTTCTAACATACCTGAAGTCAGTGACCGCAAGGTTACACCAGAATCATTGCTACTTGATATTTCAGAAAATTGACTATCAGAGCTTTCCTCTTCATTAAGGTTGTCATAGCTTTTGGACAACACATGAATCTTGCTACTTGACTGTGCTTTAAAAGTGCGGCCAACATTCAGGTTTCGAAATCTTCTTGACAGCTTGGACCACCAGTTCTTAAGAAGAAGGTACATAAAATATTAAAGTCTATATCAATGTTGTTCCTATTAAACAATGAAAGAAACAAAATAAAAAAATAACAGATCTTATTATATAGACACCAGTGTTTTACTGGAAGATATACCACTAGTAAAATTCATAAAAACTACATCCCGGACCCGAGTGGTTTATTTTCCATAATCTCACAGTTTATTGACGACATAATTTCGGTAATTCCCCTTTATTATTTTATCAATGTCTTTTTGTCTATATAATAAAAAGAACATTGCATGGTGGCGTGAAGATATGAATTTTATTTTCTCGTGGCAAAAACAATATTTTACTCACTCGCTGCGTTCATTCATAAAATATTGTTTTGCCACTTGAAAATAAAATTAATATCTTCACGCCACCATGTAATATCCTCTATATATATACATATCATCTAAAACTGTCAGAAGGGCGAAGCCCATTTAAAAGTGAGTTTGGTATGAAAGCTGACATCAGAAAGCCAATCTTTCATGTCCTTCCTTAATGTGATCTTGTCAGGCAGTTTAAGACATACACTCACAACAAATTCACATGCGGACCTAAACAAAGCTTTTCATACTTGACCTAATATTTGTTAAAAGTCAACCATCCAATACAGTGAGTTTGTACCCTGGGAACTTTCCACCTCTTGTAAAACTTGAAAAAGGAAAACTGTTATTAAGTATGACTGGATGGGTCAATTATTTATTATGGGTTTGAATCCCATTGCATGTATTACTGTGAAGATCTTTCAAAATAGTGAAAGGCTGTGATGAGTTGCAAATTTACAGAAAGTAACCTAAGGCCTCGTAATAATAATAATTATTATTATTCTTTTTAATAGTACCTGACCTCCGTCATCTTTAAATAATTCCCTGAAAGAAGAGAAACATTGCTATTATTTCTTACAATTAAAATTAATAAACATCATTGTATGAGAATCTTAGGAAACAACTGCATCTCCACAGTAAATGATTCGAAAATAAATAACAATATTAAACTTCTAGTAATGTTATACAACATCTCTTTAAACATAACATTTTAACAAAGCTCAGAAAAGTATTATCTGACATGTCATTCCTTGCAAGAATGTTGTAAGAAGATTGCCTTTGTTAAATTTTCTCACCTATTATATCCTGACAAATCTCTTTCTGATCCACTAAAACGACCCTTACTACCTTTTGTAAAATGCAAATAATCTGTTAAAAGAAACAAGGCAAATCAACAGTTCAAGTTAATTTTTATGACAGGTACATGTAACTGCTACTTCACCATTATGTCAAATGGATGCTGTTACCAAGTAACTTCCCTTTGACAGGGGTTTCATTAAGAATTCTAGTAGCAACAGAAAGGTGTAACGTTACACGAGAATATTCTGAAGAGGCTCCATATCTGAATAAAAATAGTCATACAGTGTAGGCTAACGAACGTTAGCTGGCGAAATCTGCACAGTAAACGGAGAATTCTCCGATCACCGATGCCTAATGAACACCCTGCTTTGATCAAGGAATATTTTCAAACTTGTTACATAATCATCTGCTCACAACACTTAACAACTTCCTTTAGGAACATGGTAATATCACCAGACTGTTAGTAGTGAAGAAAAGAGATTTCTCTTAAATATTCACTCCATTTGAATGAAACCCCTGCTTGGTTAGCTCAGTCAAAACCAGCTGGATCAACACTAGGGTTCTTTAAATAACTGAGTAGAAAGTGCTGTCATCTTTAAACAGATAGACTCTCTAGTCTTCTGGGATAAGGACGAAAACCTGTAGGCCTCGTCTCAGACCCCTAACCAGCGTAGTAAATTATCCATGAAAAGCCGCGAGGGGAATGAATTATATGATGGAGGCGTGTGTGGCCAAGTGGCTAACACCTCAAACTCTGGATCTGGAAGTCCAGGGTTCAAGCCTCGCCTGTCGCATTATTTCCTTAGACAAGGAACTTTACCCCACTTTGTCTGTCTTCACCCAGGTGTATAAATGGGTACTGGCGACATACTGCTGGGGGGTAACCCTGTGATGGACTAGCATCCCGTCCAGGGGGGAGTAGCAATCATCAATCATCCACAGTCTCGAAAGTTAAAATCGAATAAGACTTAAACATAACTCATTATAAATTATTCTCAGAGAGAAATTAAGCCCGTGATACTATTTAATTATCAAATTGACAAATACTCACATTCCTTACGAGTTGATGGCAACTGCATATTGCTTGCAGAGGCTAATAATCGGAAAATTTCTGTATCACCTGCCAGGCAAATTTTGTAACTTTTCAGGGTTAATGTGAATTTTATAGTTTAGTTTTATGCTGGGTTGAAGTTTTATTTTTTTTGTTTTTGGTAACCACCACTCATTTAGTAAACTGTTCCTCAGTTGGATGAGCAACAGTCTGCCCAGTGGTCAGGGAGATTATGGGTTCAAATGAAACCCTGGCCAGGCCGTACAACCAGGGTCATGCTGGCTAAAACGACAACCTTGTCTCAGTTCAGCTGATTGTGTCAATTCTCATAACTTTTTTTCAATGTATTTTGGGAGAAAAGTCACTATTGGACTTAAAGAAAAATAAGATCATTGCGACAACCTTGTCTCAGTTCAGCTGATTGTGTCAATTTTTTCCTTTTTTGGGAGAAGCCGACAAGATGAATTATTTAGCTGCAGAAGTGCAAATAGTGAATCTCTCCAAATTTCCAAAATCCAAATCCACTTCAAGGATACAATGGTATACATTAGAGGATTTGCGACCACTAAAATAATCGTTATTAATTTCTTTTTTTTTTTTACCCACCCATAACGCTTGCCATGTCAAAGGCAGTGCAGCTGTTCTTATCCCGAATATTAACATCTGCTCCTGACTTTATGAGAAGTTTAGCAACTGCTTTAAATCTGAAACAAGAAGTCACAAAGTTAAGTAAATGTAGGCCTCACACTCTATCATATATCACTCAATCAAGACTGCTAATCTTGTCCGTCAGTCTTTTCAGAGATGTTATATTTAAACAATGAATTTTTTTTTCGAGGTTTTGTATATTTTGGGAGTTATCTTAATGGTTTGGAGGCTGAAGTTTGTAAAAAAAAACCCCGCATATCACTGGTAAATGTAAGGTTTTTCTTTTAGTTTGGAGCCTCCAGAAAGAGTATATAACAGTCTGGAAACAGTACAGAGTTTCAATGATTTTTTTTTTCTTATTTTAATTTTGGCAAGTACATATTTTGAAGGACCTTGTCTGCTCATTAGGCAATACAAGGATGAATAAAATGATTGACTGATTGATTGACTGTTTGAAAACTATTTTTCTCAATAAGACATGCTTTTATCTTTTAGACTGGGTCTCAACCTCAACTGTGTGTCTTAAGCATCTGGAAAAAGAAGCCAAGCCATTTTGAGGTTGATTGAACCCTCAAACACACAGTTATAACCAATAAATGCAGAAATAAATTCCTGTCAGGCAAGATCATCAAGGGTGCAGTCAGTCTTACAGTGGGCAATGGTTTAAATCTCGAATAGTCCTTATATAGATACCAAAACTAACAAAATCATGATATGTTTACACTATAGTATTCACACCTATAGTATGTTGCTTGCATTAATGCCGTCCAACCACTGACTTGATCTTGTCTATCTATGTCTGCCCCTCTGTCAATCAATAACTGTACTACTGACAAGTGTCCACCCATAGCAGCATACATCAATGGCGTAGCCCCATCTTCATCTAAGGACATCAAAGCAGAAACTTGATTATCAAATTTATTGCACAAATCCACAAAGTACATTCAGACCTTGATTAACCAAACCTCACAATTATTCATCACAATTTGTGTTTTCACCGGTTAATTTTTTTTCTATTAATTTTCCACACTATTATTAAAGTCCAACTGAATCTTGATTATCAATGTGTCACTGTTCAAACTAGACCAAAGCAGACAAAAGAGTCCCTAGACTTTCAAAGAAGTCCTCTGTCCAATTTAATCTGACGCAGGACAAAGGATTGTAACTTGAGACACCAAGTGCAAATTCTGCCACTCCCCAGTTTTGGTGCAAAAAGAACCAAGACAAGTCCTCCTCTGGTGACTTCATCGCTCCCTTGGCAACTTCATAATCTAAAAAGCTTGTTTTCCTCACTTTACAGCTTTATTGCAGTGAAACTCGCAAGGACAACTTATGGCAAGTCTTAAGTTTCCATTGTTTTAAAGTCAACATTGTTTGTGACCTTACAATCTGTCAGTGCAATAGAATGAAGTGTAACAGAAGCTTCTTACCAGTAGCATTTTTGTCACCTTCACCCAAATCTAACAATTCTCTGGCCAAGATCACATCACCTAGATACGTATAGTGTAATGACAGCATAATAGTTAAAAGAGGGTACTGGTCGGTGGTGGATAAAGGGGAGGAGCCCAGGGGGAATGTCTCCCCCTCTTATTTTTAGACCCATCTGAAAATTTTTGGATCATCTAAGGGTTGGATGACCTGGTCTACTCCCCCCGCCCCCCCCTTATCTTGAGGTGTCTGGATCCGGCACTGCTGGTTATTAAAACTGGCAGAGATAAAATATGACAACAAAGAGGTGCTACAATTACGTTAGGAACTCTCTGACTCTGTACAATCTACTGATTTTGGTTAACACATTAATAAATTTTGTAAGTAAATAATTTATAATGGGAATGTTTCTCCTGGTCAGTTATACTGACATGGTGAAAATGCTATTTTGTATGTTGTAACATGCCAGTAAGGCTGAAAAAAAAACAAAAAAAAAAACAGAGCAACAAAATCTGTCACATTATAACTATTACACTTCAGTAACTGTGGAAAAACCATTTATAATGCACTGATCATGAATCATGCTCATTCTGGTATGGTTTGAAAGATCTCCTCACCCAGCACAAGTTAGCAGACAAAGTTGTCCTTGACCATTTAAACTGATGATGTCACAAGTGGTAAAAGGGACGTGGATCTGCAGGGGTGGTTGAGGGGCAACTGGGTTAATACCATAAATCCTCTAATAAGCCCCCCTGTCTAATAAGCCCTACCCAGCTATAGAATGAAAGGGTTTGAAACAGAATGGAATGAAATCTACCTATAGGTAGTGATACAATACCTACCATTTCTTGCAGCTTCAATAATACTTGGTCTTATACACTTCTGACCTACAACAGTCACAGAAAATGGGATTATCATCCATGTATGTGACTTTCAACTATTCATGTAATTATTCAATATATTCATACATTTTTAGTCAGCTTTGCTAGGTACAGTATTAGACAGTGTAATATACATTTGATCATGTATTATTATCTTTATACAACTACATGAGAAATTTCTGCAATCTGATTGGTTTAGACCAGTGGTATTTCAGCTTAATTTGAAATACCTACATGTGAAATTACAAACCTTTTGCGGTAGTATAAACAAATAATAGCATGATTTGTACATGATATTTGGCATAAATATACCACTCATGATATTTCAAAATTGTCTCAAATTTCACTCGCCTAACGGCTCGTGAAATTACGTATAACAATTTCGAAATATCACTCGTGGTATTTATGCCAAATATCACTACAAATCATGCTATTACCCATACTAATATGCAGAATATCAATTCCCGCAAACAATAATGTTATTGTCACTATCACTAAATCATTATTATAATTTGAGTCAAAATTATACAGTAAAACTGTGAATTTCTTATGAATACATGTGTCCAAGGATATTGATGAATACATTGGTAAAACAGACATGATGATATTCAACAGAATGCCCATCTGCTCTGAACCAATAAGAAATAAAAACTACATTATAAACCAGCACTCCCAGATTATCTAAAAGTCTCCCGCATATGGCACAAATCACCCGGTCTTCCATACCATTCACAAAATCTCCCAGATAAAATTGAAATTTGAGTTTTATGTGCTTTCGTTTGTCCTGGGCCACACCCATGCTAAAATTTACAGACGGGTCAATTTGTGATTGTGGAGAAGGGGTGGTTCATAAAGGAAGAATGCAGTGCCTTTGCCCAGTGAATAATTAGCCTCTTACAAGTATCAGATGACCATATCCACAAGATGGTCCTTGCACATCTAGCAGGGAAGGTAAAAACAACCCTCGGTCAGTACATTTATGCGAAAATATAAAATTTTTCACTTTTTTCATATTTTTCTTTCCACTCATTGATACAAATACATGTATTTACTCATACACAAAACAATTAAGGTTTACTTCTGATCATTAAAAAAAAACACTGCATGTTGGCTGGCCTTGCTGCAAGCTTGCAAAAGCTTATTACTTCACATCTTGGTATGTGATAAACATCAGAAATAATTATCTGTGCTCTAAAAATAATATTATTCAGTTGTCAGGTCAAGTACTGCAGACAGTTAAGTCTGATGTTTAGAGTTGAGATCATGTTTGGTTCAGGCATGATAGAAAAAATGTTTAAAATATTATTCTTGCTACAACAGGTAACATACTCATTGCAAAAGACCATACAATCTAGCCACATCCCATTGTTGTGCAGCCCTGAAAAAAGTCTTTGCTTTAAGCTCACTAATCACTCTTGGGAATGGGTTAAGACACAAAGGGTGGCACTGGTCCAAGATACAAGTCGCGCTAAGCATTTTAAAAACACATTTATGGAATTTTATTTAGCTATCACCTAAACAACTTCAGCAGTTTTATTTCAGGTAGCATTACTAATTAGGACTAAGTGTTCAGTGTGCAATGGCCTGATCATGCAAAATTACAAAAGCTAAGCAACTATAATCTTTTGGTTGCAACCATCATTTTGCACATATTGTGTAGTATAGAAATGACGTTTCGTAGGCATAAAGGTGTTAGTTTGGTATTTGATTCCTAAGATTATAAGCCATGTATCTTTTAGTTCCCAAAAAACCAGCAGCATTATTGAAAAAAACCTGGCAACCAGTTGAATGCAAAAAAATATGTGTTGCTGGATGGGGTCCTATTTTCACCTTCCGGCCCTGTGATGGAGTCTATCAGAAGCATTCATAACAAGTGGTCTTCCTCAAAGGAAAAATAATTAAAATAAACTAGAACCACTACGTGGAACTTACCGGGGCCCAGTGGGATACGGGATTGCATAGATATAGTTTACCTCTCGCACCCCTCCCCCCTCCTCTGTGGAGGCTAATACTTAGTCTGAATTAACTCATGCAGAAGAAAAGCAACAAAATGCATGAGAAAGGAGGATGTTGTTGTAAGTTTGTTCAGTGTTATTACAGCTAACGGTCTGTGTTATAGTAGTGTTTTTAGTAACACTGTGATGTCAATAAGTGTGATCTGTATAAGGTTTTCATTTGTTTTTAAGTTTGAGTGAAAAAGCAAAAATCACTGACAGTTTTGGGTTGAATGGTAATGACAAAGTTTGCAAAGAAGTTTGTTACAGAATTATCACAATTTCACATTTTCTCAAGTACGTTATCATCAGGTTTATCATTGAGATTTATTAATCACATTTATCTATTTTTTTGCGAAAACACTGTGAATTTGAAATGATAACAGACATAAGACATTTTTGAAATAGATCTTTGTGGTCATGGATTGTTGTCTTGCACTGTAAAAAAATGTCATCCAGTGTTATATACAGACATAATAAAATGCTTATTTATTGATGACTGAGTATCATTTGTTAATTCATTGCACATTGAAATGGAGGCACTTGATTGTAAGGCAGTGGTTGATACATAGTGGCATTCATCAATATGGCCTATAGTAATTATTGTAGAGGAAGTATTTCTTTCCTGAACTGGGTAAACAGTAGTATATCTGCAACTGCTTGAATGATAAGTGCATCAGCCCATGTACCTTGAATACACATATTATTCAGATATCTTATCCATGAATTTTCGGTATTGCTCTCAATAAATCTCTCAGGATTGTCTCTCATAAATTGAACCCCAGCAGTACGTGTATGCATGTGATGGTTGCTTTTGCCATATAATTGATGTGATACAGATCTAAAGAAACAATCACCTGCACCGCCAACATCTATTGATTGTAAACAAAGTGCACCTAATCTTGACTGCATCAAATTCTCAGAGGAAATAGGAGAGTTCAACTGCATTGGTTGAGGTCACACTAGAGAAAGTTTACTATAGTAAACTCAAGTTTACCATAGTAAACGGCGCCGTAAAGTGTGACCGGCATTTTTCAGTTTACAATGGTAAACTCTACCCTGGTTAATTTCCATGACTACCGCGGAAAGAACAAAGATGACCCATCACCGATAACCATCTGGTTACCAAAAAAAATAGGTGGGTATATCTCTAGTCTATCTAAACTTTGTTTGTTTTGTTGACAGTTTGTCATGATTTTTGAGGAAAGTAGTTTCAAAAAGGGTCACATAACAGAATAGCTTTAGAACATCGGTGATTGCTTTTTCCACAGTGCTTGAAGGTTTCTGTTTCTGTACATTTCTTCAAACCATTCCTGGGGTCGAGGTTAAACCCACGCTTGCCTTCGCAATGCCGCTCTTTCGCTAAGAATACGTCTTCGATGAGTAATCAATAAACCTGTCACTAAAACATCTTCACTAACTTCGTATTCGAAACCAAGGTAGGTAATAAGGGAGCGCATTCTTCTTGCTCGTCTGAGCAGCAGAATTAAAAGCAAAATGCTCACAACAGAAAATAATACTCTCTCACATTGAAGCATCTTTGTACACTTGTGAGGATCACGCTCAGGAAGTTACAGTTCAGTAATTTCAATTTAGTCAGCTCTCATAGCAGGTCATCATTTGTTTTACTTTTCACTCTCACGTTACCGATCACGCGAGAAAAAACGCCTGGAAAGTTTCAAATGCCTTTTTTAAGTGGACCTGTCAGGTTTACTACGGTAAGTAAAGACGTTGCGAGACTTACCATAGTAAAGCCCTTTTTACCATAGTAAAGTCTCTAGTGTGACCTCAACCAATGTTGAGCTGTGATTTTGCATAGAAGGTCTAATTATTACTTCATGATGATCAGTGTTGTATTGAGTAGGTCCTGGATTCTTCTCAACATCTTTACTTAGTTTGAAATTCACATAATTGGTCATATGACTCACACAATTGCAAGAAAACAATGATAAAGATCGACGTGTTTTTTACATTATTTTTAGTTTCATTATCCTGTGATAATGCCTGCTAAAGAAAGACAACAAATAAGCTTTCTTGGGTATAGCCATTTTATTTAAGTTAATTATCTTTGGATCGCGTTTGTTATTACATTTATATCGTGCATGATAAAGTTTTCTCACCTTATTAACATAGCGATGGAGCTTTGAAGTCTTCGGTATGTCAATCATTGAAATCTTTTTGAAGACAAATTTTGATAAGTGTTCGCTTTGATTCTCGATAAATTTCACGATGGAAGGTTCACTCAATTTCTCGATAAGTTTCACGATGGAAGGTTCAGTCTCAGAAGTGATCGCTCGTAAATTTGTCTCTCCAAATATTCACTCTTAAATTTTCGCTCATAAACTAGTTGGGTTGGGGGAACGTGTCGTTCCTCAAAAAAGCTATAATCTTTCCTTTGACTGTCCTCCCACAGGGGGCCCACACAATCTGTTTGTGTAGCCGATTGTTATTTTATAGTAAATGTACTGGATTTACCGTTTGCTTCACCTATAGCGATATATCGCTAACTATGTATCTAAATCAATGATAAATAAACGTTGAATTACCTTACCTGTGGTGTATAGTCGTCCTTTTGCCTCAAAAGCGGTTTTTTGAGCGATTTTGAAGGAGTTTGAGTTCGCCGTTGACTGTTCCATTATATATGTTCCATTATATAACTCCACAGGTAAGGTAATTCAACGTTTATTTATCATTGATTTAGATACATAGTTAGCGATATATCGCTATAGGTGAAGCAAACGGTAAATCCAGTACATTTACTATAAAATAACAATCGGCTACACAAACAGATTGTGTGGGTGCCCTGTGGTCCTCCATGCCTCTTCTTTTCAAAATGACGGATAAGATTTCAATGAGCCAGCGATATATCTTAGTCAGCGATATATCCCTAACAATGTAACGTTGAAAAAACGGACGGTCTGCATTTTAAGACCGGTGCCAGCCTTCGGCTGGGCCCCGGTAATAAATAAATAAGGTTGTTTTCATCTAAGAATGGATGTGTGATAGGATACAAAAATGACATGTTTATTGGCCAAACTTTGAAATTCGACAGCTGTTTTAAGCAAACCGTTGTGCCAAAGGTTAAAGCTGAACTTGTCCGATCCAGCACGCAGATATGTAATAGCATGGGGGAGGACTTTATGGTCACACTATGGAAGTCATGCGTCACGCCAATCACGGAGCCGTGTTTTCCCTTTATGCCATATGTTTTGTTGTCATGCCTTTATGACTCTAATTTAAAGGAACTGCGACATTAAGTTGTTTTTGATCAGCACACTCTGCCCATTATTTAGGAATGATGTTCATTTATTGGAACGGATTGCTATGTTTGAGTCAAAATTCTACTTTCATATAAAAGATTGACATTTTCAAATGATAGGCTCCTTCAAAGTAACAAATGTAGATTACTGATGCACCAAATAACCCAAGGGTAAAAGTTCAAGAAATGAATACCAAAATGTTGACAACTCTTTGTTTCAGTAATTGGTCATATTTCTGATTCAGAAATAGCACAATGGTGTGTAACATTAGATTTGTTAGTGATCTAGTGGGTGATAATTACCATTGCATTAAGACATATGACATCTTGCCTTGGCCAAGGAAGTACATTTACCCCAGTCTTTAAATATAATTATTATACAAATAAATATTACATTACATGCGCATTTTCTCTCAGCGCCAGCAAGATACGACCTTAACAGTTTAAGACAGTGTGTTAGGGAGGGTGTGTTACAGATTCAAATTTTAACTCTAGCAAGCTTTTAGCAGGTGTAACATGTTTTCAGCTAATTCACCCTGATGAAGGTCAGTACCTTTCATTGAAATATAAGTGGTTTTTACAATCGCATTGTTATCCTAATTTGTATTGCTTCTATTTATTTTTCCTTTGAGGAAGACCACTCATCTGAAAGAACCCCATCACAGGGCCGGAAGGAAAACATGGGACCCCATTCAGTGACACATACTCTTATAGCATATATAGGGTAACTTATTGGTACAATATTTAATTTCGCGGGTCTTTAAATTCACATTTTTTGCAATTGTAAAAAACTTGCGAAATTAAGACCTGCAAATATTAATTGAACATTACAAAATTTAACCATGAGAAATGTAATACCCTTATAGAAAAATCAAATCAAAACAACAAGTGATGTCATAACAACAACATATACAGGATATCTAACAACAACTACAGACGTTTCATTTTATACCTTCTGTTGTGAGATAACAATTAATGTGCAAAGATTTCACATATTATAAGTGGAGCAGATAAAAATATGCTTTGCTTGTTCCAGTTTATCACGAAATTTCAAAAAATTCGGACATTTGGAGTTTAATCACGAAATTTTATGCCCTTTTTTCATATTTGCCTGATGATATTGCAGAAATAAAATCCGCCTGTGAAATACTGTCTTGCAAAAATTGCAAAACTAAGTACAGCTAAGCAGTCAATTCTCACTGCATAAAATCATGTCATTTTTAAACTCTGTCTGGGGGTGAAGAGTTCAAAAATCTGAAAAAGATTGAATAAACATAGAGGATTGCAATCATGACACAATTTGGCCAGTGCAGAGGATTTTATCATGAACACCTTTTTTTATTTACGGGAGTAAAAGATGAATGTCATATTTTATCATACCAGGTAATTAGTGCATGTGAAGGCGGTCACGGACTGTGTTGGATTTGGTTCTCTTAGCGGAAATTAAAACACTATCAAAGGTCTGTGAAACTTTGTTGTGATTATTCCAACTCATTCAGCAATGTCAAAGTTGGCAATGAAATAGGTGCGGAAGACAGGCGATCACGTCCCAGCTCCTATACAATATTATTTGTCACGTACATTTTGGATGCTGCAAAATTTGTCACCTTGCCGCTCATATTCTTAAACTTAAAATTTTAACAGTTCACCTTTTAGGCCCGCGCCACACTGTAATATGTAACGACCCTATTGCTAGTGAGCAAGAAAAATATATTTGCTCATTGGCATCATCACCTGGGCCTTAGTTGAGCAGGCATGGAAAAGGAAGTTTATAGAAACGACTGTGATGCACATGCAGAGTTGTTGTTTTCCTCACTAACCCTATTGATTGTTTATGTCCCTGTTGCTGTTGCGGTCTTGCTGTCGCTGCCCTTGTGTCATAAGGTCCCATTATTTTGATTAGCACCTCATGCAGATGGTGCATTATTGTACACTAGATTTTTAACTACAGAAAGAGGCTGCATTTGATCTGAACAAAAAAACAGCCTTATTGCCAATTGACTGCCATTGAAAACATACAAAACCTGTAAAACTTCATAACTGCTGTGAATGAAAAAGATAATATTTTATTTATAAGTGCTGGTGACCTCCAGTTATTCTCACATAAATTGGGAATGTTTTCACACTCTATTGAAAGGATTGTCTCATGGAAAAGCCAAGCTTATATAATGTATGTTAGTTGATAGAATTATGCCTTAAATTACAAAAAATATTGACTTGATTGGCGATTTGTGCTTTTTTGAAGCAAAACATGGTAATTAGACTTAAACTACGCAATTTGATGTTTCATGCGTGTCACTAATCTAGTAGTAACCGGAAGTAGATTTCCCAATGTGCAGTGTTACTAACTCACGTCTCTCGCAAACGCAACAAGAGCGTTTTTAGCTGCGATGAACAGAAGCAACTCACAAAATCACAACACTGTTATTGAAGCGCTGAATGTGTACGTTTGTTAGTAATAAAGGTCGCTGATCGGCTATTGTTTGAAATTACCAGAGCGTTGATAAAACCCACCGCCGCCGCGTGCAATGGCCCGATCATGAAAAATTAGCAAAGTAACAAAACAACCTTGGACAATTGGGTAAAACGAATGATAGACTATTGTTAAGACATGAATAGGGAAAATAATCCTTTGGTTGCAGCCATTATTTCGCACTTGTTACGCCAAATGGGCTTTGTTGAACACAATATACCCATTAAAAATATAGGTACCACCCCAGCTACTCAAACTTTAGTCCAACTATAACTGAATTTAGTGAATTAAATCAAAACAATTAAAGTTTTTACCTTTAATTTGCGGTCGTGTTGCAGTTCTCTCGTCAAGAAAATCTTGCACTTCAGTTTTTTGGCGTACCACGGCAATATTAAGCGCAGTATGGTCGATAACGTTTAGAACATTCGTGTCTGCTCCAGATGCAACCAAGATTTGCGCCGCAGTTACATGTCCGTTAAGAGCTGCTAGCATTAGAGGAGTCCAGCCCGTTAGTCCGTCTCTATAATTAACATCTGCCCCTTTTTCTAAAAGCAGTTTTAAGGCCAATTCATGACCATGTTGCGCCGCATTCATAAGCGGACTGTTCAAGCAAAGTTTCACTGTCTCGCCAAGCACCTGCTGTTGTGTGTCAGCCTCGATCAACCAATTAATTATTTGAGAGTGGCCGCTTCTTGCCGCGCAATCTAAAGCAGTATGACCGAGTTCGTTTTGAGCGTATATGTCTGATTTGTGCTGAAGCAAAATGCAACAGACCATTAAATGTCCATAGTAAGATGCCAGCATTAGAGCCGTCCAACCGTAAATAGTCCTCGCTTCCAAACTCGCGCCTCGAGACAACAACAAACACACCACGCTGTCGTTCCCGTTTGCCGCAGCGCTATGCAACGCATTAACTCCATCTTCGTCGGCCGTGTCGATATGATGACCCTTGTCTAACAAAGCTGCCACCACAGACGCGTTTCCTTGTTCAGCAGCTTGCAAAATTAAGAGTCGACTCATCTGACGATCCATCCTTCCAACAATCATAACTGCTGTTTCTCGTTGTTCGCCTTGTGATCGCGCTCAACCAGAAACGTAGGGTCAACATCTTTCACGGCGACACGATTTCGAGTACAACTCATCTACGTTCCACTTGACGGAATACGTTTACCAAACATACGGGATCCGGGCAGGATAATTCACTTGCCGGACTATTTTTTTTCTTGAAAACTTCTCACATCAACTCTTGCACTCAACTCAAAACTCTGCTTACTTACTGTAAAGAGGAGTGACGTCATCGGAGCAGGAGATCGCCCCACTTACCCTTGCTTCCGTTGCCAACATTACAACATTTGCGGTTTTCCGGTATCCAGATGTTTCTGAGTGAAAACACGGAAACTGATTATGGGCTCCTAAGCGAACTAATTGTAGCTTTTCGCAGCGATCTCAACAAGTCTATTCTAGTCCCTAGTCCCTTATATTAAGTTATAAGCAAAAAAAATATGAAAATCTGCTTTTTGTACTTACTTCCACCGTACGGGATCGAAAACTATAATCGCAAATGAACTTTGTCAAACTTGTGACAGACAAAACACGTTACACCTCACACGTTTCTCTCGTTGACCTTTGATTTCTAAAAAACAAACTATCTTCAGCCGTATAAGAACTATTTCCTGACAGAAATAGAATCGAATTTTTAGAACACTGAAAACTGGAACAAGAGTAAAGCGACCTGTTCGGCCAGAAAACGCCACTTAGGCGAAAGTTATATAATTTGGTCTAAACTAAAGGAGACCTATCTAAATTTAAGAAAGGTTTCCAGTTTTTAGCTCATAACACTAGCGCATTTTCAGCAATATTTCATACTAGTTTGAAAAGTGACTTCAGGAGATTTTAATAATTATTATTGCAGTAAGTTAGTTTTCAGAACCGCCTTTGGCTGTGGTCCCGTTTTTGGTGAAAGTCACGTTTTTGCCACACCCCAGGTTTCTTAAGGTGGGGAGTGCCCATTGGCTTTTAAATGAGTACCTTGTTTATTCGGGTTTTTTATTTTATGGCTGAATTTACTTCTTTCTTCTAAACTAAGGTCTGAAATGACATTTTAAGGGTAAAAATCCCATTACCGTCGGATTTGAAACTGGAAGTCGATTTTGAGGTGTACCACACAAGTCCTTTTGTCACTGACCAGCTGATCCGCCAGTTAGCTAGGCTAAGCACACGAAACATTGAGCTGAGTGTCGTCATCCGACAATACACCATGGGGAAAAAGATATATAAAAAGACAAGTTCTAGATTCATAGCCTGTTCCAGGTTCTAATTAGAGAGACTAGACAACGATGAGGGCAATGCAACTGCATACAGCAACGAGAAAGGAAAAAATCTAGAGGCACAAGAGTTAAGAAAAACAACTTTGCATGTACATCACGCGTTTTTGTACCCTTCTTTGCCATTGCATGACTGCGACGTAAAACAAGTTTCATGGGGGACATAAATACTAGGTAACAATTTTGTTTTTCGTATTCTGAACTTGGTCACAGGCTTTTGAATTCAAGTGCAGGAATTCGCTGACATTGACAAGGTCACGTAGTATAGTGGTGATTAAGTTGAAACAAGGCGAATGTTCAAGAAGAAGTGACTTTTTGATGCTTATAAGATCTCTATTTAGTCCTGACGAGCGAGCACAGAATAACAAGAGAAAATAAGAAAAGCAAGGAACAGAACTTATAAATCTGTGGATTGGGATCAGTAGTGCTAGTGTAATGGAATCGGACTTAGAGAGAAAACAACAAAGCGGAACCAAAAAATGCTAAATTGCGACGTTACTGAGACGGGTTAATCTTTCTATTTTCAGTTTTTCTCTAAACTCTCAGCCGCAATCTTATCCTCTGGACTGGCTTGCCAAACAAGCTCGGATAACTACTTTAGGCTTATATAAACATATTTATCGCATGTTGCCTTTTTTAGCACACCACTTTAAGTTGTAGATTTTCTATCCTGCATTTTATTAGTTGGAAACGTGTACTACAGAATCTGAGTAAGTTATGAAAAAATAAGGACCATCCTGATCGACTCCTTTATGTTTTTGTATGAAGTTGTTTAAGGCTTGTGAGTGCATGCCGAATATGCATGGATTCAAGTCCGGGTTACAATCGACATTGCCCTTTGCCAGGCCTTGCAAAACTCATCACACGCCGTATCACAAGCTACAAATAGTCGATGGCAGTAATGGAGGAAGAATTGTTTGATTTGTAGAGATTTGTATCTTAAATACTTTAAGGTACAAGAACTGTATCTTAAAGTATTTAAGAGAACGACTTGCAGTGTCCTCTTATATAACAATACTCCAGTCTTGAGCTAAAACTGTACTTGGCGAAGTACACTACTTTTGTACATTTGATGTGTACCACCTAATTCAGAATTTCGCTTTTCAAACCGCCTTAGCACAACGTAGTAAATATCAGGTGATAAATATCAAGCCCAAAAGATATATCCAGACGAGGCTTACACTGCGAATGTGACAACGATGCCTTAATATGAAAAACTTACAACAGTACAAGGGGCTCTTTCCCGGGGGCTCTTTAAAAATTAAGAAAAAAAAAAGAATCAACTTTTGTCTCGAAAAAAAATGCTGCAAATTAACTCGTAACTTGTTTTTTCTTTGTATACACATTCGCCTAAGGGCTCGCATGTATACTAAGAAATTGAACTGAATCAAGTCACACGAAGGATATTTCACGGTATACTACGCGAATGTGTTGAATAAGTAGTATGCATTGTATTGTATTGTCGTCAAACCTTCGGCAAGTTATATTATTATTACACAGGTTTTTCCTGCTCACCTCTCTATGCGACAAAGACCTTTTAATCATCTAAGTAGGTATGGGAAACGGTAGGTATGGGGGCCAGACTAGCTGATCAGGGCAATCTTTGAACATTGGTGCTTCAGACTCAGCCAGAAATGATTGGCTGAAACAGAATCTGATAGATATTTGATTTTAAGATCATTTTACATAAATTGGAACCGAAAATTACATAGGACTGCGTTTTTATGAGTCCTTTCCGAGAAAAAAAACACTTAACGGAACGTCGCTGCAATTTACCTCCCTGCAGTGTTGGTTTGAGAGTCTGTTCAACACAACTTTATACCTTTAATATTCAAACCAAACCCAACATGGTAATCTAGACATCAACGCGACACTTGTTGGACTCTTGCCCTTCTGGAGGCACACGATATGGCGTGATTCGGCGAGTGTGACGTCCAATGCATGTTAGAGTTTTTAACGGAGAGTGCAGATATTTTCTCAATAGAGCCTCTCTGTTTCTTACGCTGTTCTAAGGACTGCGACAATAATGGCGAAACAGCTGTCAAAGGCTTCAACCCCGCTCTGTCTAGCTTCTATCAGTGTTGTGTTTCTCTCTTGCAAAGTCAATTTGTACGCGGTATGATCAGCTTTGATGATTTATGTTTTGTTTTCCGCGCGTTTCAGGCAAGCGAGGGCGACTGCAAAGTGGAAATGGTAAAGCGCCGGACAAGCGCGACGTAAGGCGCTCCCATACCGCCACGCGCATGCCCGAGCTAGCTCGAAAAACGCGAAAAAGTAACGCCTGTTTTGCAGGCTATGAGCGGGTGAACAGCTCACTCGTCTGACACTGAGTAACCCAACCGAATGTTCATCCAAAAACTTCTTTTCAAAACCACATGGAGGGTAGATGGTGTGGTGACACTGATGCGCTACTTAACAGAATTGGGCAATTGGTGTTAGCACGAACTTTTTTCTCTCTTTCTTTCTTTCTTTCCAATTTTTTTTTAACCAGCCAATAGTTAAAAAGATTAAAAACATGGGCTCGCCGTGCCAAGTTAAGGAAAATCGTTTGTTCAGTTAGAAATTCTTTGCATGTTCGCGCGCGTTTGAGCCTGATTGCAAAAAGTAACTAATCAAATCCTTGTTCGTCCATGTTTAAGTTCTGTTAGTGTGTCATTATCTCAAGGTCAAACGAAAATCGCTCTAAGTTGATCAGTGAAATCATGCAAACGTTCCGCATGTTTAAAAAAAGGATGCCGCAGTTTCCTGATAATTTCCTGATAAGCCCTATGAAGACTGTTAATGGCCAGTCTTAATATGATAACTGCAGTTTCACGTTGTTTGATCACTTGAAGTCGCCTTTTTTAAAATACTTTAGAGGCTTGAAGGGTTATGCAATAATTAGGGCATTCCCGGAAATTGCATTAACAGACGTTTCACCTTCTTGCGCAAGTAAGTACAGGCGAGTTATGCAACGAATTAAGTAAAATTCGTAATCATGGTACATGTGAAGTGATGGGTGACTTGAACATTAACATATATACAGTGGGTCAGTTTAATCAGTGGAACATAAAACCACTTAAAATTCCGCCAAGAACTAACCACGCAGGAAGCACGGTTATTGACACCATTATTAGTACTATCATTATTTCAGGTTTTTACCATACCTGTTCTTCCAACACAGTTCCCTATATTTAGACTGCTGCGTTATATTAGCCGGGTCATTTCAAAAGTTCCCGTTCGCATTTGGACATCCATTTTTCGAGTCTCTTTTTCTAGGAAATTTCGAGTTTAGGATACCTGTCATACCCGGAAGGTTCCCCGAATGCCTGAGATGATCCGAGATGATTAGAGTCTGGGAAGGTATTCGGGTACAATTCTCAGGTATTGCCTCATTTGTAGATCAAGGTCAAATTCGGAGCGCGCAAGGCAGCTCGGGAAAACCCTGCCTTGGTCCTTCGATCGCATTAGCGTGAGACCTTCCTATGTTCCCCGAGTCTCCTGGGTATGAGGTAGACTCGTGTAAGTGTTATAAGTGCAAAAGGTTGTTAACTAATTACATGGGCAAATCGATCGGTTCACGGTCACGGCAAATTGAAACTAATTAAACTCAGTACTCAGCTCTTTTACCGGTTTTCTCTCTGATGATCTGACGCCATCTCATCACGGACGTTAGGACATTCACGAGTCATTCACATGTAACCTTAGATTGTTTGTAACTGCAACAAGCATCTGTTTTCTTCCCTTGTGGCAGAATCCTGTAGATGTGAAGGGCTTCACGTTGGTCTTCACGAGAGCCTCTTATTTATTTGACCCATTGCTTTGGGTGGGGCGAGGATTCTTCTAGAGGCATTGACGAGAGTGATTTGCCGACAAACAACACACTACAACCACTTTGTCCCGGGGGAGACTCCCATATGAAAGGGGCAGGGTTGCTTGACCCCTCGCTTAGGGGTGTAAATTTCGGATTTTGGTCTTACTTAGGGTGTTCTGGGCAAAACACCATTATATTTAGCTGTAAACGTCTCTTTTAGGGTTACACGCGAAGAAATATAAAAAAAGTTATATATTTTCAAATCGATTTAATTTGCTCGATTCATGTAATCAGAGTCTAAAATGGTCTGTTTCAGGGGTCAAAAAAGGTTGGGCCACGCCCAGATTGGTCTCCTTTCGGGGTTTAATTCAAAATTTCCGACAAACATCCCCGCCCCTTTCATATGGAAGACCCCCGGGATTAACCTGTCACTGATAAAGGGGAGAAAGAGTTTTATTTTGTAAGTTGTAATCAGCCTTTTTTTGCGCTAATCATGTACAGCAACGAAACTTTTCAATACTGGCAGGAAATTAGTATATTCACTCTAAATAAACTGGACTTTAATTTAACCCTGTTTGATGGTATTAAATACGTTAAACGGATGCACGACATTACTCCTTCTCACGGCTCCGGTTGTTCAAACGTCGGATAGCGCTATCCACCAGATAATTCGCTATACAGTGGATAAGTATTAGGGAAATCAATTGCGTTATATATCCACTGGATAGAGATTTATCCAGTGGATAGCATTATCCACCTTTCGAACAACTGGGCCCTGAACTGTGAGAAGTCGTACATGTATCTGTGTATTCGTTATAATAATTAACAATTATTCCTCGTTATTCCTCGAGCCTGAAGGGGCTCTGAGTCATTCGGCCTCATGGGCTATTGACTCAGCGACAAGGAGGACGAGAGGAATAATTGTTTTAGTAAAATCCAACTAGTTTGTCAAAACTATCGAGAAGAAAAAAATTTTAGCGACTTAAAGCTAGACTTAAATCCTTTTTTGCCGTCAAAAAGCCTGCGCTCTAGCTATAACATATAGTCTAGTAGTAGCTCAACCAATCAGAACGCAGTATTGATAATAGACCACTAGTTGGATTTTACTAAATAGATTTCAGGGACACCAAACGTCAATTTACGGAAAATATCTGTTCGGAAGACGATTTGAGATCTAGAATTTTCCGAACATTTGTTGTAAAATTTCTTGCTTGCCTGCCTCTCCTAGGATTTTCGAACATCTAAAACATAGTATAATTGCCCATTTTTAACCGATTTTTACCCTAAAAAGGGCACCTAGAATTTTCGGGAGCCTTTTTTCTGGCTGAAATTTTCGAAAAGGTAAGTTATGATCCCTCTAATTTTCGGATCACTAGGCTTTCAGCAAGGAAATCCGAGCAGATGAAAAATTTTTAGGGGATAAAAATATGCCTATAGCTACCGTTTAAATACTAAAATACGTTTAACAATGCTATGTTTAAGAGGTCTTGAACTATATTCTCTTTGGGTGCGCCTGAGATTTAGCCAGGGCTAAAAGCGAAGTTCTGGTTAATATCTATAGTTTACTGGAACAAAATATAAAATCGTGTAACGCTTACCAAGCGGCGACGGCAACGAAAACAGCTAAAAAAAAACAACTTTCCATATGCAGCACACTCTTTTTGTACATTTACCTTGGTGGCCGCTAGCATTTCCCATTTTCTCACAGCCGCTATAAAATTTTCACGTTATTCTTCAAACGAAATTGGTATTCTTTGTTTTCTTATCTCTGGCTCTAGCTCTTTCTCTGTTATCCACGCCAATGTAGACTTCGGCTTCGTTGTTGTTGTTTTTTGTCTCTAAAAATCCAAGTGGCTACGCGATTTACTGCCGAAACGCGCGGGTACTTGAAATGCAAAATTTCACCCCGCCTTACATGAAGGGGTGGACCTACGTACGGACGTACTCCGTATGGACGATTTTCTCGGAACCAAAATTTTTTGGATGCGTAGATTTACCAAATTTTCTTACCCACGGTGCTCCGCTGCGAGCGCTTCGCTTTCTCAGAACCAAAATTTTTTGGAAGCGTAGATTTACCCAATTTTCTTACCCACGGTGCTCCGCTGCGCGCGCTTCGCGTGCGAGAACTCCGCTATGAAAAGGCGGCGCCGTCCTTGGTCTATGATATTTCCCCGTTGTTTGAGACAGGAATGAAAGGTGATGTAGAAATATAAGAGGGGAAATTCATCCTTGACATGATTCAAACTCCGTCTCTGGCATGTATGTTTGGAGCAAATCAGTATATATTCAGTTTTGGCTATGTTAAGGCTCAGCTCACTTTCTTCCAGCCATTTTTCACTTTCATTTCCTCAACTGATTCTCCTGCGAATATAATGCTGCTGTCTTATGCAAATAGCCTAGGTGTGGCATGTCCCAGGTAGTTTGGTAGATCATTTATATATATTGAGAATAAGAAAGGGCCGAGGATCGACCCCTGAGGAACTCCACAACGTATCTGCCTTTGCTGACATACCACTCATTTGTGCAATCCAACAAAGCAGAGTCGAATGAAACCGTCTGAAAGCTAACTGCTGATCATTCAAAAGTTTTTAGCTTCTAAGTATACCGCTAGTTGTTATTATAAAATCTTTTTAAAAATTTGGTTGTTAATTAATTTGACAATTATCACATTTACATTGTCACATTTATTGCCAATTTGACTAGCATAACAATTCGATTTTACTGACTTTCATTGATGCCACACAAACCTGTTCAAAGTCACGCATTTGTTTGATTCCATTCTCTCATTTTGTTCTCTAAATCGTGTCACTCAACACACCTCTCTTTGGCTCCTGATCAGAGTCAAAGGAAAAACAGCTTCATATTACTTAAATGTAAAGTGTGCATGCTATACAGAAACTGCTAACTTTATGTATTAAACACAAAATGTTCCATTGACGCCTCTTACATCTTTCTACAGAAAATGACATCTTTAGAGAAATAAACCTTTTTCGCTTGAACATCTACAAACCCATGCTTTTCCAGGAGATGCTTGTATTCTGAAGCTGATCTCTCTTTTCCACCTGTTAACACCAACATATAAATGCTGTAAATCAGGGCGTGCAATGGACCACTTTTGTCTTCATCTAAAATCTGTTCGCAAATGAGGAGTCCTCCACCTAGAAGGTAAAAGAGTTAAGAAAAATAGCAGGTTTTTACCTTTTTATGGCAAAAGAGTATCCAGAACTTCAGACGATTACTTCGAGTCGTTTTTACTCTCTCAGCAACTAAGAGAGTAAAAACGACTTGAAATAATCGTCTGAAATTCAGGCTAGCAAGAGAGATGATTGGTCATACAATAATCTTATGTGCCATTTCTACATGCACTGTCAACCGTGTAGGCTCCATACTAGATCAAAACCCCCTTTGTTACCAAAGCACTTCTTGATCAGTCAGTTCGCGGGCTCACTTCATTTAAAGGCTAAAGACCGTGAATTCAAAATTAAGTTCGTTTTGGTTACAATTCATGAGGGGAAAACATTGTAAAACTGTTACGGCGTTTATTGTAAGTTTGGACTTTAATATGGGTGTGTTAAGTGTTTTTGCCGTCACAAAGCCACGATTTTTGACGCTCGTGTGTAGGATTTCACTCCCATCGATCATTTACAGCTTTCCTGGTTGAACTGTTGATACCCTCTCAGTCTCTAATTAAACCAGAGACATAATGAACATGTTACTAACCTCGTTTTCTTGATCCGAACTGTAAGTAACGGAAACTAGTTTTATCTGCTTGGTTTTTATTATGGCCCGAGGGGGCCTGCTTCGTGCCTGGATCCCTTAAAGAACGGTAGAACCTTCTTTCTATTAAAATTACCTGAGGGTAAGCACTTGTAGACGTTTGAAAGAATCAAGTCAACTTTATCCTCTGACCAGTCGTGGAGAACGTGAGACAACACATACAAATCGGCCTTTGGTATAGTTTCAGGTTTGAAGAAATCGCCGACCGCAAAGGAAACATTGGCTTGATTTGGGCAAGCTTCAACTGATGGTCGGAAGTGATGGGCTAAACTCACGGCTGGCTCCAAGTCACAAACTGTTATCTTCATTTCAGGGTAGTACTGACAGAAAGCATAGGCGAGAGTTCCCACAGCCGCTAGAGCAGAGAGAAATAGGGAATTTTAAATTTCCATTGCAGAAAACAGAGTCATAGATCGTTTACTGTTTCAGCACATTTACCACTAATTTTCCGAAAATCTTGCTGGGATATAGAATTTTTGTGTAAACCCAGCGAAAAGTTCCGGGAAGACACGTAGCGCGTGTTTTCCCCATCCGGAATGTTAAAAACGGTAGTTAACGCGTTAAGGCGTTTGTGGCTATTTTTCTGGTAAATAGGAGCAATTTACACAATTTCTCAACGGAATTTGAACAGAAGTCTTGAATTTTGCCTACAATTTGATGCAAACCCCTACGACTGGTTTTTCTGCGTAAATGGGCATGCGGACAGTTCCATACGACATGGACGCAAGCTTGTCCTCTAACTTGATTGGATAAATAAATAGATAAAATCAAATAAATAAACAGACCTTATAACAAAAGTTTTTACATAGACTTTCGTGTTACTGTTGTAAGGGGGCTGCGAGCGTAATTAAAATGGGACAGCAGTTACAAAGCTCATGCAAAGTTATTCAAGGAAAGGTATTCGAATGAGCTGAATTTGTCGTCTTATTATTAAACCGGCTCCTGATTACACCAAGTCGTGCTAGTCGAGAGACATAAGTATACGTCACTTTCAATATGGCAGCGTTTGTTTACATTTTACGCGCGCTAGTTTTAACACCGTTTTCGGCAAAACTGACTTTAAAATCATCTTAATATTTAGTTAGATGACCCTTCATTTGAATTACATTGTCTAGACGGTCAGGTTTGGACTGGTAAAGGTTTTTTTATGTAATAGGCAATTTACACGAAGAGGTCATGTGACATCGTTTTTATGAAAATGAAAGTTATATGATTTTGCCTTCGAAAAACGATTAGTGGGTCATATCTTAAACAACATAATAGTGATTTGATTTTCAAACCCGCACCATTTTCTTAAAATAAGTAAGTTCGTAGCTGGTCACGTGACCAAAATGTGATTTTTAAAATTATGAATTACCTCTTTCTGAACACTAATTTTGCACTTAAACTTCAAGGAAAATGTTGAAAAGATGATGTGGTAAAGTTTACAACACATCTGAGCGTAACTATCAAACGATTAACAAGATATTAGCAAAAAGTAGTTTTGGCCGCCATGTTGGAGGTCAAAAGTAAGCCCTCCAACATGGCGGCCAATCAGGCAAATCATACTACTTTGTTTAAAAATCAAAGTGCAAAAAAATATCTCCCTTAAATGCGTTTCCTCTCAAATTTCGCGTGTAAGATAATTTTTACGCGCTCTGTCAATTTTTGGCATCAGCGAGATTCCAACTCATTGTTTAAAGGATGCATCGGTCACGTAACCTCTCAGAGCAAGTGGCCTATCCAATTCGATTTTCCGCCACACGCTCCAGATTTCACGCAGAAGATCATTTTTGGTTGCGACTTTTGTCAGTAGCTCTCTCATCATGTAGAGCCAGATATTTTCTTTTATATTTAAATCTGGTGATTTTGCTGGCCATTCCATTGCGGTTACTTCGTTTTGATCTGTATAATTAGCCTCTCAAGCAGACGTTCTTAGGGGTCCATCACGCGTTCCTGCCCCAGTGGGGCAGGAACGCGTGACGAACCCCTAAGAAAGTCTGCTTGGGAGGCTACTCGTGCGTTGGAATTTGCCGCTTCGGCGGTCATGAATAGCTAATGATGTCCACTCATTCTGCGCGATGGCCTCCTAGCCACGTAGCCACGTAGCCACTGTTATGGGGGTATGGCTTTAAAATGGCAGGGTATTCTGCAGTTACTCTGTGCTCTTTTTCCATAAACTTTTGCTGTGTTTCGATAATACCGTGTTGTGTTTGTAAAAGTGTTTGTTGTGCTCCAGGAATATATTGATGCGATTCAAGAATTGTTTGTTGAGTTTGCAGATATGGGCCACCGTAGCTCGTTCAGGAAGCGGTGGAATAATCTTCAGCCAGTATTGTTATCACAGTGCTGACAGGCAAAGGTTTTTCCATTGTTAGTCTTACACTACTTATAAAAACTGCGTAGTTCCTTCAAGAACTGCGCTTTCTAAATTTCCAAAGATAGGATATGTCGTTTTGTTCCTCATTGAGATCATATCTAGATACGAATCTGGACTGTCTTTGGTGAGAAATTTAGTGGCCATTTCAGAATTACTGTACAACCACTGGTCACCCTGTTTAGATTTTTCTAGCAATTCCATTGCCACAAGGGTGTCCATGAGACGTGTAGTGGCGTCTAGATCGGAGGACAATGCCTTTGTTATATCGTCGGCCGATTGTGGTGAGGATGCGGAGCGCAGTTTGTCGAAGATTCCAAATTCACATGCTGCAAAAAGCGCTTTCGACAAAAAAAAACCCTCTATTACCTTATGAAGCTTCTCTGGCATGGGAGAAGGAACTTGAAAATTTTTTGTTTCGCTCATTTTGCCTTTTCTTTTTAGAAAATACTCGAGCTGTTATCCCGAACCTCGTGTCATACAGCGCCCAGCAATGAAAAGGCCACGGAAAAAATTGACGCTAGTGAAAAAGCTTCTGCCCTCAACGTCATTTAAGTCTTAAAATGGGGACGAACAAATTAAACGGAATCCATCATGGGTACTGAGAAAATAAATGTCAAATTTTACAAGAATTTGAAAACATAGGTTTTCTGAAAATTTCATTTTAAGATGAATTTTTGCAATTTGACATACGTTTTCTCAGGCTTCGATACCATTTTTTGTTTTGTTGCAAATTAAAGATAACTAATTACATCTATAATGTTGAAAAAAATGTAAAAAAGAATGTGGTGAGGATAAGCGCCCAGTTTGTCGAAGCCCCAAATCCTCATGGTGCAAAAAAAAGCGCCCAGGACAAAAAAAAAAAAATAAATTACCTTATGAAGCTTCTCTGGCATGGGAGAAGGAACTTGAAAATTTTTTGTTTCGCTCATTTTGCCTTTTCTTTTTAGAAAATACTCGAGCTGTTATCCCGAACGTTATGTGTTATACACTGCGAACAGTTCCTAGACTCTTGTACAATTAAATTTCAGTTTTCAGATCACGTGACGAGCTTTCCCCGCTACAATAACGCAATAATTGCCCTCAATTGCCCTCATCACAAAAACTGACGCGTCGAACGCCACGACCCCTTTCGCATAAATTTCTTTGATAAGCACTCTTTTTTACCACTAAATAAAAGGAAACGATTTAAAATAGTGTTCAAGTTTGGCCTTTATTTGCAGTTACTCAAAATAGTAAAGACGTTTCTCTAATGAAATATTAAATAAATGTTAATTTACTTCTTGGTGTCAGATGCTGTTGATGCGATGCAGGCTATGCTTGGCGAAACATGGCAAAGCATATAAGGAACAGACTGCCGTTAATTAATTAGAGAGTTAAACAATGTATAAACACTGCTTAAAAAGGTATCGTAAACACTGAAAAACTAAGTCGAAAGGCTTAAAACAACCTGTCGTTACCTCTGTTTGCTTAAAGATACGTGATAATCTCTTCACTTCCATACTTCCACACGGAACATCTGTCCACTTTTACTACTTACGTATGTCAGTCGGTTGGCCATAAGTTGGAGTTTGAGGTAAGCAGAAACCCGCATTGTGAACAGTATTCGCAGTTCCTGTATGGTGCTGTTTGTTGTACTTTGATTAAGGAAGTCCGTGGATAAAACTTCAAGATATGACTATTCAAAGGAAAACTAGAAGTTTCGTAGCAGTACAAAGCAACAGTGTTTTAAGAAACCACTCGATGTTGTAAAAATCAGTGCATCAATCATGTAGTTCAGTGAACTATTAGTCATCCATCCTTAGTTGCTAAATAAAAAAGCATGAAGGTGCAGCAAAAAAGTTAACACATTGAGTGATACTTTTCTGTTTTACTGTTTATTATGCTGTCAGTTCAAAGTGGTTCTTAACAGGAAATTCGATTCGCACGTACAAATTCACGGCTTCACGATCACTAAAAAAAACAAGTCATTTTCAGTTGACGACTCAAGGACAGCAAGATTTCAACGGTGAAAAATGTGAGTCTCTCTCGACGACTTATCCAGTGCTGACCAAGACTCTCTTGGACCAGACTCAAACTCTTGAACCCAGAAAGATCTGACCACGAGTTTTAATGAGACGAGGTAGTCGGCGAATCAGCTCTCCGACGGGCAGAAGACCGTAATAAGTTGGTCTCTGCATTCTATAGTTGCTATCTTTGCTAGATTATTCACTAAAAGGTTTTTCCTTACTTTACTCATTAAACTGAGGGAGTATTCCGTAGTAAAGCAGTTAGAATACATGGTAACCGAGCTCAGTCTAGATACCTTTTGAAGCTTTTTGACTTTATTCAGTTCAAGCACTTTCTCTCCAGGTTCTTGCATTTGGTTAAAATAATTGTCCCATATCATATACTTTCATGCCTTCGTTAGCACTCTCAACTATGTCTCTCCCATCGACGCAAACAATGACAAAAGAAGATGAAGTTGGGATGGGGGTGGACTGGATAGAGCAACGAACTGTAAGAAGCGCATCAACTCAAGATAAAGCGGCATCTTTACCACCAGCGTCCTAGTTATACGACTTGAATCTAATTTGTACTTACAGCAAAATTCGGTAAATAGGTGTCTTAATAGCTATCGCTTACCCATGGCCATTTTTGCTACTTAGGTTAGATGATTATGTTCTTTTCCATATTTTCAGTTACTTATAAATAGTACTAGTGGCGGAATTTTATGTGAATTCATGTAAATTTACACCCTTGCCTTTTACAGTAGGGCCTACCCCAAAAGTGATTGAAGTGCTGAAGTCAAGAAAATTCGGGTTATGACAGAATAATATTTGTTGTAGGAAAGTGAAAGTTAATAGCTAACCAAAATTAGTAAAAAGGAAAAACTGTGAGTAGTTAACTGATATTTGGCCAAAAACTTAGTCGTTAACTGAGACTTGGGTATCCTCATTAGCACCCTCGTGATACCCAGCGTCACAAATTATGTGTGAAACAACCAGATCCATTTATATTAGCTGTGATTCGTCACTCGCTTGAAAGTATGTTTCTTCACATGTTCATATTTTAGAATTCTGTACTCTGTTTTCCACATAAAGAATTCATGGACATTAATTCGCGTAAAGTTTCGATGATCTACACTCAATCTACACACTCGATCAGCTCCACGACTCCGAATGACTACACAGTTCCTAGACTCTTGTACAAAGTTCAGTTTTCAGATCACGTGACGACTTTCCCACTACAATGACGCAATAATTTTCCAACACCCCGTGGGCGCCCTTTGAAAGGCCCCGGTTAGAGAGAAAAGTTGTCTAATGGGAAAGAGGGTAAGCCTTCCAGCCTACCAGTCTCCCAGTCAACTTAGGTTATGTTCATGCTATACCGTGATGGCTTTTCGTGGCGCTACGCAAAGCTATCAGTTATAGCGTGAACATCTATCCGATATGTGACTCTCCGCTTTAGAGATCGGCGCGGCGCAGCTTCGCTCCGTCACAGAGATCGCGCCGCCACAACTGTTCCAGTAAGCTATTTGAGGTAGTGAAGGGCCACCTCCCAGATGTTCATGCATACGCAGACGATGACCAGTTATGTATCTCATTTAAGCCTGGTTCCAGCGCGAGTGAATTGGAAGCGGTAACTACATCACAAGATTGCATTCTAGACATCAAGACTTGGATGACGGCTGACAAACCTAAGCTAACCCGCGCGCAGTTGGACAAGATAAGCATATCAGAGCTCAGTATTGATCACGTGAAAGTGTCTGCAGTATACAACGTTCGGAACCTAGGGACGTGGTTCGACAACCATCTGGGCATGAAAACCGCCATCAACAAGACTTGTCAATCGGGACTTTACCATCTTCATAATATGGGGCGTATGAAAAGTTTTCTTAGCTTTGAAGATAGAAAGTCGATTGTTCAGGCAATAGTGATGTCGAGAATAGATTATTGCAATAGCCTATTGTATGGTGTTGCCGCTACGAACCTTAGCAAGCTCCAAAGGGTGCAAAACGCGGCAGTCCGATTGGTGTGCTCATTGCCAAGACATGAACATGTCACATCGTCATTTATACGTCTTCACTGGCGGCCGATTAAGTTTAGAATCAATTTCAAGATTGCTATGCTCTGTTTCAAGTGCATTCATGGACACGCCCCCAGTTATCTAAAAAGCATGGTCACCATCAAGAAGACTTCCACATAAACAACCTCCGCTCAAGCACAAGTATTCAGTTGGAAGACCATTCTCGACGATCAAAAAAAACGCTTAGCGAACGAGCCTTTTCCAATGCACCCGCAAAGGTTTGGAACAGTCTCCCGCAATCATCACAGCAAAATTTCAACACCTTTAAGACATTACTTAAAACTCACTATTTTAGAGAAGCGTTTAATTTATAAATTTTTTTAGTGTTTCATACAGTATACATCTTCGCATTTTATTGTAAATTCAAAAGTGTAAATAGGTAACATAGTAATTTCGTATTCAATTTTAATATGTAAAGCGCATTTGATCATATCCTCCTGTACGTTAATTTGCGCTATCATTGCTGCGGAGCGACCGAAGGGAGCGAGCAGCAACATAATCAGGATTTAAAGGAAATGTATAAGGGGCGACGAATTCTCGAATTCATTACTTTTTAGCACAATGCATTGCATTTAACCAGAGTGCACTGCGCCACGAACAACTCAAATAAAAACACGGGGAAGTTCGGTGGGTGAGAGAGTGCATCGTTCGCTGCTCAGACTTAGAGTTTTCTTTGTGGCAAATTTTCTACAGCACGGTTAGAGGTCTCACCAAATTTTAAGACACGCAGGAGTCTTTCAGATTGGTTAACTTGGGGATTGGATTTCAATTCAAGAGCCTTTTTTGACTCGTCCAGGTGTTAAACCTGACGAAAAGATGAGCATTCGCTCTTCGACTCCGCAACATGGGGGATATACAAATCCCAGCTTGCTAGAAGGTGATGTGAAAGTGAGAAAATGTCATGCAATGCGATTCTTAAGAATCTGTATGAGCCGAAAATGGATGTGATTTTGACCATTCGCTTCAAAATAACAGCGGAAATCGAGATAACAAAACATATGTTTTGTGTCCTACTTTGCGGACGAGGACGTGTATCGGCGTTTTGAAAAGCATAATTATGTTCTTTCATTAATTTATTGCCATGGAATATGCGTTTACATTGTTTTTTCACTGTTAATAGCTCGGTTAATGCGGCTGGCGATCATCTTGCCGGCGGAAGTTTCATGGAAAAGGAATAAAATGAAAGACTTTTCCTACAGACTACGTAATCAGTCTCTGTGGTGTAGTGGTTAGGTGTAGTCGCGTCGAGTCGAAGGTGCCGGGTTCGAGTCCTACTGAATTATTTATTCCTTCTTTCTTTTTTTTCCGTTTTTTGTGTTGTTGTTTTCTATAAATATATAGCTAAATAACTGTTACTTAATAAAATGCAACAAACAGCAAGAAAAGTATTGTGTTTCCAGAGAAAATATCGTGCACCGTATATTAAATATATGGATAAACGATCTGAATTTCTATTATTTCCTACAATTTACTGTGGGAAAACCAAAGTTGATAACCACTTGATCATTTTCTAAACAACGTTCCCACGAGTTCTTTCTATAGACTGATAGTAATTATTCTAGTACTTTCCAACATGTAAATAGGACATTCAATGTCATTTTTGATTCTTTTAAGTCTCACTGCCTAACTAATGCCAGTATCAACAGAATGTGCCGCAGCATTACTATCTTTTAGATACCCTAGTATATCAAATATTATTATCATTATTACTGTGTGTGAACAGAAGCCCCATCCGGTATGAGTTTCATGGTTACCGGTATAGTACCCGAGCCAAGAGCTGATAACAGCGTTAGCGCATGCTCTAATACTTTAAAATGACGTGACGGCAACGAGAAGGTCGCTTAAAAAGTGAATTTGTACTCTTTTTTATTACCAAATGACTTTGACAAATGTAAGCGAACGCGCCAACTAAACTGGAATTCCTAGGGACCATATCTAAGTTCAGAAAAGGAAACAAAATTTTTGTCGTTGCCTGTTTACGTACTCCATTAGGGACCGGTCATCATTTATCGCCTGCGGGGGCAGGGGGTGGGGGGGACGAAGGATTATTTGTTGCGACAACGGAGAACCTACATGATCCCCCCTTAAAGCATGCAGAGTGGGTTTGATCCCTACTCATCATTTGACGGTGCAAGATTTCATGATCCTCCCTCTTCTATCCCAGTCACCACAAAAGCCAGTGTTAATATACATGTATCTAAGCAAAAGACATCCATACTAATACTTACGTCTCATGAACCTAGAAAAACAACTTCACATATTTGGTCATCTGATATGAACTGAATTGTCTGTCAAGAGTTACTCTTCTCATCCAAACCGTTGAAAACAAAGTCATTGTCGCTCTCGTCCTTCCCACTGTCGAATTCTTCCTCATATTCTTCATCCCCTGATTCCCCGTCACTTTCATCTTTTGCACCACACGATTCGTCTGTGTTCACAGACTCTTTGATGTGTCGTTAATAATGATATCGAATAGCTTTTCTTTTACTTTACTTCCGATTAACAGTAGTCACTGTCCGTGTATGTGTTGAGACAACACATACAATTCAGCCTTTGGTATGGTTTCGGGTTTGAAGAAATCGCCGACCGCAAAGGAAACTTTGGCTTGATTTGGGCACTGAGCTTCAACTGATGGTCGGAAGTGATGAGCTAAAATCAAGGCTGGCTCCAAGTCACACACTATTATCTTCATTTCAGGGTAATACTGACAGAAAGGATAGGCGAGAGTCATGTGCCGAACCTAACTGATGATTTGGGTACGGCAAAAGAGCGGTGTCTGAATCAATTTGGTACGGCAGTTTTAGTTTGGTGCGGCAAAAGTTCGACAGAGTCTGTCAAACTTTACTTAAGCTCGACACACGGTACTCCGTCTAAATCAGATGTTGCGCCAGTGTCGCTCCATAGTACGTCGTCTGAAGCAGGCCTAACTGATACCCCATTTAAGGGAGGGACCAGTAGAAAACTTTTGGAGGGGGGGGAAGGCGGACGAAGTAACAAAAAAATATTCGCGCAAGGGAAAACTAAAAGAAAAAAAATTCATGCACTCAATTAACCCTAAAAAATATTCATGCTACGGCCTAAAAAAAATTCTTACAAGGAATTTGGTAAAAGAATAAAAACTTCTGCGGCTCGAAAAATCCCGCCCCCCCCCCCCATAACTTTTCTAATGGTCCGTTCCTAAATCAAAATTATGTTTTTCATTTCCTGTTAATGACTAAGCTGCCTGTAAGAGAAGGTAACGCTTTATAGGTCGTTAGTCGCTGGTTTTGAAGAATTCAAAGGATCTTAAGCTTCCACATTGATAATATCAACCACACAGAGAGACATTTATTTCCGAACAGGACAAAGCGAAAACACTTAAGTCACATGATATTGCAAAAGTCAAGTTTCACGTGACCCCATGTCACGCTGCAACGCCATACAAGTCCGTAACACTGCCAAAAAAGCTCCCCCAGGGGCAGTTAATTTTATTATGCGTTAATTTGCGTTCGGTGCCATAGCCACTGCTGCCATGGCTATCCTACTAGGAAAGAATACCCAATTCTAATATAAATAAGATAAATCGATTCACTGGCATTCAATGACCATAAGTCAATTGTAAGGCAGTGTTCAACTTAATTTTATGCAATGGTTGCTGCATGTTACATCTTTCTGCAGAAAATGGCGTCTTGAGTAAAATAAACACGTTTCGCTTGAACATCTATAAATCCATGCTTTTCCAGGAGATGCTTGTATTCTCGAGCTGATCTCTCTTTTCCACCCGTGGACACCAACATTAGAAGGCTGTAGATGAGAGTAGGCAATGGGCCACGTTTGTCTTCGTTTAAAATCCGTTCGCAAATGAGGAGTCCACCACCTACAAAAATAAAAGAGCTATGAAAAATAGAGCGTTGTTTGCCTTTTTATGGCAAAAGAGTAACCTGAATTTCAGACGATTACTTTGAGTCCTTTTTAGTCCCTCAGTTACTGAGGGAGTTAAAAAGTCTAAACCTTATATGCCATTTCTATATGCACTGTCAACCGTCACTGTGTAGGCTACGTACTACATTAAAACGCCCTTTGTTACCAAAGCACTTCTTCATCAGTCAGTTCGAGGGCTCGTTTCAATTGAAGACTAAAGACCGTGAATTCAGAATGAAAGTTCGTTTTGCTTACAATTCATGAGCGAAGAACATTGTAAAGCTGTTACGGCGTTTCTTGTAAGATTGGACTTTAATATGGGTGTGTTAAGTGTTTTGCCGTCACAAAGCCACGATTTTTGACGCTCGTGTGTAGGATTTCACTCACATCGATCATTTACAGCTTTCCTGCTTGAACTGTAATCCTCGATGCCCTCTCAGTCTGTAATTTAACCAGAGACATAATAAACCCCGTTTTCTTGATCCTCACGTAACTGTAAGTTACATGCAGAACCTAGTATTTTCTGTTTGGATTTAATTATGGCCCTTGACGCCGTACGTGCGTGCTGGATCCCTTAAAGAACGGTAAAACCTTCTTTCTATTAAAATTACCTGAGGGTAAGCACTTGTAGACATTTGAAAGAATCAAGTCAACTTTATCCTCTGACCAGTCGTGGAGAACGTGAGACAACACATACAGTTCAGCCTTTGGTATGGTTTCAGGTTTGAAGAAATCGCCGACCGCAAAAGAAACATTGGCTTGATTTGGGCAAGCTTCCACTGATGGTCGGAAGTGATGGGCTAAACTCACGGCTGGCTCCAAGTCACAAACTGTTACCTTCATTTCAGGGTAGAACTGACAGAGAGCATAGGCTAGAGTGCCCACAGCCCCTAGAGCAGGGAGAAATAGGGAATTTTAAAAGTCCATTTCAGCAAACAGAGTCATAGATCGTTTGCTGTTTACCACATTTACAACTAATTTTCCGAAAATCTTGCTTGGATAGAATTTTTGTGTAAACCCAGCGAAAAATTCTTGGCAGACACGTGACCTCCAAAAAGGTAGCCGTGTTTTCCCCATCCGGGATGTTAAAAACGGAAGTTAACGCGTTTCTCCATCTCTATCTTATTTCTAATTTAAGGCTGTTGTGGCCATTTTTCTGGTAAATAGGAGAGATTTACACAATTTCTTAACGGAATTTGAACAGAAGTCTTGAATTTTATTTGATGCGAACCCCTACGACTGGTTTTTCTACGTAAATGGCATGTGGACAGTTCCATAGAGCGCAAGCTTGTCCTCTAATTTGAAGAGATAAATAAATAAATGAATAAACCGAGATTATAACAATGTTTTTTACTATAGAGTTTCGTGTTATAAATTATCTCTACTAAATTGGCCTAAGTATCCCCCGCTAGGGCTGCCAGCGTAATTAAAATGGTACAGCAAATTAAGAAAAGAAGAATAAGATACATTTGGAATGAAAGTCTGACTATATTATGCAAATTCCTTAAGACATTTTTCTTGGCTCAAAATTTCTCTCTGTTATTGCATTCAGTCGACTATTAATTTAGTTTAGCCGCTGTGAGACCAAACGCGGTTTCTTTATATTGCTCGTTCAGAAGAGGTGGAATAAACTTCAGCCAGTATTGTTTTCACAGTGCTGACAGGCAAAGGTTTAAAAATATCGTGTGATGTATTCGAACTTTCCGTTTTTTGACTTACCTCCTAGATCACAGCAGCTTCTGTACGCGCTTAGATCAATGGCTTTAGCAGCAGCATAACTTGCATAGAGTGAATTACAATGCATGGCCCCCATGAACCGTAATTTGGCTTCTTCGGTGTTACAGTAATTGGGAAACCAGTCTTCTGCAGACATTCCAAACGTCTTCTTCCACTGTGTGGTTCCTTCAAGAACTGCGCTTTCTAAATTTCCAAACATGAAATATGACGTTTTGTTTATCAATGCAATCATATCTAGATACGAATCTGGACTGTCTTTGGTGAGAAATTTAGTGGCCATTTCAGAATTACTGTACAACCACTGGTCACCCTGTTTGAATTTTTCTAGCAATTCCATTGCCACAAGGGTGTCCATGAGACGTGTGGTGGCGTCTAGATCGGAGGACAATGCCTTTGTTATATCGTCGGCCGATTGTGGTGAGGATGCGGATCGCAGTTTGTCGAAGACTTCCAATTCACATGCTGCAAATAGCGCTTTAGACAGACGAAAACCGTCTATTAGCCTATAAAGCTTCTCTGGGATAGGAGAAGGAACTTGAAATTTTTTTGTTTCGCTCATTTTATCTTTTTTTTTTTTTTTGAGAAATACGCGAGCTGTTATCCCGAACGCTCTGTGTTATACACTGCGAGCAATGAAATCCGGGCCACCTAATTGACGCTAGTAAAAAAGCTTCTGCCCTCAACGTCATTTAAGTCTTAAAATGGGGACGAATAAATTAACACGGAATCCATCATGAGAGCCCGAGAAAATAAATGTCAAATTTTACAAGAATTGTGAAAACATAGGTAAAACGCTGAAAATTTCATGTGTAAGATGTAATTTTGTGCAATTTGACATACGTTTTCTCGGGCTTCGATAAGAAATTTTCTTTGGTGTTATTAAAGATAACTAATTACATCTATAGCCCTTGAAAAATGTAAAAAAGAATGCAATATTGTTTAAATTATTCTGGTACAAAGTTTTTGTCCACTGAAAATTAAAATTACTCAATTTCCTGATGGATTCCGTCTTAAAGTACCGTAAAATTCCGAAAATAAGCCCCGGGGCTTATATTTTTCAAAGGCCCTTTTTGAGGGGCTTACTTTTGGAGGAGCTTTTATTCGGAGGGGTTTATCTACGGAAGGAAATTTGCGTTTCAAATCGATTGGGCTAGCATTATAGTTGGAAGTAAATTTACCATTTTTGCTTTGTTTTACTTTGTATTTGAGGGCAATTTTCCAAGTACAAGACCCCGGGGGGTTTATATTTGGAGGGGCGATTTAACGGACGGTTTTTTGCGTTACCGGTTTGGGAGGCTTATGCATAGAGGGGCTTATTTTCGGAATTTACGGTAACTGGATTCTAACCGGCTCAGCATGTTTGGCTATTGCATGATCAGCTTGATATGCTGTCGTGTAATACCACGTGTCACGAATTATGTGTGAAACAACCAGTTCCACTTAGCTTTAATTCGTCACTGCCTTGAAAGTATATTTCTTCACATGTTCATATTTTAGAGTTCTGTACTCTGTTTTACACTTATAAAGAATTCATCGACATCAATTCGCGTAAAGTTTCGATGATCAAACACTCAATCTACACACTCGATCAGCTCCACGACTCCGAATGACTACACAGTTCCTAGACTCTTGAACAAAGTTCAATTATCAGATCACGTGACGAGTTTTCCCGCTACAATGACGCAATAATTTCCTAACACCCCGTGGGCGCCCTTTGAATGGCCTCGTTTAGAGAGAAAAGTTGTCTAATGGAAAAGAGGGTAAGCCTGCCAGACTCCCAGTCAACCCAGGGCGCTCTCCATTTGTCAGAACTGACTGGCCAGCCCATTCCCATCGTAATGAGAATTTCACTTTTAATCAACATTAACCATCCAGATCAGTCAAATCCTACTCATTATGCACAAAGGCGATGGAAAACGCCTATTTCATTGCCAAAATGCCTGGTCTTGCCATGGTCCGGCCGGCCAGTTCTGACTTATGAAAAGCACTGTTAGGTTATGTTCACACTACACCGGGATGGCTCTCTCGTGGCGCCACGAAAAGCTATCAGTTATAGTGTGAACATCTATCCGATATCTCACTCTCCTCTAGATCTTCAGAGATCGGCGCGGCGCAGCTTCGCCCCGTCACAGAAATCACGCCACAACTGTTCTTATGTGTGAACAAAAGCCCTATCGATCCGGTATGATTTTCATGGCGTCCAGTATAGTGCCGGAGCCAAGAGCTGATAACAGCGTTACCGCATGCTCTAATAATTAGTAACTTTAAAACCACGCGACGGCAACGAGAAGGTCGCTTAAAAAGTGAATTTGTACTCTTTTTTATTCATACCCACTGACTTTGACTGAATGTAGGTGAACCCAACTGGACTTGAATTCCTAGGGACCCTATCTAAGTTCAGAAAGAGAAATAAAATTTCGTCGTTGCTCGTTCACGTTCTGCATAAGGGACCGGTCATTATTTATCACCTTGAGGATTTTTGTTGCGACAGCGGAGCACTTACGTTATCTCCCCTTAAAGCATGCAGTGTGGGTTTGATTTGATCCCCCCACATCGACGGTAAAAGATTTTCTGATGCCCCCTCTTCTATCCCGGCCACCACAAAAGCCAGTGTTAATATATGTAAGCCAGTGACATCTATATTAATACTTACCGTATTTATTCGAATAAGCGCCCAACCTCGAATTAGCGCCCATCTCGAATAAGCGCCCATCTTAAAGGCAGAAAAAGTTAATAAGCGCCCAGCCTCGAATAAGCGCCCACCCCTCCTCCTCCCAATCAAACTCAAATAAGCGCTCACCCCCACCCCACCCATTTGAGTGAATAAATTCTAATAAGAGACTTCCCCGAGGACGGAGATTTCTTCAGAGTATTTTACAGAAACATTGCTTTGTTACTTCTTCGAGTTTTGTTATTAGCATTTATTGTTTTGTTGCAAAATAAACATACTTCAAGTGCTGAAAATGGTGAAAATTTAATAAGCGCCCAGCCTCGTATAAGCGCCCACCTCGAATAAGCGCCCAGTCTCAAGGTCCAAAAATTTAATAAGCGCCCAGCGCGGTTAATCGAATAAATACGGTAACCTAGAACAACAACTTCACATATTTGGTCATCTGATATGAACTGAATTGTCTGATGGTCCGTCCCTAAATCAAAATTAAGCTGCCTGTAAGAGAAGGTAACGTTTTATAGGGCGTTAGTCGCTGGTTTTAAGGAATTCAAAGGATCTTAAGGTTCCACATCGATAAATATCAGCCACAGAGAGAGAAATTTATTTCAGAACAGGAAAAAGCGAAAAACGCTTAAGTCACATGATTGCAAACGTCAAGTTTCACGTGACCCATGTCACGCTGTAACGCCATACAAGTCCGTAACACTGCCAAAAAAGCTCCCCAGGGACAGTTTTATTAAGGTTTATTTGCGCTCGGTGCCATAGCAACTGCTGCCATGGCTATCCTACTAGGAAAGAATACCCAATTCTAATATAAATAATATGAATCGATTCACTGGCATTCAATGACCATAAGTCAATTGTAAGGCAGTGTTCAACTTAATTTTATGCAATGGTTGCTGCATGTTACATCTGTCTGCAGAAAATGGCATCTTGAGTAAAATAAACACGTTTCGCTTGAACATCTATAAACCCATGCTTTTCAAGGAGATGCTTGAATTCTGGAGCTGATCTCTCTTTTCCACCTGTGGACACCAACATTAGAAGGCTGAAAATGAGAGTAGGCAATGGGCCACGTTTGTCTTCGTTTAAAATCCGTTCGCAAATGAGGAGTCCCCCACCTAGAAAAATAAATGAGGTATGAAAAATGGCGCGTTGTTTGCCTTTGATGGCACCAGAGTAGCCTAAATCTCAGACGATTACTCCCAGTCGTTTTTAGTCCCCCAGTTACTGAGGGAGTTAAAACGTCTCCAACATTGTCGAAGTAATCGTCTGAAATGATAGATGATTGGTCATACAATAATCTTATGTGCCATTTCTATATGCACTGTCAACCGTCACCGTGTAGTCTGCATACTAGATTAAAACACCTTTTGTTACCAAAGCACTTCTTCATCAGTCAGTTCGCGGGCTCATTTCGCTTAAAGACTTAAGACCGTGAATTCAGAATTAAAGTTCGTTTTGGTTACAATTCATGAGGGAAAAAACATTGTAAAGCTGTTACGGCGTTTCTTGTAAGTTTGGAGTTTAATATGGGTGTGTTAAGTGTTTTGCGGTCACAAAGCCACGATTTTTGACGCTCGTGTGTAGGATTTCATTCACATCGATCATTTACAGCTTTCCTGTTTGAACTGTAATCCTCGATGCCCTCTCAGTTTGTAATTAAACGAGAGACATGATAAACCTTGTTTTCTTGATCCGAACTGTAAGTTACGTGCGGCACCTAGTATTTTCTGCTTGGATTTAATTTCATGCACGTACTTCCGTACGTGCGTGCTGGATCCGTTAAAGAACGGTAAAACCTTCTTTCTATTGAAATTACCTGAGGGTAAGCACTTGTAGACATTTGAAAGAATCAAGTCAACTTTATCCTCTGACCAGTCGTGGAGAACGTGAGACAACACATACAGCTCAGCCTTCGGTATGGTTTCAGGTTTGAAGAAATCGCCGACCGCAAATGAAACATTGGCTTGATTTGGGCATGCTTCCACTGATGGTCGGAAGTGATGGGCTAAACTCACGGCTGGCTCCAAGTCACAAACTGTTATCTTCATTTCAGGGTAGAACTGACAGAGAGCATAGGCGAGAGTTCCTACAGCCCCTAGAGCAGAGAGAAATATGGAATTTTAAATTTTCATTTCATAGATCGTTTGCTGTTTACCACATTTACAACTAATTTTCCGAAAATCTTGCTTGGATAGAATTTTTGTGTAAACCCAGCGAAAAATTCTTGGCAGACACGTAACCTCCAAAAAGGTAGCCTTGTTTTCCCCATCGGGAATGTTAAAAACGGTAATTAACGCGTTTCTCCATCTCTATCTTATTTCTGTTGAAGGCTGTTGTGGCCATTTTTCTGCTAAATAGGAGCGATTTACACAATTTCTTAACGGATTTTGAACAGGAGTCAGACTTGCGAATCGTAATAACTTTGTCCCATCTCAGAGCTTTACATGATGCTCTCCGGGAAACTTTTCTCAAGGTGACTGCTAAGCGGCACCGAAACCAGCTTTAGGCGCGCGCTGATTTCAAATAACTGTCACTTGTGTTAAAGAAAGAATTGTAGGTAAGGAAAAAAATCGGGAGGGGGGGTAAGATAGTAATTCAGTCTACATCTACTTCTACAAGGATCCCTAGCCACAAAACAAGCAAAAAAAAAAAAACGACATAACCAACCAACACAGTAAACATATGTCAAGCTATTAGACAGGGGAAGTTGCGAAAAATTACAAATGTGTGCTAACCCGGTTTTCATAACTCCAACTAGACATAAACAGACCAGAATCTTACTTTTCTATTTAAAAAACATGAAATATTCGGCGGCGTTGCCCATGTTTCTAATATGGCGCGAAAACTTACTTTCATATGACAACATGCGGGGTTTTTTTTTTCGCACGCTCAGGAGCCCAGTCAAAGGGATGTGATTTTGCATGAAAAAAATATTCACAAAATTCTGCTTGACTTGTTAAGAAAATAATTTAACTAACAGCTCATTGATTTATTAATTTGGGCGACCAACTTGGAGGCCCGGGCATCCCAGCTAAGAATGCTTGGAGAGCCCGAAAGGCTCCCTGAAATTTTCCCTAGAGCACAGCCTTGCACCCCTGTAGTTATTGAAAGTATGATACATTACATGCTATTGTTGAATGTGGAGTGCATTTTTTGAGGATATTAGTAAAGGAATGCAAATTTTAGTGAACTACCCCATACTCCTAACATATATGGTGGTAATATTGATGTAAGTTTTGTTTTGAGTAGCAAAGGAACCCTTGTATGTAATTCATCTTCTTGTGTATTAGTCCTTAACAGAACATCTCCGTCTCTCCTTTCACACATTTGTTGCATACACTACTCAACTTTCCATTGCCATTCAACATACTGGTAATTCTTACTTACACCAACACATCCCGCCTAAACGCCTTCGGGCGTCTTCTTGTTGATCGTGGTTTCTTTATATTGCTCGTTCAGAAGAGGTGGAATAAACTTCAGCCAGTATTGTTTTCACAGCGCTGACAGGCAAAGGTTTAAAAATATCGTGTGATGTATTCGAGCTTTCCGTTTTTTGACTTACCCCCTAGATCACAGCAGCTTCTGTACGCGCTTAGATCAATGGCTTTAACAGCAGCATAACTTGCATAGAGTGAATTACAATGCATGGCCCCCATGAACCGTAATTTGGCTTCTTCGGTGTTACAAACATTGGGAAACCAGTCTTCCACAGACATTCCAAACGTCTTCTTCCACTGCGTAGTTCCTTCAAGAACTGCGCTTTCTAAATTTCCAAAGATAGGATACAGCGTTTTGTTTGTAAATGCAATTATATCTAGATACGAATCTGGACTGTCTTTGGTGAGAAATTTAGTGGCCATTTCAGAATTACTGTACAACCACTGGTCACCCTGTTTGAATTTTTCTAGCAATTCCATTGCCACAAGGGTGTCCATGAGACGTGTAGTGGCGTCAACATCGGAGGACAATGCCGTTGTTATATCGTCGGCCGATTGTGGTGAGGATGCGGATCGCAGTTTGTCGAAGACTTCCAATTCACATGCTGCAAATAGCGCTTTAGACTGGGGCACCCAACGACAATTTTCGGAAAAATATCTGTTGGGAAGACGATTTGAGATCTAGAATTTTCGGAACATTTGTTGTAAAATTTCTTGCTTGCCTGCCTCTCCTAGGATTTTCGGACATCTAAAAAATGGTATAATTGCCTATTTTTAACGGATTTTTACCCTAAAAAGGTCAGCTAGAATTTTCGGGAGCCTTTTTTCTGGCTAAAATTTTCGAAAAGGTAAGTTTTGATCCCTATAATTTTCGGATCACTTGACTTTCAGCTAGGAAATCCGAACAGATGAGAAATTTTTAGGGGATAAAAATATGCCATACCTGCCGTTTAAATACTAAAATACGTTTAACAATTCTATGTTTAAGTGGTTTTGAACTATATTCTCGTTGGGTGCCCCTGTTTAGACAGACGAAAACCGTCTATTAGCCTATAAAACGTCTGTGGCATAGGAGAAGGAACTTGAGTTTTTTTTGTTTCACTCATTTTGTCTTTTTTTTTTTTTAGAAATACGCGAGCTGTTATCCCGAACGCTATGTGTTATACACTGAGTAATGAAATCCAAGCCACTTAATTGACGCTAGTAAAAAAGCTTCTGCCCTCAACGTCATTTAAGTCTTAAAATGGGGACGAATAAATTAACACGGAATCCATCCATCATGAGAGCCCGAGAAAATAAAAGTCAAATTTTACAAGAATTGTGAAAACATAGGTAAAATTCTGAAAATTTCATGTGTAAGATGTAATTTTGTGCAATTTGACATACGTTTTCTAGGGCTTCCATAAGAAATTTTCTTTGGTGTTATTACAGATAACTAATTACATCTATAGCCCTTGAAAAATGTCAAAAAGAATGCAATATTGTTTAAATTATTCTGGTACAAGGTTTTTGTCCACTGAAAATTAAAATTACTCAATTTCCTTAAAGTAACTGGATTCTAACCGGCTCAAAACTAGTTTGGCTATTGCATGATCAGCTTGATATGCTGTCGTGTAATACCCCGTGTCACGAATTATGTGTGAACCAACCAGTTCCATTTAGCTTTATTTCGTCAATCCCTTGAAAGTATATTTCTTCACATGTTCATATTTTAGAATTCTGTACTCTGTTTTACACTTAAAGAATTCATGGACATCAATTGGCGTACAATCTCGATGATCGACACTTAATCTACACACTCGATCAGCTCCACGACTCCGAATGACTACACAGTTCCTAGACTATTGTACAAAGCTCAGTTTTCAGATCACGTGACGAGTTTTCCCGCTACAATGACGCAATAATTTCCTAACATCCCGCGGGCGCCCTTTGAAAGGCCCCGTTTAGAGAGAAAAGTTGTCTAATGGGAAAGAGGGTAAGCCTGCGAGTCTCCCAGTCAACCCAGGGCGCTTTCCATTTGTCAGAACTAACTGGCCAGCCCATTCCCATCGTAATGAGAATTTCACTTTTAATCAACAACAACCATCCAGATCAGTCAAATCCTACACATTATGCTCAAAGGAGATGGTTTTTCAGCAAAACCTCTTGGAAAACGCCTCTTTCATTGCCAAAATGCCTGGTCTGGCCATGGTCCGGCCGGCCAGTTCTGACTTATGGAAAGCGCCGTTAGGTTATGTTTACACTACACCGTGATGGCTTTTCCTGGCGCAAGCAAAACTATCCGTTATAGTGTGAACACCTATCCGAATGTGACTCTCCTCTTTAGAGATCTGCGCGCCGCAGCTTCGCTGCGTCACAGAAATCGCGCCACAACTGTTCTTATGTGTGAACAGAAGCCCTATCGATCCGGTATGATTTTCATGGCGTCCAGTATAGTGCCGGAGCCAAGAGCTGATAACAGCGTTAGCGCATGCTCTAATAATTAGTGACTTTAAAAGAACGCTACGGCAAGGAGAAGGTCTCTTAAAAAGTGAATTTGTACGTTTTTTTATTACCAAATGACTTTGACAAATGAAGGCGAACCCACCAACTAAGCTAGAATTCCTAGGGACCATATCTAAGTTCAGAAAGAGAGACAAAATTTTTGTTGTTGCCTGTTTACGTACTTTATTAGGGACCGGTCATTATTTATCGCCTCAGAGAGGGGAGAGACAAAGGATTTTTGTTGTGACAACGGAGCACCTACGTGATCCCCCCTTAAAGCATGCAGAGTGGGTTTGATCCCCACACATAATTTGACGGTGCAAGATTTCATGATCCCCCCTCTTCTATACCAGTCACCACAAAAGCCAGTGTTAATATACATGTATCTAAGCAAGTGACGTCTATATTAATATTTACGTCTCATGAACCTAGAACAACAACTTCACATATTTGGTCATCTGATATGAACTGAATTGTCTGTCAAGAGTTACTCTTCTCATCCAAATCGTTGAAAACAAAGTCATTGTCGCTCTCGTCCTTCCCACTGTCGAATTCTTCCTCATATTCTTCATCCCCTGATTCCCCGTCACTTTCATCTTTTGCACCGCACGATTCGTCTGTGTTCACAGACTCTTTGATGTGTCGGTAATAATGACATCAAATAGCTTTTACTTTTACTTTACTTCCGACCAACAGTAGTCAGTCCGTGTATGTGTTGAGACAACACATACAATTCAGCCTTTGGTATGGTGTCAGGTTTGAAGACTGAATCGCCGACCGCAAAGGAAACGTTGGCTTAATTTCAACCTCGTCCCCAGGGCTTTTCCCTTAAAAAATGGGTGGGGCGGGAAAAGGCCCTGGCATCGGCTGGTCACGTGTCCCCTCGTACACCCTAAAATCCTGGGTGTAATAAATTTGCGCTATGTGAAAAGCTAAAATTATGCGTAACTTCACACCTCGCGAACTTGGGCGGCCTCTTATATCTCTTGACGATTAACGAAAGGTTTTACAGGATTTCTTTTTTGTCACAGATACTGGCCATGGTAATTTTTTGCTTTCCTTCCATTTCTATGAAGGGGTCAGCGAGTAACATTTGTAGAACTTCTGTTTATAGAGCGGTATAAATGACAAACAATCCAGCTATCGTACATGCATAAAGTATGTACTGGAAAAGTCCGCTTTCTCGACTCTTCTGATATTCTATTTCATTTCTTGCGAAGACGGCCGCCGTACACAGCCTAGTTCTATTCACCTTAAGTCTCAGTCATATCGTAGCGACACGCGTTGGTTTAGACTTAGCCTGTATTAACTGTATTTTTAAAAAAATTATTGACCTCTGCGATCAAACGACTAGCAACAAAGAAAGACTTACATTTGATAGCATTTGAGCATTTGAGCATAGCATTTGGAAGCATTTGATATATTTTGTACGTGACAACGTAGAGCCGGTACGCCGTTTCATAAACTTGTAGCATTTGAATAATGCACAAGCCAGGGCCGTTTCCCGCCCCACCCATTTTTTAAGGGAAAAGCCGTGGGGACGAGGTTTGCTTTATTTGGGCACTGAGCTTCAACTGATTGTCGGAAGTGATGAGCTAAAATCAAGGCTAACTCCAAGTCACAAACTATTATCTTAACTTCAGGGTAATACTGACAGAAAGCATAGGCGAGAGTCATGTGCCGAACCTAAGTGATGATTCACGGGTACGGCAAAGAGCGGTGTCTGAATCAATTTGGTACGGCAGTTTTAGTTTGATGTGGTAAAAGTTCGACAGAGTCTGTCGACCTTTTGTCCAACTTTACTTAGGCTCGACACACGGTACTCCGTCTGAATCAGATGTAGCGCCAGTGTCGCTCCATAGTACGGCGTCTACAGCCTAGTCCCTAGGCGTTCTCTCTTGCCTCGTTGTCCGCGCGAAGTCTGGGAAAGAGTGGGCGAAAATCTCTCGGTGACGTGACAGCTCACGGTAGAGTCCAGGATTGACGGAGCCGAGAACGCCTTGGGACTAGGCTGCGGCGTCTGAACCAGGCCTAACTGATACCCCATTTAAGGGAGGGACGATTAGAAAACTTTTGGGGGAGGGCTGACGAGGCACCAAAAAAATATTCGCGCAAGGGAAAACTAAAAGCAAAATAATTCATGCACGCAATTAACCCCCAAAAAAGTCATACAAGGAATTTGGTAACCGAAAAAAAAATTCCTGCGGCTCGAAAATTTGACACCCGCCCCCACCCCCATAACTTTTCTAATGGTCCGTCCCTAAATCAAAATTATGTTTTTCATTTCCTGTCAATGACTAAGCTGCCTGAAAGAGAAGGTAACGCTTTATAGGGCGTTAGTCGCTGGTTTTGAAAAATTCAAAGGATCTTAAGCTTCCACATCGAAAGATATCAACCACACAGCGAGAAATTTATTTCGGAACAGGAAAAAGCGAAAACGCTTAAGTCACATGATTGCAAACGTAGAGTTTCGAGTGACCGATGTCACGCTGTAACGCCATACTGCCAGAAAAGCTCCCCCAGGGGCAGTTATATTATGGTTAATTTGCGCTCGGTGCCATAGCTACTGCTGCCATCGCTATCCTACTGGGAAAGGATACCCAATTCTAATGTAATATAAACTCGATTTACTGGCATTCAATGACCATAAGTCAATCGTAAGGCAGTTTTCAACTTAATTTTATGCAATGGTTGCTGCATGTTACATCTTTCTGCAGAAAATGGCGTCTTGAGTAAAATAAACACGTTTCGCTTGAACATCTATAAATCCATGCTTTTCCAGGAGATGCTTGTATTCTGGAGCTGATCTCTCTTTTCCACCCGTGGACACCAACATTAGAAGGCTGTAGATGAGAGTAGGCAATGGGCCACGTTTGTCTTCGTTTAAAATCCGTTCGCAAATGAGGAGTCCACCACCTACAAAAATAAAAGAGCTATGAAAAATAGCGCGTTGTTTGCCTTTTTATGGCAAAAGAGTAAACTGAATTTCAGACGATTACTTGGAGTCCTTTTTAGTCCCTCAGTTACTGAGGGAGTTAAAAAGTCTAAACCTTATATGTCATTTCTATAAGCACTGTCAACCGTCACTGTGTAGGCTACATACTACATTAAAACGCCCTTTGTTACCAAAGCACTTCTTCATCAGTCAGTTTGAGGGCTCGTTTCACTTGAAGACTAAAGACCGTGAATTCAAAATGAAAGTTCGTTTTGCTTACAATTCATGAGCGAAGAACATTGTAAAGCTGTTACGGCGTTTCTTGTAAGGTTGGACTTTAATATGGGTGTGTAAAGTGTTTTGCCGTCACAAAGCCACGATTTTTGACGCTCGTGTGTAGGATTTCACTCACATCGATCATTTGCAGCTTTCCTGCTTGAACTGTAATCCTCGATGCCCTCTCAGTCTGTAATTTAACCAGAGACATAATAAACCCCGTTTTCTTGATCCTCACGTAACTGTAAGTTACATGCGGAACCTAGTATTTTCTGCTTGGATTTAATTATGGCCCTTGACGCCGCACGCACGTACTTCCGTACGTGCGTGCTGGATCCCTTAAAGAACGGTAAAACCTTCTTTCTATTAAAATTACCTGAGGGTAAGCACTTGTAGACATTTGAAAGAATCAAGTCAACTTTATCCTCTGACCAGTCGTGGAGAACGTGAGACAACACATACAGTTCAGCCTTTGGTATGGTTTCAGGTTTGAAGAAATCGCCGACCGCAAAAGAAACATTGGCTTGATTTGGGCAAGCTTCCACTGATGGTCGGAAGTGATGGGCTAAACTCACGGCTGACTCCAAGTCACAAACTGTTACCTTCATTTCAGGGTAGAACTGACAGAGAGCATAGGCTAGAGTACCCACAGCCCCTAGAGCAGGGAGAAATAGGGAATTTTAAAAGTCCATTTCAGCAAACAGAGTCATAGATCGTTTGCAGTTTACCACATTTACAACTAATTTTCCGAAAATCTTGCTTGGATAGAATTTTTGTGTAAACCCAGCGAAAAATTCTTGGCAGACACGTGACCTCCAAAAAGGTAGCCGTGTTTTCCCCATCCGGGATGTTAAAAACGGAAGTTAACGCATTTCTCCATCTCTATCTTATTTCTAATTTAAGGCTGTTGTGGCCATTTTTCTGGTAAATAGGAGCGATTTTCCCAATTTCATAACGGAATTTGAACAGAAGTCTTGAATTTTATTTGATGCGAACCCCTACGACTGGTTTTTCTACGTAAATGGGCATGCGGACAGTTCCATAGAGCGCAAGCTTTTCCTCTAATTTGAAGAGATAAATAAATAAATGAATAAACCGAGATTATAACAATGTTTTTTACTATAGAGTTTCGTGTTATAAATTATCTCTACTAAATTGGCCTAAGTATCCCCAGCCAGGACTGTGAGCGTAATTAAAATGGGACAGCAGTTTAAGAAAAGAAGAATAAGATACATTTGGAAAGAAAGTCTGACTATATTATGCAAATTCCTTAAGACATTTTTCTTGGCTCAAAATTTCTCTATATTATTGCATTCAGTCGACTATTAATTTAGTTTAGCCGCTGTGAGACCAAACGCGGTTTCGTTCTTTTTGATCGCGGTTTCTTTATATTGCTCGTTCAGAAGAGGTGGAATAAACTTCAGCCAGTATTGTTTTCACAGTGCTGACAGGCAAAGGTTTTTCCATTTCAGTCTTACATTTCTTATAAAAATGGCGTGTGATGTATACGAACGTTCCGTTTTTTGACTTACCTCCTAGATCACAGCAGCTTCTGTACGCGCTTAGATCAATGGCTTTAGCAGCAGCATAACTTGCATAGAGGTAATTACAATGCATGGCACCCATGAACCGTAATTTGGCTTCTTCGGTGTTATAAAAGTTCGCAAAACTTTCCTCTGTAGACATTCCAAACGTCCTCTTCCACTGTGTAGTTCCCTCGCGAACTGCGCTTTCTAAATTTCCAAACATGAAATATGTCGTTTTGTTTATCAATGCGATCATATCTAGATACGAATCTGGACTGTCTTTGGTGAGAAATTTAGTGGCCATTTCAGAATTACTGTACAACCACTGGTCACCCTGTTTGAATTTTTCTAGCAATTCCATTGCCACAAGGGTGTCCATGAGACGTGTAGTGGCGTCAAGATCGGAGGACAATGCCTTTGTTATGTCGTCGGCCGATTGTGGTGAGGATGCAGATCGCAGTTTGTCGAAGACTTCCAATTCACATGCTGCAAATAGCGCTTTAGACAGACGAAAACCGTCTATTAGCCTATAAAGCTTCTCTGGGATAGGAGAAGGAACTTGAAATTTTTTTGTTTCGGTCATTTTGTCTTTTTTTTTTTTTGAGAAATACGCGAGCTGTTATCCCGAACGCTATGTGTTATACACTGCGAGCAATGAAATCCGGGCCACCTAATTGACGCCAGTAAAAAAGATTCTGCCCTCAACGTCATTTAAGTCTTAAAATGGGGACGAATAAATTAACACGGAATCCATCATGGGAGCCAGAGAAAATAAATGTCAAATTTTACAAGAATTGTGAAAACATAGGTAAAATTCTGAAAATTTCATGTGTAAGATGTCATTTTGTGCCATTTGACATACGTTTTCTAGGGCTTCCATAAGAAATTTTCTTTGGTGTTATTACAGATAACTAATTACATCTATAACCGTTGAAAAATGTCAAAAAGAATGCCATATTGTTTAAATTATTCTGGTACAAGGTTTTTGTCCACTGAAAATTAAAATTACTCAATTTCCTTAAAGTAACTGGATTCTAACCGGCTCAGCATGTTTGGCTATTGCATGATCAGCTTGATATGCTATCGTGTAATACCCCGTGCCCCGAATTATGTGTGAAACAACCAGTTCCATTTAGCTTTAATTCGTCACTCCCTTGAAAGTATATTTCTTCACATGTTCATATTTTAGAATTCTGTACTCTGTTTTACACTTAAAGAATTCATGGACATCAATTCGCGTATACAATTTCGATGATCTACCAGGCGCGGATCTAGGATAAATACTGACCGATTTCCTAAACAAGGGGCCGAGAGAGCAAGCTTCTAGGGTAGCCCGGGGACATGCAGCCCCGGGAATTTTTTTTGGATACTAGCTCCCTAAAGTTCGCTTTCCCGGGTTTCTGATTCATTGGGGGGGGGGGAGAAGGGCATCAAATTCCCAGAAACTGGAAAAAGAAAACATTTGTCCAGACCATTTTCCAGACTTCAACTTGGAAAGTTCTTTTTATTAAAAATAAGTTTCTTATGAAAAATCTGACCGATTTCCGTAAAACGGTGGAAACCGGTGTGGATCCGGGCCTGTCTACACTCAATCTACACACTCGATCAGCTCCACGACTCCGAATGACTACACAGTTCCTAGAATCTTGCACAAAGTTCAGTTTTCAGATCACGTGACGAGTTTTCCCGCTACAATGACGCAATAATTTCCCAACACCCCGTGGGCGCCCTTTGAAAGGCCCCGTTTAGAGAGAAAAGTTGTCTAATGGGAAAGAGGTTAAGCCTGCCAGCCTCCCAGTCAACCCAGGGCGCTTTCCATTTGTCAGAACTGACTGGCCAGCTTATTCCCATCGTAATGGGAATTTCACTTTTAATCAACAGTAACCATCCAGATCAGTCAAATCCTACACATTATGCTCAAAGGAGATGGTTTTTCAGCAAATCCTCTTGGAAAAGGTCTGTTTCATTTCCAAAATGCCTGGTCTGACCATGGTCCGGCCGGCCAGTTCTGACTTATGGAAAGCGCCGTTAGGTTATGTTCACACTACACCGGGATGGCTTTTCGTGGCGCCACGCAAAGCTATCAGTTATAGTGTGAACATCTATCCATTATGTGACTCTCCTCTTCAGAGATCGGCGCGGCGCAGCTTCGCTCCGTCACAGAAATCGCGCCACAACCGTTCTTGTGTGTGAACAGAAGCCCCATCCGGTATGATTTTCATGGCGTCCGGTATAGTACCCGAGCCAAGAGCTGATAATAGCGTTAGTGCATTTTAACGACGCGAAGGCAACGAGAAGGTCGCTTAAAAAGTGAACTTTGACTGAATGTAGGTGAACCCAACTGGACTCGAATTCCTAGGGACCCTATCTAAGTTCAGAAAGAGAAATAAAATGTCGTCGTTACTTGTTTACGTTCTCCATAAGGGACCGGTCATTATTTATCGCCTGGGGGTGGGGGATTTTTGTTGCGACAACTGAGCACTTACGTGATCCCCCCTTAAAGGATACAGTGTGGTTTTGACCCCCCCACATTGGCGGTGAAAGACTTCATGATCCCCCCTCTTTGCTCATCTGATATGAACTGAATTGTTTGTCAAGAGTTACTCTTCTCATCCAAATCGTTGAAAACAAAGTCATTGTCTCTCTCGTCCTTCCCACTGTCGAATTCTTCCTCATATTTTTCATCTCCTGATTCCCCGTCACTTTCATCTTTTGCACCGCACGATTCGTCTGTGTTCAAAGACTCTTTGATGTGTCGGTAATAGTGACAGGGAATAGCTTTTACTTTTACTTTACTTCCGACCGATAGTAGTCAATCCGTGTATGTGTTGAGACAACACATACAATTCAGCCTTTGGTATGGAGTCAGGTTTGAAGACTGAATCGCCGACCGCAAAGGAAACACTAGGGAGCTTTAGCAACGACGACGGCGACGGCAAAGAGGACGTCAAAAAAGCAATAGGTTTATTACGCAAAACAACAACTTTGCACGTGCATCACGCTTTTTTGTGCATTTCTTTACCGTCCTTGCGCGACCACGACGTGAAAATGCCTAATTGCAAGTTTTATGGAGGACGTAAACAAGCGACGACGAATCTCTTTTTCTCTCTCTAAACTTGAGTGCGGTCCTCAAGAAATCAATTGCAGGGAAATTCGCCCGCACTTGCCATTTTCAGCAAATTGGAATAAACGCGACAAAGATTGAAAAAACGCGACTTCTTTTTAAAACTGGCTTTTTCGCTGCAGTTACCGTCGTCGATGCTAAAGCTGCTTATTGGCTTGATTTGGGCAAGCTTCAACTGATGGTCGGAAGTGATGAGCTAAAATCAAGGCTGACTCCAAGTCACAAACTATATTATCTTCATTTCAGGGTAATACTGACAGAAAGCATAGCCAAGAGTCATGTACCGAACCTAACTGATGATTTGGGTACGGCAAAAGAGCGGTGTCTGAATCAATTTGGTACGGCAGTTTTAGTTTGGTGCGGCAAAAGTTCGACAGAGTCTGTCGAAATTTTGTCGAACTTTACTTAGGCTCGACACAAGGTACTCCGTCTGAATCAGATGTCGCACCATAGTACGGCGTCTGAGCCAGGCCTAAATGATACCCCATCTAAGGGAGGGACCATTAGAAAACTTTTTTGGGGGGGAAGAGGGGGCGGGCCAAGTACCAAAAAAATATTCGCGCAAGGGAAAATTAAATGAAAAAAATTCATTTACGCCAATTAACCCTAAAAGATATTCATGCTACGGCCTAAAAAAAATTCATACAAGGAATTTGATAACGAAAAAAAATTCCTGCGGCTCGAAAATTCCCCACCACCCCTCCACCCCCATAACTTTTCTTGTGGTCCGTCCCTGAATCAAAATTATGTTTTTCATTTCCTGTTAATGACTAAGTTGCCTGTAAGAGAAGGTAACGCTTTATAGGGCATTAGTCGCTGGTTTTGAAGAATTCAAAGGATCTTAAGGTTCCACATCGATAAATATCCACCACACACAGAGAGATTTATTTCAGAACAGGAAAAAACGAAAACGCGTAAGTCACATGATTGGAAACGTCAAGTTTCACGTGACGCGATGTCACGCTGTAACGCCATACAAGTCCGTAACACTGCCAGAAAAGCTCCCCCAGGGGCAGTTTTATTATGGTTTTAAAATTTGCGCTCGGTGCCATAGCAGCCATAGCCACTGCTGCCATGGCTATCCTACTACGAAAGGATACCCAATTCTAATGTAATATAAACTCGATTCACTGGCATTCAATGACCATAAGTCAAGCGTAAGGCAGTGTTCAACTTAATTTTATGCAATGGTTGCTGCATGTTACATCTTTCTGCAGAAAATGGCATCTTGAGTAAAATAAACACGTTTCGCTTGAACATCTATAAACCCATGCTTTTCTAGGAGATGCTTGTATTCTGGAGCTGATCTCTCTTTTCCACCTGTGGACACCAACATTAGAAGGCTGTAAATGAGAGAAGGTAATGGGCCACGTTTGTCTTCGTTTAAAATCCGTTCGCAAATGAGGAGTCCCCCACCTAAAAAAATAAAAGAGCTATGAAAAATGGTGCGTTGTTTGCCTTTTTATGGCAACAGAGTAGCCTGAATTTCAGACGATTTTAGTCCCTCAGTTACTGAGAGAGTTAAAAGGTCTCCAACGTTGTCGAAGTCAGGTTAGCAAGAGAGAAGACTGGTGTTAAACAATAAAAATGGAAGCGATCGAAAATGTTCGCAGTGCGCACGTTTTTGACTTAACATTATTGAAGGAATTTTATTCGGTGTTTGGGATTTATTGCAAATTTATTCGTCTCGGGAAATATTTATAGGTTAAGGAAGAATATCATAAAAAGCAATTTGACTCATTTTACTTGGTGTTAACTCCTACGCATCAGCACTATATATATAATCAAACGACATCCTCTCCCGAAATAAGAAAATGATTTCTGTTGATTCATTCTCTTTGGTCTTGTTGAAGGAAAATCAGGGGCACCCAACGAGGATATGGTTGAAAACCACTTAACATAGCATTGTTGAACGTATTTTAGTATTCAAACGGTAGATATAGGCATATTTTCATCTCCTAAAAACTTTTCATCTGTTCGGATTTCCTAGCTGAAAGTCTAGTGATCCGAAATTTTTAGGGATAAAAACTTACCTTCTCGAAAATTTCAGCCACGAAAAGGCTCCCGAAAATTCTAGGTGGCCTTTTTTAGGGTCAAAATCCGTTAAAAATGGGTAATTATACCATTTTGTAGATGTTCGAAAATCCTAGGAGAAGCAGGCAAGCAGGAAATTTTACAAAAAATGCTCCGAGCAGATATTTTCCCGAAAATTGCCGTTGGGTGCCCCTGGAAAATGTTGATTGAAGAGTTCAAGGTTAGCCACTTGTGACAATTGTTACAATATATGTTTGTAGTGGAGTTGTTATAAGCGTTCTTGTTGATTGGTTTGAATAAGCTACTTCACTACTAGTAGGATTGGTTTTCTAAGTTAATTGATGATCGATAGAAAGTTTCTCCTGACATGAATTCGGTACAAAGGAGATGTACCAATTTGGTGCATCTCCGCGGTAACACTTCTGTTTATGAGATATGTTTCCCTTTGACAGGTGACAAAGCTTTGTTTATATTAAGTATTTTGTCTAGTTTGACATCCTTGACCTTTATCTGGTCTCCCTTCGATATTTACCAGGAACTGACTACCCTGCTTGTTTTTTAAGAGTTTTAAGCGTGTTTCCTCGAGTTTTTAACCGAATTCTTGGCAGTGGATAACTTTTATTAAGCTTAGTGGTTTTATAGGTGCTTTTGTAATCAAACAACTATTGTTTTAAATTCTGCCTTGTACTTTGAACTGCATTCTTAATTTATCCTTTAAGTTTGCGATCACGTTCGTGGTTAAATTATGGAAAAGTTGTAGCCAATCATCTTCGATGAAGAAGCTTTTAAGCTTCTTCATCGAAGGTGTTTAAACACCTTCTGTAAATTGACAACAACCTTGGATTTTCAAACTGTAATTTTAGTACTTTCCTATCTGTTAGTATGAAAAGTCTGTTTACTGGTACAGTGGAACCCCGATATAACGATATCCCAAGGGAGTAGTGGAATTAGATCGTTATATCGAGGTATCGTTATATCGAGACTCCCGATATAACGATATTGTGGTAAAATAACCGAAAATATCGTTCTATCAAGGTAAAATTAACATGTACTTTTTTTACTACATATTGTTTAATTAAACTTGTAATGAGTATCAAATGACTCACAAATGTAGCGTTTCAAGCACGTAGCAATGTCCTTAAACAATTTGCAAAGTATTAAGACGTTATCATGGTTACACAACAAAGTCTGTGGTATGAATCGTAAAAGGGAAACAAAACAAAACTTAAACATTTGAAGTTGCGACTGTAATCGTCTTTACTTTTCGCTGTTCGCTGTCTCATTTGTTTTATTTGCAATCTTGAAAACGCATCCTCCATCGCTGAAAGAGAGGAAAGGAATTCTCTCTCTCGTTCGCCTGAATCATCCAACGTAATAATAAAATCTCTAATTGCTTTGACAGCTTCAGTAGCTTGCACAGGAGTCAAGCCTAGGGGCGTAGGTTCAATCACTGATATATCATCATCAGAGTCTGACTTGTCCCCTTGCATGAGAGCTAGCATGCACGATTGTATCGGTGTACTGGTACTGTAATATCGTTATATCGGGGAAGATTTTACGCTCGGTGCGCTAAAAACTCATCGTTATATCGGGAATATCGTTATATCGAGGATCGTTATATCGGGGTTCTGTCCCATACATTTTACTGTAACTTTTGCCGGGACATAGTATATCTATCGTTATACCGGGGATATCGTTATATCGAGGATCGTTGTATCGGGGTTCCACTGTATATACCTTGTAGTTTTTATATTGTTCTCCTAGCTTTATATTGGCCAGTTGACTTAAGCTTAGCAGTGAAACCTTCGGTTGAAGAGTCATTTCGACAAAGCAATTACTTCGAAGGTTTCATGCTAATGAAACTGTTTTAACCAATCGGATTAGACTTACGTCAGCATTCGGCTTACGCCAAGCAGCTGGTTTCCTGGCTGATATAAAAATGCGTGTAACACTGATCTAGTGGAGAATTGTAAAGTACGAATTGTGCTAACTTCGTGGCTTCTGACTGAAGAATTAAAGAGAGTCGATTGAACAAGAACTCGTCTGTTTGTTGTTAGAACCTGCTAGTACCCCCAATAAGGTTCTTCAACACTGGTCATACAATAATCTTATACGCCATTTCTATATGCACTGTCAACCTTTACCGTGTAGGCTACATGCTAGATTAAAACGCCCTTTGTTACCAAAGCACTTCTTCATCAGTCAGTTCGCGGGCTCATTTCACTTAAGACCGTGAATTCAAAATTAAAGTTCGTTTTGGTTACAATTCATGAGGGAAATCATTGTAAAGCTGTTACGGCGTTTCTTGTAAGATTGGACTTTAATATGGGAGTGTTAAGTGTTTTGCCGTCACTAAGCCACGAGTTTTGACGCTCGTGTGTAGGATTTCATTCACATTGATCATTTACAGCTTTCCTGCTTGAAATGTAATCCTTGATGCTTTCTCAGTCTCTAATTAAACCAGAGAGATAATAAACCCCGTTTTTTTTATCCGAATTTGCGGAACGTAGTATTTTCTGCTTGGATTTAATTATGGCCCGTGACGGCGCACGCACGTACTTCCGCACGTGCGTGCTGGATCCCTTAAAGAACGGTAAAACTTTCTTTCTATTAAAATTACCTGAGGGTAATCACTTGTAGACATTTGAAAGAATCAAGTCAACTTTATCCTCTGACCAGTTGTGGAGAACGTGAGACAACACATACAGCTCAGCCTTTGGTATGGTTTCAGGTTTGAAGAAATCGCCGACCACAAAGAAAACATTGGCTTGATTTGGGCAAGCTTCAACTGATGGTCGGAAGTGATGAGCTGAAGTTACGACTGGCTCCTAGTCACAAACTGTTATCTTCATTTCAGGGTAGACCTGACAGAAAGCATAGGCGAGAGTTCCCACAGCCCCTAGAGCGGAGAGAAATAGAAGGGAATTTTAAATTTCCATTTCAGCAAACAGAGTCATAGTACCACATTTACGACTAATTTTCTGAAAATCGGCTTGGGTAGAATTTCTGTGTAAATCCAGCGAACATTTCGTGGAAGACACGTAACTTCGAAAAAGTTGCCGTGTTTTCCGCATCCTGAATGTTAAAAACGGAAGTTAACGCGTTTCTCCGTCTCTGTCTTATTTCTATGTTTTAAGGCTTTTTGTGGCCATTTTTCTGGTAAACAGGAGCGATTTACACAATTTCTTAACGGAATTTTAACGGAAGTCTTGAATTATGCCTCAGTCTAATGCAAAAACCTCTGACCGGTTTTCCGGCGTAACCGTTCATATGACTTAGCGCATGCTTGTCCTTTAATTTGAATGGATAAATAAATAAATAAACAGAGATTATAACAATATTTTTTCCTATAGAGTTTCGTGTTATAAATTTTCTCTACTAAATTGGCCTAAGTATCCCCAGCCAGGACTGTGAGCGTAGTAGTAATTAAAATGGGACAGCAGTTACAAAGCTCATGCAAAGTTATTCATGGAAAGGTACTGAATGAGTTGAATTCGACGTTTTAAACCAAGTCGTGCTAGCTAAGAGCGGCAGTAGAACGACCGGTTTGAAACAGGCTTTGCCTTTCTGCGACGTTCGCATACAGGATCTTTTCCATAAGTAGTTTTAAGCCTGGGTTTAATCGACGACTTTAAGAAAAGAAGAATGAGATACATTTGGAATGAAAATCTGACTATATCATGCAAATTACTTAAGTCATTTTTCTTGGCTCAAAATTTCTCTATGTTATTGTATTCAGTCGACTATTAATTTAGTTCAGCCGCTGTGAGACCAAACGCGGTTTCGTTCTTTTTGATCGTGGTTTCTTTGTATTGCTCGTTCAGAAGAGGTTCACAAAACTTTCCTCTGTAGACATTCCAAACTTCCTCTTCAACTGTGTAGTTCCCTCGCGAACGGCGGTTTCTAAATTTCCAAACATGGGATATGTCGTTTTTTTATCAATGCGATCATATCTAGATGCGAATCTGGACTGTCTTTGGTGAGAAATTTAGTGGCCATTTCAGAATTACTGTACAACCACTGGTCACCCTGTTTGAATTTTTCTAGCAATTCCATTGCCACAAGGGTGTCCATGAGACGTGTAGTGGCGTCAAGATCGGAGGACAATCCCTTTGTTATATCGTCGGCCGATTGTGGTGAGGATGCGGACCGCAGTTTGTCGAAGACTTCCAATTCACATGCTGCAAATATCGCTTTAGACAGACGAAAACCGTCTATTAGCCTATAAAGCTTCTCTGGCATAGGAGAAGGAACTTGAAATTTTTTTGTTTAGCTCATTTTGTCTTCTTTTTTTTTTGAGAAATACGCGAGCTGTTATCCCGAACGCTATGTGTCATACACTGCGAGCAATGAAATCCGGGGCACCTAATTGACGCTAGTGAACAGGCTTCTGCCCTCAAGGTCATTTAAGTCTTAAAATGGGGACGAACAAATTAACACGGAATCCATCATGGGAGCCCGAGAAAATAAATGTCAAATTTTACAAGAATTGTGAAAACGTAGGTAAAACGCTGAAAATTTCATGTGTAAGATGTAATTTTGTGCAATTTGACATACGTTTTCTTGGGCTTCGATAAGAAATTTTCTTTGGTGTTATTAAAGATAACTAATTACATCTATAGCCCTTGAAAAATGTCAAAAAGAATGCCATATTGTTTAAATTATTCTGGTACAAAGTTTTTGTCCACTGAAAATTAAAATTACTCAATTTCCTGATGGATTCCGTCTTAAAGTACCGTAAAATTCCGAAAATAAGCCCCGGGGCTTATATTTTTCAAAGGCCCTTTTTGAGGGGCTTACTTTTGGAGGAGCTTTTATTCGGAGGGGTTTATCTACGGAAGGAAATTTGTGTTTCAAAATCGATTGGGCTAGCATTATAGTTGAAAGTAAATTTACCATTTTTGCTTTGTTATACTTTGTATTTGAGGGCAATTTTGCAAGTACAAGACCCCGGGGGGCTTATATTTGGAGGGGCGATTTAACGGAGGGTTTTTTGCGTTACCGGTTTGGGGGGCTTATGCATAGAGGGGCTTATTTTCGGAATTTACGGTAACTGGATTCTAACCGGCTCAGCATGTTTGGCTATTGCATGATCAGCTTGATATGCTGTCGTGTAATACCACGTGTCACGAATTATGTGTGATACAACCAGTTCCACTTAGCTTTAATTCGTCACTGCCTTGAAAGTATATTTTTTCACATGTTCATATTTTAGAGTTCTGTACTCTGTTTTACACTTAAAGAATTCATCGACATCAATTCGCGTAAAGTTTCGATGATCAAACACTCAATCTACACACTCGATCAGCTCCACGACTCCGAATGACTACACAGTTCCTATAGACTCTTGTACAAAGTTCAGTTTTCAGATCACGTGACGAGCTTTCCCGCTACAATGACGCAATAATTTGCTAACACCCCGTGGGCGCCCTTTGAAAGGCCTCGTTTAGAGAGAAAAGTTGTCTAATGGAAAAGAGGGTAAGCCTGCCAGACTCCCAGTCAACCCAGGGCGCTCTCCATTTGTCAGAACTGACTGGCCAGCCCATTCCCATCGTAATGAGAATTTCACTTTTAATCAACGTTAACCATCCAGATCAGTCAAATCCTACACATTATGCACAAAGGCGATGGTTTTTCATCAAAACCTCTTGGAAAACGCCTATTTCATTGCCAAAATGCCTGGTCTGGCCATGGTCCGGCCGGCCAGTTCTGACTTATGAAAAGCGCCCTTAGGTTATGTTCACACTACACCGGGATGGCTTTCTCGTGGCGCCACGAAAAGCTATCAGTTATAGTGTGAACATCTATCCGATATCTCACTCTCCTCTACAGAGATCGGCGCGGCGCAGCTTCGCCCCGTCACAGAAATCACGCCACAACTGTTCTTATGTGTGAACAGAAGCCCTATCGATGCGGTATGATTTTCATGGCGTCCAGTATAGTGCCGGAGCAAAGAGCTGATAACAGCGTTAGCGCATGCTCTAATAATTAGTAACTTTAAAACCACGCGACGGCAACGAGAAGGTCGCTTAAAAAGTGAATTTGTACTCTTTTTTATTCATACCTACTGACTTTGACTGAATGTAGGTGAACCCAACTGGACTTGAATTCCTAGGGACCCTATCTAAGTTCAGAAAGAGAAATAAACTTCGTCGTTGCTCGTTCACTTTCCGCATAAGGGACCGGTCATTATTTATCGCCTTGAGGATTTTTGTTGCGACAGCGGAGCACTTAGGTTATCTCCCCTTAAAGCATGCAGTGTGGGTTTGATCCCTTCACATTGACGGTAAAAGATTTTCTGATGCCCCCTCTTCTATCCCGGCCACCACAAAAGCCAGTGTTAATATACGTAAGCCAGTGACATCTATATTAATACTTAACCTAGAACAACAACTTCACATATTTGGTCTTCTGATATGAACTGAATTATCTGATGGTCCGTCCCTAAATCAAAATTAAGCTGCCTGTAAGAGAAGGTAACGCTTTATAGGGCGTTAGTCGCTGGTTTTAAGGAATTTAAAGGATCTTAAGGTTCCACATCGATAAATATCAACCACAGAGAGAGAAATTTATTTCAGAACAGGAAAAAGCGAAAAACGCTTAAGTCACATGATTGCAAACGTCAAGTTTCACGTGACCCATTTCACGCTGTAACGCCATACAAGTCCGTAACACTGCCAGAAAAGCTCCCCCAGGGGCAGTTTTATTATGGTTAATTTGCGCTCGGTGCCATAGCAACTGCTGCCATGGCTATCCTACTGGGAAAGGATACCCAATTCTAATATAAATAATTTAAATCGATTCACTGGCATTCAATGACCATAAGTCAATTGTAAGCCAGTGTTCAACTTAATTTTATGCAATGGTTGCTGCATGTTACATCTTTCTGCAGAAAATGGCATCTTGAGTAAAATAAACACGTTTCGCTTGAACATCTATAAACCCATGCTTTTCCAGGAGATGCTTGAATTCTGGAGCTGATCTCTCTTTTCCACCTGTGGACACCAACATTAGAAGGCTGAAAATGAGAGAAGGCAATGGGCCACGTTTGTCTTCGTTTAAAATCCGTTCGCAAATGAGGAGTCCCCCACCTAGAAAAATAAATGAGGTATGAAAAATGGCGCGTTGTTTGCCTTTGATGGCACCAGAGTAGCCTCAATCTCAGACGATTACTTCCAGTCGTTTTTAGTCCCTCAGTTACTGAGGCAGTTATAACGTCTCCAACATTGTCGACGTAATTGCCTGAAATGATAGATGATTGGTCATACAATAATCTTATGTGCCATTTCTATATGCACTGTCAACCGTCACCGTGTAGTCTGCATACTAGGTTAAAACACCTTTTGTTACCAAAGCACTTCTTCGTCAGTCAGTTCGCGGGCTCATTTCGCTTAAAGACTTAAGACCGTGAATTCAGAATTAAAGTTCGTTTTGGTTACAATTCATAAGGGAAAAAACATTGTAAAGCTGTTACGGCGTTTCTTGTAAGTTTGGAGTTTAATATGGGTGTGTTAAGTGTTTTGCGGTCACAAAGCCACGATTTTTGACGCTCGCGTGTAGGATTTCATTCACATCGATCATTTACAGCTTTCCTGCTTGAACTGTAATCCTTAATGCCCTCTCAGTTTGTAATTAAACGAGAGACATAATAAACCTTGTTTTCTTGATCCGAACTGTAAGTTACGTGCGGAACCTAGTATTTTCTGCTTGGATTTAATTTCATGCACCTACTTCCGTACGTGCGTGCTGGATCCCTTAAAGAACGGTAAAACCTTCTTTCTATTAAAATTACCTGAGGGTAAGCACCTGTAGACATTTGAAAGAATCAAGTCAACTTTATCCTCTGACCAGTCGTGGAGAACGTGAGACAACACATACAGCTCAGCCTTCGGTATGGTTTCAGGTTTGAAGAAATCGCCGACCGCAAATGAAACATTGGCTTGATTTGGGCATGCTTCCACTGATGGTCGGAAGTGATGGGCTAAACTCACGGCTGGCTCCAAGTCACAAACTGTTATCTTCATTTCAGGGTAGAACTGACAGAGAGCATAGGCGAGAGTTCCCACAGCCCCTAGAGCAGAGAGAAATATGGAATTTTAAATTTCCATTTCATAGATCGTTTGCTGTTTACCACATTTACAACTAATTTTCCGAAAATCTTGCTTGGATAGAATTTTTGTGTAAACCCAGCGAAAAATTCTTGGCAGACACGTAACCTCCAAAAAGGTAGCCTTGTTTTCCCCATCGGGAATATTAAAAACGGTAATTAACGCGTTTCTCCATCTCTATCTTATTTCTGTTGAAGGCTGTTGTGGCCATTTTTCTGGTAAATAGGAGCGATTTACACAATTTCTTAACGGATTTTGAACAGGAGTCAGACTTGCGAATCGTAATAACTTTGTCCCATCTCAGAGCTTTACATGATGTTCTCCGGGAAACTTTTCTCAAGGTGACCAATATTAAACTAAACTGCTAAGCGGCACCGAAACCAGCTTTAGGCGCGCGCTGATTTCAAATAACTGTCACTTGTGTTAAATAAAGAATTGTAGGTAAGGAAAAAAATCGGGAGGGGGGTAAGATAGTAATTCAGTCTACATCTACTTCTACAAGGATCCCTAGCCACAAAACAAGGAAAAAAAAAAAAACGACATAACCAACCAACACAGTAAACATATGTCAAGCTATTAGACAGGGGAAGTTGCGAAAAATTACAAATGTGTGCTAACCCGGTTTTCATAACTCCAAATAGACATAAACAGACCAGAATCTTACTTTTCCATTTAAAAAACATGAAATATTCGGCGGCGTTGCCCATGTTTCTAATATGGCGCGAAAACTTACTTTCATATGACAACATGCGGGCTTTTTTTTTTCGCACGCTCAGGAGCCCGGTCAAAGGGATGTGATTTTGCATGAAAAAAACATTCACAAAATTCTGCTTGACTTGTTAAGAAAATAATTTAACTAACAGCTCATTGATTTATTAATTTGGGCGACCAACTTGGAGGCCCGGGCATCCCAGCTAAGAATGCTTGAGGAGCCCGAAAGGCTCCCTGAAATTTTCCCTAGAGCACAGCCTTGCACCCCTGTAGTTATTGAAAGTATGATACATTACATGCTATTGTTGAATGTGGAAGTGCATTTTTTGAGGATATTAGTAAAGGAATGCAAATTTTGGTGAACTACCCCATACTCCTAAGATATATGGTGGTAATATTGATGTAAGTTTTGTTTTGAGTAGCAAAGGAACCCTTGTGTGTAACTCATCTTCTAGTGTATTAGTCCTTAACAGAACATCTCCGTCTCTCCTTCACACATTTGTTGCATGCAGTACTCAACTTTCCATTGCCATTCAACATGCTGGTAATTCTTTCTTACACCAACACATCCCGCGTAAACGCCTTCGGGCGTCTTCTTGTTGATCGTGGTTTCTTTATATTGCTCGTTCAGAAGGGGTGGAATAAACTTCAGCCAGTATTGTTTTCACAGTGCTGACAGGCAAAGGTTTAAAAATATCGTGTGATGTATTCCAACTTTCCGTTTTTTGACTTACCTCCTAGATCACAGCAGCTTCTGTACGCGCTTAGATCAATGGCTTTAGCAGCAGCATAACTTGCATAGAGTGAATTACAATGCATGGCCCCCATGAACCGTAATTTGGCTTCTTCGGTGTTACAAAAATTGGGAAACCAGTCTTCTGCAGACATTCTAAACGTCTTCTTCCACTGCGTAGTTCCTTCAAGAACTGCGCTTTCTAAATTTCCAAACATGAAATATGTCGTTTTGTTTATCAATGCGATCATATCTAGATACGAATCTGGACTGTCTTTGGTGAGAAATTTAGTGGCCATTTCAGAATTACTGTACAAACACTGGTCACCCTGTTTGAATTTTTCTAGCAATTCCATTGCCACAAGGGTGTCCATGAGACGTGTAGTGGCGTCTAGATCGGAGGACAATGCCTTTGTTATGTCGTCGGCCGATTGTGGTGAGGATGCGGACCGCAGTTTGTCGAAGACTTCCAATTCACATGCTGCAAATAGCGCTTTAGACAGACGAAAACCGTCTATTAGCCTATAAAGCTTCTCTGGGATAGGAGAAGGAACTTGAAATTTTTTTGTTTCGCTCATTTTGTCTTCTTTTTTTTTTGAGAAATACGCGAGCTGTTATCCCGAACGCTATGTGTTATACACTGCGAGCAATGAAATCCGGGCCACCTAATTGACGCCAGTAAAAAAGATTCTGCCCTCAACGTCATTTAAGTCTTAAAATGGGGACGAATAAATTAACACGGAATCCATCATGGGAGCCCGAGAAAATAAAAGTCAAATTTTACAAGAATTGTGAAAACATAGGTAAAATTCTGAAAATTTCATGTGTAAGATGTCATTTTGTGCAATTTGACATACGTTTTCTAGGGCTTCCATAAGAAATTTTCTTTGGTGTTATTACAGATAACTAATTACATCAATAGCCCTTGAAAAATGTCAAAAAGAATGCCATATTGTTTAAATTATTCTGGTACAAGGTTTTTGTCCACTGAAAATTAAAATTACTCAATTTCCTTAAAGTAACTGGATTCTAACCGGCTCAGCATGTTTGGCTATTGCATGATCAGCTTGATATGCTATCGTGTAATACCCCGTGCCCCGAATTATGTGTGAAACAACCAGTTCCATTTAGCTTTAATTCGTCACTCCCTTGAAAGTATATTTCTTCACATGTTCATATTTTAGAATTTTGTACTCTGTTTTACACTTAAAGAATTCATGGACATTAATTCGCGTACAATTTCGATGATCTACCAGGCGCGGATCTAGGATAAATACTGACCGATTTCCTAAACAAGGGGCCGAGAGAGCAAGCTTCTAGGGTAGCCCGGGGACATGCACCCCCGGGAATTATTTTGGATACTAGCTCCCTAAAGTTCGCTTTCCCGGGTTTCTGATTCATTGGGGGGGGGGGGAGAAGGGCATCAAATTCCCAGAAACTGGAAAAAGAAGACATTTGTCCAAACCATTTTCCACATTTCAACTTGGAAAGTTCTTTTTATTAAAAATAAGTTTCTTATGAAAAATCTGACCGATTTCCGTAAAACGGTGGAAACCGGTGTGGATCCGGGCCTGTCTACACTCAATCTACACACTCGATCAGCTCCACGACTCCGAATGACTACACAGTTCCTAGAATCTTGCACAAAGTTCAGTTTTCAGATCACGTGACGAGTTTTCCCGCTACAATGACGCAATAATTTCCTAACACCCGGTGGGCGCCCTTTCAAAGGCCCCGTTTAGAGAGAAAAGTTGTCTAATGGGAAAGAGGTTAAGCCTGCCAGCCTCCCAGTCAACCCAGGGCGTTTTCCATTTGTCAGAACTGACTGGCCAGCTTATTCCCATCGTAATGGGAATTTCACTTTTAATCAACAGTAACCATCCAGATCAGTCAAATCCTACACATTATGCTCAAAGGAGATGGTTTTTCAGCAAATCCTCTTGGAAAAGGCCTGTTTCATTTCCAAAATGCCTGGTCTGACCATGGTTCGGCCGGCCAGTTCTGACTTATGGAAAGCGCCGTTAGGTTATTGTCACACTACACCGGGATGGCTTTTCGTGGCGCCACGCAAAGCTATCAGTTATAGTGTGAACATCTATCCATTATGTGACTCTCCTCTTTAGAGATCGGCGCGGCGCAGCGTCGCTCCGTCACAGAAATCGCGCCACAACCGTTCTTGTGTGTGAACAGAAGCCCAAGCCGGTATGATTTTCATGGCGTCCGGTATAGTACCCGAGCCAAGAGCTGATAACAGCGTTAGTGCATTTTAACGACGCGAAGGCAACGAGAAGGTCGCTTAAAAAGTGAACTTTGACTGAATGTAGGTGAACCCAACTGGACTCGAATTCCTAGGGACCCTATCTAAGTTCAGAAAGAGAAATAAAATGTCGTCGTTGCTTGTTTACGTTCTCCATAAGGGACCGATCATTATTTATCGCCTGGGGGTGGGGGATTTTTGTTGCGACAACTGAGCACTTACGTAATCCCCCCTTAAAGGATACAGTGTGGTTTTGACCCCCCCCACATTGGCGGTGGAAGACTTCATGATTCCCCCTCTTTGGTCATCTGATATGAACTGAATTGTCTGTCAAGAGTTACTCTTCTCATCCAAATCGTTGAAAACAAAGTCATTGTCTCTCTCGTCCTTCCCACTGTCGAATTCTTCCTCATATTCTTCATCCCCTGATTCCCCGTCACTTTCATCTTTTGCACCGCACGATTCGTCTGTGTTCAAAGACTCTTTGATGTATCGGTAGTAGTGACAGGGAATAGCTTTTACTTTTACTTTACTTCCGACCGATAGTAGTCAATCCGTGTATGTGTTGAGACAACACATACAATTCAGCCTTTGGTATGGAGTCAGGTTTGAAGACTGAATCGCCGACCGCAAAGGAAACACTAGGGAGCTTTAGCAACGACGACGGCGACGGCAAAGAGGACGTCAAAAAAGCAATAGGTTTATTACGCAAAACAACAACTTTGCACGCTTTTTTGTGCATTTCTTTACCGTCCTTGCGCGACCACGACGTGAAAATGCCTAATTGCAAGTTTTATGGAGGACGTAAACAAGCGACGACGAATCTCTTTTTCTCTCTCTAAACTTGAGTGCGGTCCTCAAGAAATCAATTGCAGGGAAATTCGCCCGCACTTGCCATTTTCAGCAAATTGGAATAAACGCGACAAAGATTGAAAAAACGCGACTTCTTTTTAAAACTGGCTTTTTCGCTGCAGTTACCGTCGTCGATGCTAAAGCTGCTTATTGGCTTGATTTGGGCAAGCTTCAACTGATGGTCGGAAGTGATGAGCTAAAATCAAGGCTGATTCCAAGTCACAAACTATATTATCTTCATTTCAGGGTAATACTGACAGAAAGCATAGCCAAGAGTCATGTACCGAACCTAACTGATGATTTGGGTACGGCAAAAGAGCGGTGTCTGAATCAATTTGGTACGGCAGTTTTAGTTTGGTGCGGCAAAAGTTCGACAGAGTCTGTCGAAATTTTGTCGAACTTTAATTAGGCTCGACACACGGTACTCCGTCTGAATCAGATGTCGCACAATAGTACGGCGTCTGAGCCAGGCCTAAATGATACCCCATCTAAGGGAGGGACCATTAGAAAACTTTTTTGGGGGGGAAGAGGGGGCGGGCCAAGTACCAAAAAAATATTCGCGCAAGGGAAAATTAAATGAAAAAAATTCATTCACCCCAATTAACCCTAAAAGATATTCATGCTACGGCCTAAAAAAAATTCATACAAGGAATTTGATAACGAAAAAAAATTCCTGCTGCTCGAAAATTCCCCACCACTCCCCACCCCCATAACTTTTCTAGTGGTCCGTCCCTGAATCAAAATTATGTTTTTCATTTCCTGTTAATGATTAAGTTGCCAGTAAGAGAAGGTAACGCTTTATAGGGCATTAGTCGCTGGTTTTGAAGAATTCAAAGGATCTTAAGGTTCACATCAATAAATATCAACCACACAGAGAGAAATTTATTTTAGAACAGGAAAAAGCGAAAAACGCTTAAGTCACATGATTGCAAACATCAAGTTTCACGTGACTGATGTCACGCTGTAACGCCATACAAGTCCGTAACACTGCCAGAAAAGCTCCCTGAGGGGCAGTTTTATTATGGTTAATTTGCGCTCGGTGCCATAGCAGCCATAGCCACTGCTACCATGGCTATCCTACTAGGAAAGGATACCCAATTCTAATGTATTGTAAATCGTTTCACTGGCATTCAATGACCATAAGTCAATCGTAAGGCAGTGTTCAACTTAATTTTATGCAGTGGTTGCTGCATGTTACATCTTTCTGCAGAAAATGGCATCTTGAGTAAAATAAACATGTTTCGCTTGAACATCTATAAACCCATGCTTTTCTAGGAGATGCTTGTATTCTGAAGCTGATCTCTCTTTTCCACTTGTGCACACCAACATTAGAAGGCTGTAAATGAGAGAAGGCAATGGGCCACGTTTGTCTTCGTTTAAAATCCGTTCGCAAATGAGGAGTCCACCACCTACAAAAATAAAAGAGCTATGAAAAATGCTGCGTTGTTTGCCTTTTTATGGCAAAAGAGTAACCTAAATTTCAGACGATTACATTGAGTCCTTTTTAATCCCTCAGTTACTGAGGGAGTTAAAAAGTCTAAACCTTATATGCCATTTCTATATGCACTGTCAACCGTCACTGTGTAGGCTACATACTAGATTAAAACGCCCTTTGTTACCAAAGCACTTCTTCATCAGTCAGTTCGAGGGCTCGTTTCACTTGAAGACTAAAGACCGTGAATTCAGAATGAAAGTTCGTTTTGCTTACAATTCATGAGCGAAGAACATTTTAAAGCTGTTACGGCATTTCTTGTAAGATTGGACTTTAATATGGGTGCATGTGTTAAGTGTTTTGCGGTCACAAAGCCACGATTTTTGACGCTCGTGTGTAGGATTTCAGTCACATCGATCATTTACAGCTTTCCTGCTTGAACTGTAATCCTCGATGCCCTCTTAGTCTGTAATTTAACCAGAGACATAATAAACTCCGTTTTCTTGATCCTCACGTAACTGTAAGTTACATGCGGAACCTAGTATTTTCTGCTTGGATTTAATTATGGCCCTTGACGCCGTACGCACGTTCTTCCGTACGTGCGTGCTGGATCCCTTAAAGAACGGTAAAACCTTCTTTCTATTAAAATTACCTGAGGGTAAGCACTTGTAGACATTTGAAAGAATCAAGTCAACTTTATCCTCTGACCAGTCTTGGAGAACGTGAGACAACACATACAGTTCAGCCTTTGGTATGGTTTCAGGTTTGAAGAAATCGCCGACCGCAAAAGAAACATTGGCTTGATTTGGGCAAGCTTCCACTGATGGTCGGAAGTGATGGGCTAAACTCACGGCTGGCTCCAAGTCACAAACTGTTACCTTCATTTCAGGGTAGAACTGACAGAGAGCATAGGCTAGAGTGCCCACAGCCCCTAGAGCAGGGAGAAATAGGGAATTTTAAAAGTCCATTTCAGCAAACAGAGTCATAGATCGTTTGCAGTTTACCACATTTACAACTAATTTTCCGAAAATCTTGCT